AATGGGAAATCTTCACAGTTTCTTCCATTCGAGTTCTAGCTTTCTTAGACATTCAACAACGACACGTAGATGGCCGCTGAACAATAAAGATGCAACTACTAATTTTCTTGTCTTCTTTATCTTCTTCTTCCTCGTTGTCTTGGTGTTTGTTGGTTGTTTTAACACTGTAAGTTTTTCTACACGCAAGAACTTTCAGTGACTGACTATGCATATCCATTTCTTACATAATTTCTAATGATTTATGATGTTTTCCATTTCAGTCTTTGCTTAGTGTTTTTTCAATCTCAACAACCAAAAAGCCGGAATTTCTACTTAGACGTACTCCGACAAAACTCACACACAACTGTCCAAAACCCAACTCAACCATACAAAACCCACTAAATCCTGAGCGTCCATCAAGTAACTCCTGTCCAGAGTATTACCGATGGATTCATGAAGATCTACGGCCCTGGAGAGAGAAAGGAATCACAAAGGACATCATCGAACGGGCGAAAAGGACTGCGCATTTTAGGCTTGTGATTGTGGAGGGGAAAGCCTATGTAGAAAAGTATAGAAAATCGATACAGAGCAGAGATGAGTTCAGTTTGTGGGGAATAATGCAGCTTCTGAGGTTGTACCCTGGAAGATTGCCTGATTTGGAATTGATGTTTGATTGTGATGATAGGCCAGTTGTACCATCGGAGAAGTTCCAAGGCCCAAATGCCAGCCCACCTCCTTTGTTTCGATATTGTTCTGACGATCGCAGTTTGGATATTGTGTTTCCGGATTGGTCATTTTGGGGTTGGTAATGATTTCTTATTTACTTATTTTTTTTCTTTTAGTGATTTGTTTTTCTTTAAAAAAAAAAAAAAAACCAACTATATAATTATATAGTTGATAGTTTGTTGCTTATTGGTTAGGGCTGAGATCAATATAAGGCCATGGGACCATGTATTGAAGGACATAAGAAAAGGTAATAACAGGACCAAATGGAAGGATAGGGTACCCTATGCCTTTTGGAAAGGGAACCCATATGTTGATCCAGGAAGGCGAGACCTTCTCAAGTGCAATGTCTCTGACCAAAATGATTGGAACACTCGCTTATATATTCAGGTTATTATTTTTTCTTTTAAGAAAAAACATTTTTCAATTAACTCAACATTCTCCTGATCTTTGAATTTTAATTGTATGATTATTATATTTCAGGACTGGGTGCAACAATCTAAACAGGGCTATAACGAATCAAATCTTCAAGATCAATGCACCCATAGGTAAGGATAAATTAAATATAATTTGATAATTAATTTTTTTTTTTTTTAAAAAAAAAATTATTCTAAAACAGATACAAGATCTATATAGAAGGATGGGCTTGGTCTGTGAGCGAGAAATACATAATAGCATGCGATTCCATGAATTTGTACGTGAAGCCTCGTTATTATGATTTCTACATAAGAGAAATGGTCCCATTAAAGCATTACTGGCCTATCAGGGATGATGCCAAATGCAATTCTCTGAAGTTTGCAGTGGATTGGGGCAACAATCACACTCAACAGGTACATTTTTTTCGCCTTATAATCCTTCTCCGAAATAGCTCGGTTTAATGGTTAAGCGCAAGATTAGAATCCTGGAGTCAGCATTTTGGAGGGATTTTTAAACATAATCGCCTCCAGCCGAAAGGGATTATTCTCTTATTTAAGCATTAAACGATTTTGCAGGCTGAGGCAATAGGAAAAGCTGGAAGTAGCTTCATACACGAGGAATTAAAGATGGATTATGTGTATGATTATATGTTTCATCTGCTAAATGAATATGCAAAGCTCTTGAAATTTAAAGCTAGGATACCAAAAGGAGCAACGGAACTACGTCCGGAGAAAATGGAATGTCTAGCAAATGGTACGCATAAGAAGTTTATGGTTGAGTCTACAGTGGCGTGTCCCAGTCATAAAAATCCATGCAAAATGCCTCCTCCTTATGATCCTAAGGCTCTTACGGAATTTCTGGATAGAAAAGCTAAAGCAATTAGGCAAGTGGAGACGTGGGAAGATGAATATTTTCATAAATTTAAATAATATTTAGAAGCATTAAAAAAGAAGAAATGAAACAAATCCAATTATTCTACTGTATATGCATAAATGATAGGGTTAAATTAATAATTATGTTTCTATTTTATTTTATTTATTTTTCTCTTTATTTCATATGTATGTTCTACCCCTTACTTGAATCTTCTAATATAAATTTGGCGAAAATAGATAGAAATATTCAAGTTGTAGCAAATCATTGTGTTTGCTTCCAAAAATAATAATTTTCCAAAAAGGCAAAAAGAAAATGAAAAGTACGTATAATTGTTTTCTTTGTGCTTCTTTATCTTTGCATTATATATTTTTTTTAATTATTTGAACTTTTATGCTTTTCTTTCTTTTATGCCTAGAAAAAGAACAATTGTTAATCTTTCCTTTAAAAAATCAATTTTTTTTTATTTTTTTATAAATAAAATCAATTAGAAAAATTAATGGTGAATCCTAAATTCAAGAAATCTTTTACTCAGACTAAATTTAAATAATTTATTTATTTATTTAAATAACAAATAATTATTAAAGTTTGGTACTCAAAAAGATTATTGGAGAAACGATATCTTTTACTACAGGTTGTTGCTGTGCAGTTGCAGATTTTATCGTAACAATAATGAACTAATCTTATGTAATCAAATATTTATTTGGAGGGTAGAGGGATACAAAGACGTGGATGACTTTATTCCTAACTAGTAAAAATATTTGAGTTTTCAATTAATTAAATAAAGAAATCTTTATACTTTGACATTTTTCTTATATAAAAAATTTTTAGACAAAAATAATTATATTTGCCAAATTAATTATCTCCTCATTTGCAAAAATAAAAGACTTTTAACAAAAAAAAAAATATTTATGTGCAATTTTAAAAAATTTCTATTTTCATATGTTTGAATAAACTCATCGATCGAATCTATGAGTTGTGGCTAGTTGACAATACAGAACGGGCATATAGAAAGAGTTCTTGGATTGGATTCGCACTAAATACATCTACAGAGAAGGACGAAAAGCTTTAACTATGACTAAATTCCGAGCCGAATTAATCGGTACTTGGTAATAGGGTCCTGGTACCGATTGTGTATACAAAAAACAATCCATAAATCGAGTCGAGATAAATTTAATCTTTCAAGTCTACATTAATTAAATATAAAAAAATTGCTTGTGATAAAGATATGATTATCCACAAACTCCCCATAAACATCATTAATCGAAAAGTCTTTCTCGTGTCATATATATTTAATAATATTAGTGCAAGAAATGTGACTCTCTCCATAAAACCATACACCCATTCCGAACACGCAAAAAGGAGAAGCCAAGCCAACCCCAATTCTAGCTCCATGTTAATATCAATGGCCGATAAACTTGAAACGTTTCGAAACCTGTATGGAAACCAAATATCTAGTCATCTCTCCACCGCTTGTAGAGCTCTGAAGAGATTGGCTTCAGCAACTGTCTTCCTTTTCTTCATCCTCCTCGTTGTCGGTGTCTTCATACTCAGGATTGACGTTGTAAGTTTCTAATTCCAAGGTCTAGCTAAAATATCTCTATTCTTGAATTTTTCATCTCATAAACAACGATCATAAAACCAAATTATAGGGATTTCCTGTGTCATAAGCGGAGGAATACAAATCTTTAGCATTAGTGTTCCAACAAAAGAAGAGAACCTTTCGGTTTTCAATCTCGGAAAAAGATTAAAGAGCGAAAACTAGGATCTTTAATACTATTGAATTATTATTTTTTATGAAATTTCTTAATCTTTGAAATAAATATTTGATCACTAAATTATTATCGCATTTACTAAGAAACATTCATAATGTTGAATACTTGAGTTTCTTTTTTTTTTTTTCTTCTTCTTCTTCAAATTCTTATTCAACAGGCTTGAATATCGTTAGTTTTGACTATTCCAAATTACAATTATCTCTCAATTATTTTAAAATTGAAATAATTATATGCCATACAATATATAAAGTGTCTATTAATTATAGTTTTGACTATTCCAAAAGAGGCCTGAAAGCAACTCGCAACTCCATTTTTATGATTCTACAAAGTACAATTAAATTGTTTATAGTCATAATACCAACAACCATTCTTTCTGATTTGCTTTAAAAAATCAGGTTACAGATATTAGTTTGGTGGCGAGTTGCTCATGTAATGCCTGAGTCAACTCGAGTTCGAGCCCACCTCCCCTAATCTTTTTATTTGTTTAATTTCAGTCTGTTATTACCAAAAAGCCGAAAAGCTCAATTGAATTTCAGCTAAAGTGCCCCAAGAAAGGCATAGCAAAAACTTGTGATTCCAATTACACGGTGCCGTTTGAAACTCCTGCATTTTCAGATGCTAAATGTCCAGAATACTTCCGGTGGATCCACGAAGATCTACGGCCATGGAAGAGTAGCGGAATCTCCAGAGATACGCTGGAAACAGCTAGAAAATTTACAGATTTTAGGCTTGTGATTGTTCAAGGCAAGCTGTATGTGGAACAATATCAAAAGTCGTTTCAGACGAGAGATTTATTTACAATATGGGGATTTTTGCAGCTTCTGAGGTTGTACCCTGGCAGGGTACCAGACTTAGAGCTGATGTTTCGGTGTGGTGACATACCAATCATTCAAAAACGTAACCACCAAGGACCGAATGCCACGTTGCCTCCACCACTGTTTCAATATTGTGGCCACCGCGACGCATTGGACATCGTCTTCCCTGATTGGTCCTTTTGGGGTTGGTAATGCTTTACATTCATTTTTGGATTTTTACTATCTAGTACCCAAGGTTTGCACAAAATTATTAATTCGTCCTTTTGGGTTTATAAAAACTATGTAGTAAATTTGAGAGACTAAATAGTCTCATAGCATTATATCAATATCATATGAAATGTGAATGACCAAATATACAAAATATTTAACGGTGAAATTGATACTTAGATGACAAACTAAATAGTTTCATGAAATTAAATTTCAGGATGAATCATTGATTATTAAATAGTAGGGATGAGTTAATAATTTTAGTCAAACTTGAGTGACTAAATAGAAATTTTCATTTCATTTTCAAAAATTTCATTGGGTTGATTTTTTTAAAATAATATTAAGTTAAATTAATAACAATTTTTAAACTTATGTTTGTGTTATAGGGCTGAGACAAATATAAAACCATGGGAAAATACGTTAGAGGGAATAATAAAAGGAAGCAAGAAGATCAAGTGGAAGAATAGGGTACCCTACGCCTATTGGAAAGGGAACCCATACGTGACCTCAAACAGGGGAGACCTTATGAGGTGCAACGTCGCGGACAAGCATGATTGGAATGCTCGCCTTTATAGACAGGCTAGTAAAATATTACTCTCTCCATTTCTATATATTTATTATATTTTGAATGATTTTTTTAAAGGACTAAAATGTCCAATGTGATAAATATTTGAGAATCGAGATGTAAATAATAGTGATTTTCCTGTTCCATATGTACATTCAAATTCGATCCATTGCATATTTATATATCTATACTGTACCTCCAGGACTGGGCAAAAGAAAGAAAGGAAGGATATAACCATTCCAAATTAGAAGACCAATGCACCCACAGGTACACGATAAGATCATCTATGATTAATCAATGTCAATTTCAACATTTATTAAATTTGAAAGATTGTTTTGTTGTTGTTGTTGTTGTTTAAAAATCCTGGAGAAGGTATAAAATATATATAGAAGGAAGGGGATGGTCAGTGAGTCACAAGTATATATTAGCCTGTGATTCCATGACTTTGCTCATAAAACCTGAATTCTACGATTTCTTCATGAGAGGTATGGTTCCGATGCAGCACTATTGGCCTGTTAGAAACACAAACAAGTGCAGAGATATCAAGTTTGCCGTCGAATGGGGTAATAATCACCCTCGCCAGGTATATTTAACTTCCTGTCTCACAACAACGGCTTATTTCTATTTCCATAAAGATTAACTTAAAAGGTTTAAATATTGCATTATCAATAAGAATGATGGAATTGAAAAAAAATCCCATTCTCTGTTCTAAAATGATGAAGTTGAGGCTGTGATAAAATCTATCAGTTCCAGGATTATAATCTGACAGCGAAACAATGGAAATTTGACAAATACATTAATCCAATCGACTTCTAAATAAAAGCATTTGAATTCTTAACTCTCTCTCCATTTAGAAATTCTAATGTATTTTCTCCGTAATTACACAGGCACGAGCCATTGGGAAGGGAGGAAGCAAATTTATTAAGGAAAATCTGAAAATGGAGAACGTGTACGAATACATGTTTCATACGTTAACAGAGTATGCAAAACTCTTGAAATTTAGACCAAAAATACCAAAAGGAGGTGTTGAGATGTGCTTGGAGTCAACGGCATGCTCAAAAAATGGTGTATGGAGAAAATTCATGGTGGAGTCAATGATAAAGTCACCAAGCGATACACTTCCATGCTCTATGCCTCCTCCTTACGACCAACATTCCCTTCAAGCCATTTTTGACAGGAAAGAAAATATCACAACACAGGTGGTGATAAATCAAACGACACCTTTTTTCTTTTTTAATTAGGTGTGAGCATTTCACTGTTTTTATTTTCTTATTTGGTAGCCTCCAACTTTCCATATGTTCTTGCAAACTTCTAAATTTATATATGGAATGTAAAATTTTAGAATACCAATAAGGAAACATTTATTTTGTTAAAATGATAATATCCTGACCATTCATTCAGAAAAAAAATGATAAAATAAGAACGGTTTTTAAAAAATCTTTCATCGACGGGCTTAGTGTACGAGCTCATCTATATCCATATGTGCAATTTTATGAAACTGAGGACGTTACTTTAGGCCACGTTGAACATCCATTTCTCCAAGGGAAAAATGGAAGATTTGAAATAAATGGAAACATATGACTGGTACAAACTAAAAAGGAAAGTCCAACCAAAAATTTTATTTGTTGTACAATCAGTGTATCTAACTTTATCTGAATTTAACTTGTTTCTTATTATGTCCAATCTTGGAGGTTATTTATGAATTGCAATGGAGTCTAAATATGCAAATTCCAATGGCAGAAAAATCGGATGCAGATCTTGCAAACAATAAAACTCTTCATTCTTCAAAGGGTAGCCAGAATGCTAGCAAACCCGTTGTTTTTCTACTCTTCTTCTTCATCCTCTTGACTGGTGTTTTCATTTGTTGGATTTACGTTGTAAGTTACTGCAATCATTCCTCTTTTCAGATATATGTATTTTTTTTCTTTAAAAAAAATAGTCGTTCATTGATAAAATATTCGTCTTTTAACTAATTTAAATTCCGGTAATCCCTCCAATTGTAAAAAACATTTTCATTAACAAATATTTATAATTCAGTGGATGATTTTTGCGAAACCAGAGTTTTGATTCTTCGATAGCAGAATCGAAATTAAAAAGTTAGGGGAGACAGTAAAATTTTGAAAAATTTTTCATTATTTTATTTCTTGGTTTAATTTTCAGTTTATGACTACAACAAGAGGTCCTCTTCAGATGAATAGTTTTGTATCCAATATACTTAAAAGGCCTCAGCCTAAATGCACCAACAATAGCATGTCAACAAATTGCATAACCAATTATCAATCATCGACTGCTACGTGTCCAGACCACTTCCGGTGGATCCACGAAGATCTACGGCCTGCTACGTGTCCAGACCACTTCGGTGGAATCCGAAGACTAACGGCCTGGAAAGATTCTGGAATATCAAAAGAGATGTGGTTGGAAAATGCTAAAGAATCTGCAGATTTTTAGGTTGGTGATTGTTGTAATGGCAAGAAGTTATGTGGAGAAGTATAATGACGCTTTCAGACGAGGACGTGTTCACATATATGGGGTTTCTTTTTGACAGCTTCTTATGTTTAACCTGGCACGGTACCAGACTTAGAGCCTAATGTTTAATTGCGGTGACAGGACGCAGATCTACAGAAACACTACCAAGGACCAATGCAACGTTCGCTGCCGGTAATGTTTCAGTATGTGGAACCACGAGGTCACCGTCGTTCTTTTTCCCTATTGAGTTCTGGTTGGTATTGCTTGCTTATAATTTTCCTTTCTAAAATTGTCAATATTTTTATTTTTTCTTTTTAAGGAAAAAAAAAAAAGTAAGGCTTTAGAGGTGTTTGAAAAATCAGTTAAATATGTTTTTTAATAGAAGATTTATATATCTTTTTGCAGGGCTGAAGTGAATATAAAACCATGGACAAGTATGCTGAAGGGCATAATAGAAGGCAGCAAGAGGATTAAGTGGAAGGATAGAATACCTTATGCCTACTGGAAAGGTAACCCTAATGTTAATCATGTCAGGTCCAATCTTATGCTCTGCAATGTCTCCAAGAAATATGACTGGAATGCCAGATTATATATACAGGCAAGTAAGTAATATTTATTTCTCTAGTTTTGAAAATAATATAATTTGTAAGATCAGAAACATAATTTGAGTATATGATCCATGTTCAGAATTGGACAAAAGAAACTAAAGAAGGGTTCAAAGATTCAAAATTAGAAGATCAATGCAACTACAGGTAAATCTTTGTAGCAAATATATTTTTATATTTGTTTCCATATGGTTTTTCATTTCTTGGACTAATCAAGTTCTGAAATTTAATTTCTCGAAGATATAAAATCTATGTTGAAGGATATGGATGGTCAGTGAGTGAAAAGTACATATTCGCCTGCGATTCAATGGTGCTGTTTGTAAAGCCCAAGTTCTACGATTTCTTCACAAGAAGCATGGCGCCAATGGAGCAATACTGGCCGATAATGCGTAAGTTAGGGAAACAGTGTGTAGATATTAAACGAGCAGTTCAATGGGGAAACAATCATACTCGCAAGGTACAACTATATCTCTGTCAAAACTATAAATTTTGATTAATTTAAGCTTTATTTCAGGGAATTTTTCTTGTTTCAGGCAAAGGAAATTGGTAAAGCCGGAAGCAGATTCATTCAGGAAAACCTGAAAATGAATTACATCTATGATTATATGTTTCATGTGCTAACTGAATATGCCAAACTCTTGCAATTCAAACCGAGTATACCGAAAGGGGGAATCGAGGTTCGTTCAGACACAATGGCACGATCTCAAACGGGTTTATGGAAGAAGTTCATGCTGGAGTCTATGGTGACGTCTCCCAGCGATACACTCCCATGTACTGTTGAAGGGCAGAACTAGATTTCTGAGGCTAGGGCTAAAAATAATACTAGTGGTATTTTTCTGCTACATTATTATTTCAGCCCATGGTCTCCCAATGAACCATAAAAAAAAAAAAAAAAAAAACAAAAAAAAAAAAAAAACTCCTAGTTTTCAAGCAATTTTCAGAAAAGAGAGTAAAAATTTCAGAGAATAATATTGGAAACAGCTGAATGTAAACTCCGATTGGCAATATCTTATAATATTTAGTGTTTTGATCAAGCTAATCACTATTTCTGTTAATTGAGAGAAAAACATAATTTGTTTGAAAAATTAAGAATCCAACAATACAACAATTCTGTTCCATTAATGACTCAAAAACTGAAATAGACACAATGATGAATTATAAGAAAAAGTAATTAAGGCAAGGAAAGGGCAGATAATAATAAAATATTTGTGAGTATCTTAAAATTCAGATAGCTCGGGCTTTGACAATGTCCAAGCTCATCTCACTTGGATCAGTTGCCTGCAACTCAAGTTGAATGCCATCCAATTCCCTCTTGAATCTGTCCTTTGAGCTCGCATAAAGCATCTTACTCCTCACCTTTGAGGTATCAGGTGCCCTGAAATATTTTTCATTTGCATAATAAGATAATATTTTCAAAATGGCCAAACAAAGACTTATTGCTTACCATGCAATGAAGAAAATCTTGCTTTTCTGGCAATTCTCATCAGTTGTAAAATCAAAATCAAAAACAGCATAACGGCACTCAGCAGGAGGCAGAGAATTAGTGAAATCCTCATAAGATTGGTTCGGACCGCCAACCTTCTCTACCATCACCTGTTGGTTGTTCTCATCAATTTTGAACACAATGAACCGATAATTCCTTTTCGCCTTTAGTTCCAGAAATTTGAGCTTGCACTCATCGTTCACTGCCATTCCAGATGCCGAATTCGACTACCACCACATTGTTAACATATACAAATACATTAGCTACCACTTAATTCATCCATTGTTACAGTAAGTGAAAAAGACAAATGAAAATTCGGAATTGACAGATTTGAGAGCATTACCATGTTGTCCTCCAATTAGAAACAGACCAATTGCAATGATAAAAGGAAAGCAGAAGAGACAAAAAAGCAGGTAGAAAAATGTTTAAGAAAGAGAACAGTAGAGACAGAGATGGCTGGTTTAATTTGGATAAGGCATTGAATGAAGAAAGAGAAGTAGAGAGAGAGAGAGAGAGAGAGTTTTGATTTGGGGTAAAAATATAAAGGTTGCTTCCTTAATTCTTATTAGGCTGATCACATCCACAATATACTTTGAAGTTACCACATTTTAGGGCATGTTAATGGTTAAAAATCTTGATTAGGCTGTTGCAATTTTGGCTTCAAATACATTTTTCACCGTTTGACCATTTTTCCAAATTTAGGATTTCTACAATCTCTGGTCTTCCCCATGCTTCGATAGTTAGTTGCTGATTGCTGACTCTATGTATTTGATTTTTTTTTTTTTTTTTTTCAATTTTAGATATTATTCATAGTTCCAAACCTGTAATCTGCTTTTTCTTTGTGGAATTAGATGTATTTAATCACTTTATATCCTCTAAACATATAAAAATAAACCGCACTTAGTTAACACGTGTAACAAGTTCAGTAGTTTAATGTCTGATATAAATAAATTAATAATATTAATTATTTTAATTAAATATATGTAGACTAATATGAGTCAGCTTCACCCCCTACTTCCAAAATATCAGAACTTAGTTGTCAATGACGTTAGCATATAGTATATAATATTTATATGGAAAACTAAATAATTTTTGTTTTGGTATTTTAATGCTTCGATTCATATTTTATATGAATATTTTTTATTAACAATATTATCATTTATTCATATTTTATATGAATGAGTTTATCAGTAACAGTAAATTTTGCTATCATAATAATAGTATTGAAAGCCGTCCCGGATCCATAAAATTTTTCATGGGACTATGTACCAACGCTAAATAAAATATATTCAAGCTATATATTTTAGTTGAAGTATTTTTACAAATTCAATGGTAATTAAATTTATAATGTTGCTAGGTCAAGTGATCCCACTCACCATATAAATTCAATGGTGAGCAAATGTTTGTTTTGATTCAATCAAATCGAATCAGATGTGGAAGATATAAAACTGAACTTTCTAAGGTTTAAATCAAACTGAATCGAGGATGAGTATTAACCGAGCAACTCGGACTGGATTGCTCTTATTAGTTTTTGCCTTATTAATTTGGTTTTAAGTCCAAATGAGTAATTCTTGTATAATCGAGTCTGTCTAAATAATAATTTCGATTCAAATCAAATAAAACATTCAATCAAACTCCTTTTTGAGCGGTTATTGAAACTGAAATCGGTTGGTTCAGTTGGATGATTTACACACCCTACGTTGGAGGAAATTTAACAAATACGTTTTTTAAAAAATTTTACGTAGACCGAATTCACAACCCTTTTCATAGATCAAATCAATGAGAATAAGAGTTTTTATTGAAACGATGATATTTCTAATCATACAAATGATAAAATCAGAATACTTTTTAAAAAATATTTATTATAATTGATTTCGTTTATAAGTATAGCTATAAATCCGGTCTATATAAGTAATTTTTTATTTTTTTAAAAATAGTGGATGGAGGAGCTTACACCTCATCCTTGGAACAAGTCTTGTTTGGCTTCATAATTGGCTGTTAATTTAAATAATAATAGAAAAAAAAGATTTGTTAGGTTTGATGTCGCATTCATAGATAAATATTCATAAATTCTTAATTTGCATCGCAAGCATAGAGGTTAGGTAGCAAAAAGGGTTTAAAAGGATAATTACACAAGTTCTTTGAAGTTTTGATTAGCAATTAAGCATTTTTTGACTTGCTTGGATATTCGTTTCCTGTGGAGCTTTAATTGTTTTCCTTGGAAACGATATGTATGCAATTTTTTTTTTTTTAATTTTTTCATTCTAAATATATATATATATATTTTTTTTTTTTTCTTGATTTTTACGGCGCCTCATAGGGAAAGATGTGACGTCAAAATCCAAAACCAGAGGCGCATCATTAGATGCTTTTTAGGAGAAAAGCATATGCCCTGAATGGAAAAGGGTAAAATTGAAAAATCCCTAGCAAGAGGATTAAAATAGGAAGTACCCTTTGGTGGGGCTTCTGTCGGATGACACGTCTAGTCTGGTTCGTTTTCGGTTTACCATTTGGGCGTGAATGGAAAACTTTACCTTCCGTATTACTTAATCAAAACTTCAAAACAAACAGGCCTCAAAATACGGTCAAGTGTCAACTATTAAATTATCTACATAATAAATGAATTTCTTAAAATCTTTAGTTAAAAAATAAGTACATATGTTGAAATGATTTTTTTTTTATCTATATTAAAATAAACTTAAAATTATAAAAAGGAATAAAATCATATTTGGTTTTATTATGTGATTTTATTTTTTTATAAAATAAATATTGTCCTTGGAAAAATAAAAAAAAAAAAAAATCTGAAATTGTGGTGTGTGTGTGTGTGCGTGTGATGCTTAGCAGATGCCAATGTGACATTGCCAACTGCCACTAAGTGTACCAAAATCTGTCGTTTCATTCTCGGTTTTCATGTGCCTCTTTCTTTCCACTAATTGTTTTATTTTTTATTTTTACCACTAACGATGCCGCTAGAGTTTGAAGGACTTGCCCTTTCGCAATAATTGAATTCTTCCCCATCCTTTTAAAAGATATTTTTCAATAAATATATAGATTTTTCTATGAATTTTGATCACTTCATGTACTTCTTATAAGATCCAAATTTTAATTTATTATTTTATTATTATAACCCTTTTCTGGAAATGAGAGGCATTATGGTCATATAAAAAAAATATTTTTTTTGTTAAAAAAATGATAAGGATAGCCTTTACTCTATTTTTTTATTTTAATTTTACTTAAAAACAAACTATTTTGACCTAATTTACATTTGACACAATTTTTATTATAATCAATTAAAATATCTAAAATTCCTTCAGTAAATTCGTGTGATGGGTAAAATAAATATAAAAGTATTTTAAATATTTTAATCCACTGTAATAAAAGTTGTATCGTATCTTGGTTTAGCATGTGTTTGAGGACATGGCTTAAAATTTTAAACTTCAAATTATTAATTTTTATTTATTTATTTTTGTGAACAGAAATGGTTAAGGATAGGCATATGAAAAAACGGGATTGCCTTGTGATTCTTTGAACAACTCATTCTTTACCGTTGTTAATTAAAACAAAATAAAAAAGGACAAAAATATGGAAAGCCTGCCCATAAAAATGCAACAAACCAAACAAATCGTCCCACGTGTCGAGATTATGCGACGACTAATGTAGTGGACCGCACCGTGGTAAAAGAATAATAATAAAAAAATTTCACATTTTCGTAGTATTATCTATCGTATATCAGTAGACAGTAATCAGGTTGCTGGAAGCAAGCAAGAAAACGAAACGGAAACAAGTAACAAGACGACTCGACTTGACTACTGCATCTTTCTTTACTGTGTACTCTCTTTATAATTTGTATATATTTTTCTTCGTCAATGAAAAACCGAACATTTAACTCGTTTTCGACGACTCCGTCTCTTTCCTTTCTCTTTCCAAAATTTCCCTATCTCTCTCTCTCTCTGCGAATCATCGCATGAACCATCCGTAAATTCTCAACGTTCATTTCATTTCATTTTTTTCATCTCTCTACCAATTCTTCTCCTTTAAGACTCTTGTTTTTTGGTCCGAAATACCTCACCGTGTACCTTTCCTCACCTTCTCAACTCTACTCTTCAAGCTTAGAAAGAGGTGAGTTGGGTCTTTCTTTTGGTTAATTTTTGGTTTGTTAATTTCTTGATGTGCTTCTTGGGTTTCATCGGCTTTAAACGAATGCTGTTATGTGTTTGCTCCATGCTTAATACCCGATATGGGTTTTTTGAGCAATGATTTTTTTTGATCGTTGAAGGAATTTGAGAAATTTGGGTTTTTTTTATTAAGTTCAGTGCACAATGCTTGTTTCTTCTTTTTTTTTTTTTTCGGCCTATTTCTAAAATGAAAAATTTTTCTGTTTGTTTGGAAAGAAAAAATTTGCAATTTTTTTCCCCTTTGACGGAATAGCGTAGTTGGCTTTAATATAAATTTTTTGGTGAGTACGCTTTAACTTAAATTTAATGAGTATAAAGTAAGGTACTCTAATAAATGAAGCCTCTTTATATTTTTTTTTCTGGGTAAATTTGCACATTTTTTCCGTTTTCTTTTTGAAATTGCAATAAATAAAAGCAAAAATGGAAAAAAAATCCAGATAAGGGACATCCGTCTGGTGGCCCTGAATATTGTCAAAGCTGTGTTGATTCCGAGATATTCATGTCCTCCTTTTTGGTTATTGAGAATATGGAAAAGGAAATTAAAAAATTCCATTGGTAAATTATACTTGGAATCTAGATAAGCAAAAGGACTTGACGCCTTTTCCATCCTTCCCTTTTTTTTGTGATTCATTATTGTGAGTAATAATTAGAAGCTGAAGCCTTGAAACTTTCTGAGGGAATCTGCCCTTTTCTTTTTCTTTTTAATTTTTACTTGCTGGGAAAAGTCCATCTTTTTAAAAGTGGAACTAATTGTGTCTGATTGTTTCTTATAGCTTGAAGCTTGAGATTGGTTTTTCCGTATGCTATGTAATGTTTCATTACAGTTTCCGCTGAAATAATTGTTGGTTGTGATATATTGACCTCAAATTTTCTTCATATAGATGCATATATTGTTAATGTTCAGTTCTTATTTTACTGCGTTTGTCCTGTTTTTCATTTGAAGTCTTCCTACTTTCTGTTTTCATTTTTCTTTAGCAGCCAGAAGGTTTTTAGGATTGAACTGTTTATTTTTTTCCTCCATTTCAGGTATTTGCTTGTTTCCTGACAATTTCTGCAAGGAGCTGCTTATCATTCTCCCTCATTAGTGATCTTTATTTATTTGGTAAAATAAATTTCAATGAGTAATCTCAAGCTAGGAGTGGAAGTTGTGAGTGCCCATGACCTTATGCCCAAAGATGGGCAGGGTTCAGCTAGTGCATTTGTGGAGCTTCATTTTGATCATCAGAAATTTCGCACTACTATTAAAGAGAAAGATCTCAATCCGGTTTGGAATGAGAACTTCTATTTCAACGTATCTGATCCAAACAACCTATCCAACCTCACTCTTGAAGCATATGTTTATAACCATACTAAAGAAAACAATTCCAAATCTTTCCTCGGCAAGGTTCGCCTCACTGGGACATCATTTGTCCCCTACTCCGATGCTGTTGTTTTGCATTACCCTCTGGAAAAACGGGGCATTTTTTCTCGCGTCAAAGGAGAGCTTGGTCTGAAAGTGTTTGTAACTGATAATCCTGCAATAAGATCCTCAAACCCACTTCCTGCAATGGAGTCCTCTGTTTTTACAGATTCGCGTTCAACCCAAGCTCAAGCACCAGAGCAAAAGATTGCAGACTCAGTCTCTAAACTGTTCACTGGTGACAAGAATGAGTCCAGGCATACATTTCATCACCTTCCAAACTCTGGCCAGCCACAGCCGCAGCCACAGCCAGTGCCACAGCAACAACCAATGTCACAGCAATTTGTCTCTGCAGCAGCAGCAGCTGTCCCGCAATCAATGAACTATGGGACTCATGAGATGAGATCTGAACCTCAGGGCCCAAAAATTGTTCGCATGTTCTCTGATTCATCATCACAACCTGCTGATTATGCCCTCAAAGAGACTAGTCCTTTCCTTGGAGGGGGACAAATCGTTGGAGGACGAGTCATTCGTGGGGACAGGATGACCAGTACTTATGATCTTGTTGAACAAATGAGGTACCTTTTTGTACGAGTTGTAAAAGCTCGTGATCTTCCCACCATGGATGTGACAGGGAGCCTTGACCCTTACGTTGAAGTAAGAGTTGGGAACTACAAAGGAATTACAAAATACTTTGAGAAGCAGCAAAATCCCGAGTGGAATGAAGTTTTTGCCTTTGCAAGGGAGAGAATGCAATCATCTGTGCTGGAAGTTGTAGTCAAGGATAAGGATCTGGTGAAAGATGATTTTGTTGGGATTGTAAGATTTGACATGAACGAGATTCCGACACGGGTTCCGCCTGATAGCCCACTGGCGCCAGAATGGTATAGGCTTGAAGACAAGAAAGGAGATAAAGTAAAAGGAGAGCTGATGCTTGCTGTCTGGTACGGTACTCAAGCTGACGAGGCATTTCCTGATGCTTGGCACTCTGATGCAGTTACTCCCACTGATAGTTCCTCTTCCTCCGCTATCTCTACACATATACGCTCAAAAGTTTACCATTCTCCAAGGTTATGGTATGTCCGTGTTAATGTGATTGAGGCGCAAGACCTGGTTCTTTCTGATAGGAATCGGTTCCCAGATGCTTATATTAAGGTACAGATTGGTAACCAGGTCTTGAAAACAAAGACTGTCCAAACTCGAACAATGAACCCAGTATGGAATGAGGATTTAATGTTCGTTGCTGCTGAGCCCTTTGAAGATCATTTGATTCTTTCAGTTGAAGATCGTGTTGGCCCAAACAAAGATGAGAGCATTGGCAAGGTTGTTATACCATTGAACTCTGTTGAAAGGCGTGCTGATGATCGAATTATTCGTAGCCGGTGGTTCAACCTTGAAAAGTCCATTTCAGCTGCCATGGATGAGCATCAGGCTAAGAAAGATAAGTTCTCTAGTAGGCTTCATCTCCGTATTGTTCTTGATGGAGGTTACCATGTGCTTGATGAATCAACTCATCACAGTAGCGATCTTCGACCAACAGCAAAGCAGCTGTGGAAGCCATCAATAGGAGTCTTGGAGCTTGGTGTTCTAAATGCTGATGGACTCCACCCGATGAAAACAAGGGAAGGAAAAGGTACATCAGATACATACTGTGTAGCTAAGTATGGTCACAAATGGATTCGTACTAGAACCATAATCAACAGCCTTAGTCCGAAATACAATGAACAGTACACTTGGGAGGTGTATGATACTGCAACAGTTCTTACTGTGGGAGTCTTTGACAACAGCCAAATTGGTGGTTCAAATGGTAACAAGGATGTCAAAATTGGTAAGGTTCGGATACGCCTCTCTACTCTAGAAACTGGCCGGGTTTATACACACTCTTATCCACTGTTAGTACTTCACCCTTCTGGTGTCAAGAAGATGGGAGAAATACATCTGGCAATACGATTTTCATCCGCATCATTGGCAAACATGATGTTTCTATACTCGCGTCCCCTTTTGCCAAAGATGCATTATGTCAGGCCATTGACTGTGATGCAGCAGGACATGTTGCGCCACCAAGCAGTCAATATAGTGGCTGCTCGGCTTAGTCGGGCAGAACCTCCTCTTAGGAGAGAAGTAGTTGAATACATGTCCGATGCAGACTCTCATCTCTGGAGCATGAGGCGCAGCAAAGCAAACTTCTTCAGGCTGATGTCAGTTTTCTCTGGATTATTTGCTGTTGGGAAATGGTTTGGTGAAGTATGCATGTGGAGAAACCCAATCACTACTGTGCTAGTACACCTCCTCTTCGTGATGCTTGTCTGCTTTCCAGAACTAATTCTGCCAACTGTGTTTCTATATATGTTTTTAATAGGGCTTTGGAATTATCGGTTCCGACCAAGATACCCTCCACACATGAATACAAGAATTTCATGTGCAGATGCTGTGCACCCTGATGAGCTTGATGAAGAGTTTGATACATTTCCAACAACCCGGAGCGCAGAGATAGTCCGTATGAGGTATGATCGGCTAAGGAGTGTGGCTGGGAGGATCCAGACTGTGGTGGGTGATATGGCTACTCAAGGAGAGAGGATTCAGTCACTACTAAGTTGGCGGGATCCTCGGGCTACAGCTATATTTGTGACATTTTGTCTAGTGGCTGCCATTGTATTGTATGCAACACCCTTCCAGGTGCTAGCTCTTGTGGGAGGATTTTACCATATGAGGCATCCTAGATTCCGGCATAGGACACCCTCAGCACCAATTAATTTCTTCCGTCGACTGCCAGCTAGGACTGATAGCATGTTGTGAATAGGTAAATGGAGTTTTGTTTTGTATCAGATTCTGGTTTTGTTTGGTGATGCATCTAAAGCTTTGCCGTGTCTTGTTATTTTCTGTTTGATGTGTCCTCCCATCCAAACGTATACATACATATTGATAAATTAAAGTTAAATGGTAGAGATTTGGTATTTCAATGTTGATATCATTCAACAAAAGAATGGGTGCTTGTTATTTTCATAGTCCTGTAAAAGGTAGTGCTGTGTGGTTCCATAATTCTGATGGCTCGATATTTTGTGCCAGCAATGGCAGATCTCAGTTAAAACGTTTTGACAAACAGTATACACCTGCTAAACAGTAAATTACATCGGAAATCATAGTTATAGATATGTATGTATTAATTAATTAAGCATCAGAGCAACATATATCGGTCTCACATTTTCCGGTTCGGAAATGCCTAAGGCTTCCTACATTTTCCGGATCAGAAATGCCTAGGGCTTTTCAAAGTGCCGGTGAAGCATCAACAACATTGTTTTGGCAAGGAGGTTGAAAATCATATTCAGAATCACATTCCAGGGTAGAGTCAAACTCATCAACTATTTTAGCTTTAACAGTCTTTCTATTGTCATATATTGTAATATAGTCCAAACATCTTTTTTTGTTAACAAACCACCTGTGGAAAGAGCTACCACCCAGATGATAGTTATCACATTCAGATGGGCTACTACCATCGCCGCCTGATGCAGAACTGTTCGATGTTAGTGTTGCTTTTGTATGACCAGTAACTGGCCGTGAACATTTATAGGTTGTGTGAAGTTCACCATTTACACAACAATCAGACTCGTATTCTTGGTTGCATTGCCCTGGAGGAGGCTTTTTGCCCCTTATCTGCCACTAGGCTTGCAAATTTGAGATTCTGTAGATTTGTGGATATAAAAGATTAAAATATTTAATAAATTGTGAAAATTAGGGTACGAAACCATCTTATTTAAGTAAATTTATGTAGAAGGTACTAATTATTGTTAAAAGGGAAAGATTTACTAAAGTGCTAGGGTAAGCAAGTCTTATCCCTCCAGAGATACTAATTATTTTTGTAGAATGTATATAATGGCATAAAATTCTGTAACAAAACCCAAAAATTTGCAGATTTCAATGACCAGACAGATTAATTAACGACACATTCAATTTTTGAGAAGAGAACTGTAAACAATAATACTGCCTACTAATAATTTCAAATCAACATTGAATATCTTTCTCTCAAGAACTGATCATCGAGTTAAATTCACGAGAATTGAAATATCTAACTAGTTGTCATTAAGCTGCAAAATGAGTACAATCCATGGTCTGTTAAAGGTTAAATGCCTTCCGCTCATAATCAGCTGACTTCGATCTTCATCACTGGACTTCAGAAGATGAGATTCAAAGTGGTGCTGATACAGTGGAATATATATACATTGCCCTTGAAACAATTAATAGAAAATTTATCATCCGCGCATCAAGTCAATGTCTACATGCGTGTTGCGCATATCCATAGACTGTGAACCAGGCCATAAACCCACTGAAGATGTTGGAGGAAGGTTCTGGCTGGGTTGAACACTAGTTGGAGTTATTGGATTCTCAACCGTCTGATGATCCAGGTCTCTGGCACCATCTGGACCTTCTCCTTTCTTATTCTTTGTCTTTGAACCACCCCATATGAAACTTCCTACTATCACCTGAGCATGTGCATCAATAAGTAAATCATTGTAGAAGACAACTAGAGCGTGTCAACTTGTACTTCAGTTCCAAATTAAATATGTAACTATGCCAAATAGCTGAATACTTAGGTTCACAATGTACTCTTGCCAACTGAAATAGCATTAGACTATCTTAGCATTCACATAACAGGGATGCTATATTCACTTGTTCTTGTCATCAACAGGTTTTATGAATAATTCGATTCAAACAGATGATGATCATTTATGTAAAGCACAGAATACAATAGAGTCTGGTAAAAGCAAGAAGTTACCTGAACAGGGCTTGCTGCAATGAGCACCCCTCCTACGCCTCCGCCAATAACACGACCATCAGGACTAGCAAGAGAGACACTCAAACCACCAGTTCGATTACGGGAGCCACCATTGCTAGTGACCAAGTAAGACCCCGATAAGCACAATATCTCAAAGCGCCCCTACAGAACAAAGCAAAACAATTTCGAGCCGAACTGACCAGATATGCACAAATGCTAGATAAGAATGTCTAAAGCCAAGGAAGGCCTAAAAGTCAAGGGAGCTACTTCCAAACTTCTCATTGAATAGCTGAGGATAGTTTTACCAAAAGAGTTAGTTTAGAGGTAAAGCTTGGGTTAATGTTATTTTGATGTTCAAAATGTAAACAAAATATTATTAGCAACATCTAAAACTGAGAACCAACCCAAAGAAAAAAGACCATGTGTTACCTCATAAGTAACGGTGCCTCCAGAAGTTGATGGCTGACGAAGAGTCACAGTAGAGACAGCACCATTTGCTGACAAGATGCATATAGCTCTTGGCCCTTGCTGTGAGAATGACATTATTTTCGTTGCAATGTCCTATGCAAGAAGTTGAGCAATTTCAATACAAAAGAAAAGTATAACCAGCAAACCAGGACATACTACAAACTGATGACTCTCACAGGTCCAAACTAAAACTAAGAAGCATAACAGGGCCAAACCAAGTACTGCTTTCATTTGTCAGTCCTTCCTTTTAAACTATCTGTTTGTCTATTTTCTATTAATGGCACTATTACATTTTTCTCCTGTACATTATTCTGGTTAATTTAGCATATACCATTCAAAGAAAGTTCACAAATGAAAATGCCACCAAGCACGGGGAGATCCCATTAGTGATTTGTTAGTTTGGACGCAAAAACTCTTCAACTTCAAGCAAGTGGTCCTAAAGTTCAAATCTTGGGTACCCTTATTCCTATAATTTAATGCTCTATACTTAGGCACATCACGTTTATTAGAATAGTTTTGACACGAAGTCAAAGAATACAGTGTACTGCAGCCACTCAGTATGTTCACATCATATGATTCATATCTTCCCAGCATAATAAATTATATAGAAGGATCAGTTTTTTTATATAATAATTATTTTCTACTTGCATTTAGATTATAATGGCAGATTTTTAAGATAAAACAGCATACTTCTCCTACTGCAATAGTGATGATATGTGGAGTAAAACCCATCCCAGCTGAACCAGACAGCCATTCACCTAGCAAAACAATTACAATTTGCATTATCAAACACCAACAAGTAAAGAGCATAAAGAAGATTTTTCTACTCAGATTACAAGTCTAAGATAAATCTACCAATACATGGTGTCATTAGTCTTGCTCTTAACCAATTACAACACAAGATAGGCCCACCGATACACGGTCCCATTTAACAGGGTAGAGTTATGCTATTAAAAAGTGAAAAAAGGTAAGAAATTTTGAAACTATCAAAAAGCAAACACTTCTATTAGGTATTAAGGCCAGCAGAATCTGCATTTGTTTAACCAACAGAATAAAAAATTAAATACTAAAAAATGTATAGGCTTGTCAACATAGCTTCTCATTAGCGTTTTATCTTATTAATGGCTCACTAGACTCGACATTGCTAATTTCTACTTAAATATTCTTTGCAGTTGACAAAAGGTTGAGCTATTAAAGTTAGCATAAAGCTATAAACCTATTTATTCTGCCTAGAAATATACAGTCAACCTATCTAGCAGATTTTAGGTTCTATTTAAGGAATTTTGCCCCTGGCTTCTTGAAAAATTAGTTACTGCATATCCTGGCATTTTCAATTGCAATATACACATTCTTCCCACCTTATAGAGGTACTTAAAGCAGATGTTGGAATGATTAGCGAGCAAATAAATCATCTAGTTAAGATTAGAAAAAAAGATAAGTTGACATTGGAAAAGAAGCATCAAAATGCTTGAGTAAATTTTAGCTAAAAATCTGCACTTAATAAGAGGTTATCTGTCAGAATGCAATAATATATCCATTAAGCTTTAACGAGTCCAATCAGATTCAGTGAATTCATTATATTCTATTTAAATATATTACGAACGCAATTCTGCCAAAGAAACCTTACCAAGCGAAGCTAATTGTTGTTTCCTCCCAGTCCCAGGTGGCCGCCCTCGACCCCGTTTCTGGGTTGGGATTATTGTACCAGGATGAGTAGACAATGAGGGAGATAATGCCAGTGATACAGTCCCATCCGGTCCATATTTTCTTGGCCTTCCCCTTTTCCTTTTCACATGCTCACCAGGCGGTGGCATCCCAGATGGTGCACCCATATTAACACCATGAGTTGGGATGGCTGTTGAAGTTTCTATTGGTAATGTAGATCCAATTGTATTGGCTCCAACATTAGATTGAAATGATACATTTGTATTAGTTAAAGGATTGATGCCTGACGATACACTTAAACCAGACTGTGTTCCAGAACCAGGCATCCCTCTTTGCATGTAGAATGACGCAGAGCCAGATATCGCCATAGCATCCCTTCGATCCATGCATTTACTATACTCAACAGTGTCTCTTAAGCAAATTTGGACCCGATTTTCAACAAATTGCAATATTTAGATTTTCCTATCTTCTTTACAGTTCGGTTCAGTGTCGAACTCCACCAAAATGCACGAATTTAAAACAATGTTACTCTTAGACCCTCTTTTCACAATAAAGAAGGATTCTTTTCTAAGGATATATGAATCAAAATCTTGAACGAATATGAAAGGCGTGAAAAACACATATAAGTTTCACATTCTAAAGATGAAAAATGTGCTTCAAGAAGCCAAGCAAAGCTCAAAAAGACACATTGTTCAAGAATGGGGCACAAGAGGACCCTCAAGATCACAGTCAAAGTAGCGCGAGAGGATTTTGAAGTCTAGAGATATGAAAATAAAAAAAAATAAAAAATAAAAAAAGAGGAAACAACTCCTAGATTCGAAGAAACTTCAAAGTTAAAGCTAAACTGTCAGTAAAATACTAAAACTAATTAGATTTGAAAAGAAGTATACAAATTAGAAAGATAAACAGATGCAACAGAATCAAAGAAAAATTCAGGAATCGTAAGGAAGCAATAGAAATAAAAGAGGAGAAATCTAAAGAGCTAGGAAGTTAAAGGAAAAGACAAAAATGCAAGCTATTTTTACAGCTTACCAAACCAAAATCACAAGAAACAAGAAGAAAGACTTGATATCGAAGATAAACAACTGAAACAGGTCCACAATCTCACCAACCCATCACTCATAAACCTTAAACACCAAGCATCTTATAAGCCAACAGCAAGCCTCGAAGACCAACACAAATTCAAACCAAAATTTGGAGTCAATGCCACCAAAGAACTAAAACCCAGTTCTGAAAGCACACCGCACGAGTTTGAAGTTGAAAGGCAACCCTCCTTCTCTCTCTTTCGAAGAAATAACAAGTCTAAAAGCGAGTAATAACTCAAGAGTAATGAAGGGTGGGTTAAAAGTCGAACGCTTTTCAACTCTCTCTCTCTCTCTCTCTCTCTCTCTCTCAAAAGCCAGAAGAAGGAAGAGGATTGAAATGAGCTTGGAGAGAGGAAGTAAAAGTCGAACAGTTTTGTTCAGAATCAAGGCAGAAATTGAGAATGGTAGAGAAGGAGAGAGAGGGAGGGGGCCAGAAGGGTAATGAAGCGAAGTAATTACTTACTACAAAAAAGCTCTTTGACACAAGTCCTTATCGCGATGCATATTTCTAGAGTACACATTTCTCTCTCTTCCTCTCTTTTTTTTTTTTTTTTTTTTCTAGAGACGGGAGGGGGCCAGAAGGGTTTAATGAAGCGAAGTAATTACTTACTACAAAAAAGCTCTTTGGACGACAAGTCCTTATCGCGATGCATATTTCTAGAGTCGACATTTCTCCTTCTCTTCCTCTCTTTTTTTTTTTTTTTTTTTTTTCCCTTCCTCTACCTCTCTCTGTACTGTATGCCACAAATAAAGCTGTTTATCTTTCTCTCTCTATCTCTATTACTGTACATAATAAATTTTTTTTTTTTTTTTTTTTCCCTTCTCTACCTCTCTCTGTACTGTATGCCACAATAAAGCTGTTTATCTTTCTCTCTCTATCTCTATTATGTACATAATAAAGCAACTTGAAAGCTTTATCTTTCTTCTCCTACGAGTGATGATGATTTACTTTACTGAGTTCTTAAAGAGAGAAGGCTCTCTATACAAACAAACAAAAACTTGAACAGAAAAAAGCGCCTCTTTCTTGGTGGATAATACTGAATTTTTCTTTTTTTTTTTCTTTTTGAAAATTAATGAAAATACGGCCGACTCTGTATCTGTATCAGCTTATGTCACTACCTTCTGTCCTACGATCACCTACGGCGCGTGAAAATTGCTTCATTCTACTATCAAATTCTTATAAAATTGTAAAAAATATTCATAAACCACATAAAAAATAATAATAATGAAAAAGGTACTGTATGTCACGTTTCTAATTTCAATTTTTAGTCTTTTATTTAAATCAAAATTTAGCATTATTGAGGTATATTCTGTTGTCTTTTAGTAGTACATAAAACTAGGCTATAAATCGTAATAGATGTCTAAGAATTATTTTATAAATTCACCAAAAGAATTGGGAGAAAATATAATTATTTAAAATTAGTTTGGTTCATTATAATTATTCTAATACTTTTTAATTATTTTTCTTCAAATAGATAAAAATAATAAATTAAAAATTTTTCATTTTCAATTGTTGATGCTATAGTTATAAAAATTCACGTAAGGATATTTTATAAATTAATATATTATAATATTTAAAATTTTATTTACTATATTTATTATTAATTGAACTAAAATTTGCAATCTAATTCCCAACAAATAAGACAAATACTAAAAATCAAAAATTGTAAGACTGGTTTGATTTGAAATGTTATCTCAATTATTCAAAAAGAAAATTAATTTAATTGGTTAATACAATAGAGAGCACGACCTCCTTAAATGGTTTATGGCCCACGCGCTAACGGAATACGTAAAAAGAATGAGCTCAATGTAAACGGGTTAGGGGGCCCAGCCCGAAGAGAGGGTGAACTTTGTTTGCATGTGACTTTTCTCTGTTACCACTAAACTCTGCCCTGTGGTAGTCCCATCCACCCAAAATATCTATTTGGTGCCTTGATATTCTCACCCCCCACCCTTTCCTATTTCTGTCACCCACCCCCTTGGTTTTGTATTAGGAAAAGGAAATTCATTTATTCTTTTTTTCTTTTTTTAGAATTATTAGGAAAGAAATGTGCATGCCAATGAATTTAAAAAAAAAAAAAAAAAGAAAACAAATTCTTGGGTCTAGCAATAGATATAATCAATTGAAAATTGGGATGGACTTTTGATTTTTGAAATTATGGTATGATAATTTTTTGTTCAACACTCACAAATTTCAATTAATTTGATATTTAATATGATTACTAAAGGGTAATAGTCACATGAACTAATAGTTTATAATAAAAAAAAAAGATTAAGATTTCTTTATTCTCCTCTAGGGAATGGAGGGTCAAAGTTGACTTTGGTAAAATAGAAGAAAGATAAAAGCTACCGTAAATAATTATCATATGGAATGTTATGTTGTCCATATAGAAATATAGAATCCATAAAAAATAAATTATTTTATAAAAGGAAGATTATTATTTTAATAGATTGAGGAATGAGATTTTGGAATTTTATTTTCCCTGGGCCAGACATTGGATCCTCAACCCCCTGCTATTGGAAGTACCTTTGAAACCCTCAATTCATATGTATATACATAATTTTTTAATTCCTGTCCATGTTTGTCATGACACTCGACAACAATCTTGGTCTGGCTTTTAACATTATCTCACGTCATTTTCGTTATCTAACCCCAAATACTATACTTTTGATTAAAAAAACCACATCTTCAAAATGTACACAGCGAGTTTTATCTATAAAGTTAAGGATTCGAAATTCAGTTATGGCGTAAAAACACAGGCTTTATAAAAAAAATAGCCATTGTTGATCTATTTTTCTTTATAAATTATACCCTTTTGAGATATTTCTACATAGCAATACAAAAGAAGAAAACTATTTTAATAATTAAGATTAATATGAGGTTTGAATAGGAAATATCATGGTTTTGGAAATGCAGATTAAGAACACAGAAGAACAATATATATCATCATATGATGAGATTAAATTCAGGTATAAAGTGTGAAAACTGTGAATGATTGGTTAAGGCAGAAAAGCAGAAGGTTACGTGAATGATGTTATAACCCTACCACATGCAATTTTTATCAACAAGCACATGTTTACTGTGATGTTGACTTAACATAAAAATGGAGCCTGACAAGAGTTATTGACCACCCAATTGGTTCTAACTTTGAACCAGATGAGTCTGGTAAAAAACTCGTTACCCAGAAAGTGAGTTTCTGCTATATCGAGACAGGTGATTTTAAATGTTATCAGAACCTTTCTTTTTCCTTTACTTTACTTTTCTTTTCTTTTTTTTTTTTTTTAAATGTTTTAAAATACCCAAATGAAACTACTGATTGGTATAAGAATTATTTATACTTGAATTAGAATACAAGATTAGTCAAAAGAAAGCAAATGGGAAAGTACCTGCAATCAACAATGATCAAATTTAAGTTTCATTAATTACGATAGAACCTTCTTTCTGCTTACTTGATATTATCAATTTTTAATTCGAATTATTAAAGACTTATGAGTACTTCTTTCTTCTCTTTTGTTCTAAGAGTAAAGCAAAATCTTGCATTGTACCCTAATTATGTTGATAAATAAGTAAAAAATTCAGTTTCATCACTCTTAAATCTTCAAAAGAAAGAAGTTCTCTCTGATGGGTAAATGATAAACTGAAAACTTATATAGCTAAACCCTTCATGAATATTTATTAGTGAAAACTGATATGGCCCAGTATATTCACTAGCAGATTCTTTTACATTAAATGTGCATCACTTCAAATCACATGCTATACTTTGAATATCAAAAAAATTTTAAATGTGAAATATGCTTAAGAAGTCAAGATCAATGCCATTTGAAGGTTTATTGCCTGTAAATTTATAGATTTTACTAATATAAATTCCAGATGCCAAATGAGAGTATGAAAATTTTTTACTGGGCATGCATCGATGGTGGAACCCGCTCGGTACAATTCAAAATTGAAGAAGATTTTTTTTGAGTAGTAGATTTTGTGGGCTTCTTTTCTCTGTTCAAGATAAGCAAAGGTAAAAGATAGAACATAGAAGAACAAGAATTGACAAATGTACGAGATTTCAAACCAAGTGGAACAACAGTAACTAAAAAGGCCAACCAGAAAGAATGCTGTTAAGAATTTGGTTAGGGTAAATAGTACTGAATTCAAAAAAATAGAAAAAAAATGTTTTTAATTTTGACATATATACAATTTGAAAGTGGGAAAGGAATAAAAGAAAAATAGAAAAAAGGAAAAAGACGTAAGAGTTGAAAAGCAAGATGATGTTGGTTGGTGGAACAACCCTCAACCTATATTTGTTGAGGTGTAACTGTGTTTTTAAGAATAAAACAACCGCTGCTTTTGACTAAGAAACCCTACTTGTTTTGTTCGGAACTCTTTCAATGTTGCCTTAAATAAGCTGTGAGGTCGCCCTTTAAAATATCATCAATCATTAAATATTTGAATGGATTAGGAAATTTCATTAAATATTTGGAATGAATTAGGAAATTCGTCTAATCTTAACATTAATCATAATATATATTATATATATATATATATATATATATATATATATTTTTTTTTTTTTAAAAAAAAAAGTAGTAATCTTTTTGTCTTATATTTTTTTTTTCTTCTTATTCTTATGGATAAATGGATTAGTAATGACTAGGATTATGAGATTTGGTTCCTCTAACCATAAAATCTGCCAATTGCATACTTCATTTTTTTGTACACCACTTTTTTAAAAAAAAAAGTAGTAATCTTTTTGTCTTATATTTTTTTTTTCTTCTTATTCTTATGGATAAATGGATTAGTACTGACTAGGATATGAGATTTGGTTCCTCTAATAAAATCTGCCAATTGCATACTTCATTTTTTTGTACACCACAGTCCTGTAATTGTCGTCAAGTGGATGAAAGTGACAAACTCTGAAAAGATGGCTTTGATAATAGCTGGGAACCTTCAAATATCCTTTCATGGGCCTATCACGGCCCATTTATGATTATGATCGAACTGAATCACGCAATTAATAATATCAAGAGTTTAAGCGAGTTTTGAAGAGCATGCACATGGTAGAAAGCTCCTCTATAATATAGAAAAACAAGTACGATAGGACAATCCCTCTGGCTCTGGCTAAGAATCAACCATGTCTTTTGCACATAGTTGATAATGATATAACCAAAATAGAGAACCCAAGAAACTTCCCAACGGCCATAAAACTGACTCCATTTATTGAAAAAACTTGTGTTATTCTTGGTTCCTATGAAGAAGCTCTTCAACCATAATCAACAGATTTACGAGAATCCAGTAATTGCAATCTCACCTGAACTTACTATTTCTTGTTAACTGCACTCAGCATCATGATCGGCACGAGTTCTTGTTGGCTTTTGAGATCTGTCCAGCACATGAGATCCTTACCTCTTATTTAGCCGATGCAAAGGTTTGAGTTTGACATCGACTCTCTTGAAAGAGAATGATCAGTGGACTGCCATTCTCATTCACAGCAGTAAACTATCTTTATTCCAACCAGATTCTTAGCAATACAAATGTTCTTTCATAGCCTCTCATCATTGAAGACCATCTCGTCATACTTGTTTAACGACATAAATCTTATGTTACAAGAGATTTGTATTTTCTCTACATAGAGCAAGATGGCTAAAAACTTGAAAATGTGTTAATTGTTCAACAACTGTTTATGGTAATCTACATGCTTGCAACGAAAACCAAAGTTGGAAAGAGTTAACCTTGTAGTTTACTTTGTGAGAATTAACTTTGGTCAGGCCATACCTCACACACAAGCAGTAGAATTTTCATCTCTTGTCCTATTGACGCAAAACCATACACTCATCTAGCACAAAAAGAGAAATACCACTTTCAATTTTTCACAAACTACGCAGTATAGTTGCGTCAGACATATATGTAAACAATAGCAACATTGTAGTATCATAAAATTCAAAAATTTTCCAGTGAGGACATATGTTCATCTCCATAAGCAAACTGATTGGAACAATCATGTGAACACCGACGACAATGCTAGATATCAACTTGTCAAAATTATAACTTGCAGAAGGCTGCGATTCAACAGCAATGGACTTCTTTTACTTGCCTGCCTATCGACATAAGCCTAAGACATTAAGTTTGAATTTAACTTGTCATTTGTCGACCTCCATTGCCTGGGCAGCTTTAGCTTTTGCCAATGCAGTCAATTTGGTCTTCACTTTTTTCTTCTTCACTGAAAACCCACTAGCACCCTTTTTCTTTGTCTTGTTACTACTGTCAAGCTGAATTCAAATATGAAAAAAGTAAGACAAAAACTTCAAGTGGTAACATATATAATTTCATATGAATCAAATGTGGAATCAATCATCCATTAATCAATCTTCCCATTCCAAACTATTTTAATTGAACATTAAAGTTTAGCTGTTTTCACAGCAGGATAATGAAATCAAATCCAATAAAAATTCAACATTTTTAATACTTCTCTTCCCTCAGCAGGCAAAAAACAGAAATCAAAACAGAACCAGTAAAAGATCAGTAATTTGAAGAAAATAACACTCACTTTCATCTTATTCTTCTTTGCTTGAAGCTTCTTCTCTTTCTTTTCTTTCTGTTCCTTTTCTCCTATAATGAACCAAAACACAACAACAGTAACTATAAATCAACGAGCTAAATGAGAAACACGCGAACAAGACAAAGACGATTGATATGAATAGAGAGAGAAATTACTTTGAAGCTCGAATTCGTGCAGTCTCTTTCTACGACCTAAATCGTTCTTCTTCGACATTTCGATTGTTGTATCTTCAAAATGACTCTGTTTATTTCTTCGGAGCCGCTTAAACCCTAACCCTAGAAAACTTAATCAGCGAATGCAGTTCTCATTTTTATATTATTTTCCCCCAAATTTTGTCTATTTACGTTTTGGACCACTGCTGATGTGGCAGATTGAATGAATCAACGACAGGCTCGACCCAACCAGACCGTTAAAAAATTGCAAAAATTCGAGCGGATAATAAAACGGCGCCGCTTATCTAACAACTGTAAAACTTAAAAGCAAAAGGAGTTGAGGAACTAAGCATGATTAAAGGAAGCTAATTGAAATGATTACGGCGGGAGCATGAGAATGATGAAATGGAAAACGTTTTCTCTCCCTTTGAGTCAGCTTTTGGCGGTTGGCCCCTTCTGCTTCCAATCTCTGAACAAAGACCACTTCAAGTCCAATCATCCATGTCAATCCAAACTCACACAGCGGTGCAAAATTGAATAAATAAATAAATAAACACAACTAATACTTATTACTACTTTTTAAAATAATCATACCCATCACTAGTTTACATGGAAAAGAAACAAACAAGATCGTTTAATTAATACAGAGATTCTATGTCTTTGAATAAAAATTTTTCTGTCGGTATTAATAATTGGGTTTATCTTTTTCTTTCGACTAATAGGATGTTGTGGATGCACTGTTTCTGAATCATGTATAAGTATTACGTGTAACTGTGATCGACATGTGATCTGATCTGATCTCTGTTTCAAGAATCAATTCAATTTCTTTGCTTAACCAGATCTCCCTCTAATTGTCTCAGTATCAGCAACTCTCCAATCACAAACTGGGTTTGTCTGTTTTTTTAAATAAAGATTAGATTTTGTGATTGGTTGAAGATGGGGAGTCAGTGCTCTAAGTTCACGCCTTGTTGCTTGGATTCACAGTTCAAGGCAGCAGCAGTTGTTGAAGTTTCTGATGTTATTGGTGGGTTGGTTATTAACAGAGTTGCTTGGGTTGATGGGTTTAGCGCTGTTAATTATATCTTGATTTTGTATTGCAGGAAATGAAGGGAAGAGTGAGATTGATTACTTGCCTGAATTCCGTGAGTTCACGTTCGAGCAGTTAAAGAATGCAACTTCAGGTTTTGCAGTAGAAAATATAGTGTCTGAGCATGGAGAAAAGGCTCCAAATGTTGTTTATAAAGGGAAGCTTGAAAATCAGAGCAGAATTGCTGTTAAGCGATTTAATAGAACGGCATGGCCTGATGCTCGTCAATTTTTGGTAGCCAACTTCTTTTATCACTATTAACTACTTCTTCACCAAATATTGTCTCTCTGCTTTCAACACCGAACATGAACAATTTCGCATAAAATTTGCGTCTGGCCTACTTGACCTCTTTTTTTTTTCCCCCCCTTTTTGTGGATTTTAGAATTGATTGTATATATGATGGTGCTCCAGTTTGCAACTGAATCCAACTTATTATTCTCCATTTGTTGGGTGAATTTGGAATGGAGAGATTGGATTCGATTTTAATCAATTGAACAAAGTTTGAAGCACATATGATTTTTGTATTGATTAGATTCTTGAAATGGATTGATGCTTGTTTCTGGTTATTACATGAATGGAGAAGGATTTTCATTTGTTTTTGCTAATGAGCTGTTCATAGATATGCCAGCCAATCTTGATCTTATTCAATTTTCTACTTCAAATTAAGGACTATTTTCTTGGACAATTATAGGAGGAAGCAAGATCTGTTGGTCAGCTCCGCAACCTTAGATTGGCAAATTTGCTTGGTTTTTGTTGCGAAGATGATGAGAGGCTACTTGTAGCAGAATACTTACCCAATGAGACACTTGCAAAACATCTTTTCCATTGTAAGGTTTCTTTATTTAATCAGGACATATTTTAGTCTAATGATTCAGTAGCCTATTTCCTTTTATTCATTGATAACAGTTTAAAGAAACCAAACTAGAACATGATTTAAGTTGAGGCATTAATTGGTATTTAATGATGATCAAAATGTTTCTTGAATCAGGGGAAACACAACCTATGAAATGGGCGATGCGACTAAGGGTTGCTCTATATCTTGCAGAAGCTCTAGAATACTGCACAAGTAAAGGGCGTGCCCTTTATCATGACCTTAATGCTTACAGGATTTTATTTGATGAAGTAAATACCTTTTTGTTTTGCTCCAATATTTGTCAAAATCATTTTTCTGATGGCATTCTGTAAGCATTACTTTATTTTTATATATACTAGAATTCTGCAGGATGGTAATCCAAGACTATCAAGCTTCGGTTTGATGAAAAATAGCAGGGACGGAAAAAGTTATAGTACTAATCTAGCATTTACTCCTCCTGAGTATTTGAGAACTGGTATATATATTTATACGCTTCCTCTTAAAAACAAATTGGTATATGACTTGGTGTATAACTCGATGCAACACTTGTTTTTTTTCTTGTTCTTTGTTATGTGTGTAGGCAGAGTAACTCCTGAAAGTGTAATATATAGCTTTGGCACTCTTTTGGTTGACCTTCTTAGCGGAAAGCATATACCTCCTAGCCATGTAAGTGCTTCTAATGTTGAGGAGTTTAGCATTTCTACGTTCGTAAATGGTGTTAATGTGTGTTTCAGGCCCTTGACTTGATACGAGACAGAAATCTTCAGATGTTGACAGATTCTTGCTTGGAAGGGCAGTTTTCTGCTGATGATGGGACTGAATTGTTACGCTTAGCTTCTCGGTGTTTACAGTATGAACTTCGAGAACGGCCAAGTTCAAAATTGTTAGTGGCTGCTTTGACCCCTCTTCAGAAGGAAACTGAAGTGAGTTTTTTTATTTCCTTATTGCTTAGAGACTAATTAGAGTCATATAATATTTGTTGTGGTTAAATATATGTTTCCATTTCCTACACTTTATGTAGGTGCCTTCCCATGTGCTGATGGGTATCCCTCATAGTGCTTCGCTTTCTCCTTTTTCCCCATTTGGTGAGGCTTGCTCAAGAAAGGACCTTACAGCCATACACGAAATCTTAAACAGCATTGGCTATAAAGACGATGAAGGAGTAGCAAATGAGGTTCTTTGTTAATTTGCTTTGTAATGTGATAAAAGGTCAGATTAATGTTTTTAATTCCTGCATCTTCTGATGTTGACTGTGTTTAATTACTCTGCAGCTCTCATTCCAAATGTGGACTGACGAAATGCAGGACACTTTGAATTTTAAGAAAAGGGGTGATTCTGCTTTTAAGCAGAAAGACTTTAGAGATGCAATTGAGTGTTATACACAGGTTTGCTCCTGCACTTCATTATTGGTACAACACATAGCTAATATAATTTGATTTGACAGACACATTGTTCATTAATTTGCAGTTCATTGATGCTGGAACTATGGTTTCTCCGACTGTTTTTGCTCGGAGGAGCCTGTCATTTCTTATGAGTGAGATGCCTCAAGAAGCTTTAAGTGATGCAATGCAAGCCCAAGTGATTTCTCCAGTATGGCACGTAGCATCTTATCTCCAGGCTGTTGCTCTTACCACACTGGGGATGGAGAATGAAGCACAAATGGCACTCAAGGAAGGCACAAATCTTGAAGCTGAAAAGAACTCAGCTTCTGAACAGAAGTGAAAATGTAGAATGCATATGAATCTGGCATTGATAGGGGGGCACTGGTAGCTTTCATTCATTTCCATAATTTTAAAGTAAAGCAAGCAAATTCTTGTAAGTTTGATCAATTATGTATTCGAGGTTCCAAAATTTTTCCTGCTCTTCCTTCGATTTAAAACAGGGGAATTTTTGTTTTATTTATTTTTGGCAAGTGAATTGGTGGGAGGCAAAGAATATTAGTAAGATTGTAATTTCTGTACAGAGTTTCCCCAATTACTACTTTTCTTGCTGATGATACGATTGTCAAGTTTAGGTTAATTCTCACCATCCCATATAGGGCCTTCAGTGAAAATAGATGAAAAGGAAAAGGTAAAATGATTATATCAAATCAACAATGAGATATCATCAGTAAATCCTTTGGAAACCTTGGATATTATTGCACAACCGTTCTATCGAGAATTTCACAGTTACAACTGCTAAAATCTAGAGAACCCCATTACACTAATTTAACTGCATTCCATCAAGAATTAGATAACTAAAACAGCTAAAATCTAAAAAACCCCATTACACGTACATAATTGGTGAGGCTCAGAGTTCTATTCATGCATTATTTACTTTAAACTAACAACATCGATGGAAAGAAGAAAATACTGGTAAAACTGATACCCCCTATAAAGCCTCTTGAGCAGCTCGGAAGGATTCCTTTGTTCTCCCATAGTACACTGATTTATTGCCTGAAAAGGTGATGAAGTTCCAACCAAAAGCAGATCCCCCTATATAACGCGTTTGCTCCTCAAGATCTGTAGCCTCTTTAGTTTCAGATGGTTTTGCAAAAACCTGGTCTGATTGAGGCTGCTCTGCTGGCTTAACATCTTGGAGCTGCTCCTGGGGTTTTTGTCTAGCCCCATTTTCACTTGATAATTCCTGTCCTTCAGGTGCATTCTTAGACTTCTTTGCAGGGACTGCTTCAGCAGTCATCTGCTTGTATAATTCCATGAGTAGATTTAGTTCTGCAAGGCACAGATTACATAATCAAAAGCATGTCATGTGATGCACAATTATTAACTACCCATTTAGGATACAATTTTTTTTTTCCTTTCCAAAAAAACAATCTTGATAGTGATCTGTCTATGAAACTCGAAGAGAAGTGCATATCCTGTTTTTTTCTTTTTTTTTTTTTTTTTTTTTATGACAATTATTAACTACCCATTTAGGATACCAATTTTTTTTTCTTTCGCCAAAAAAATACAATCTTTGAATTAGTGATCTGTCTATGAAAACTGAAGAGAAGTTGAATATCCTGTTTTTTTCTTTTTTTTTTTTTTTTTTTTTTTTTTTTTTTTTTTTTTTTAAATCCCAATTATACGCCAAAAAATTATGCTAAGATCACTTCCAGCACAAGCAGCATAGGAGTGCTCAGATGTAAACATCTGATAGTAGGCTATTGTGCCTTAGTTTAAGTTCCAAGTTCTTCTATTGATCAAACAAGAAAATCAAAGCAAGTTAGGCCTTGTTTCAGAATTTGCTGCCATTTTTTAACAATAAATATCTGTCAAATCTGAAATATTAAAATCCAGAACAGACAGAGTTTCAAGGTAATCACGTAAGAGATTGTACAAACAACAAATTGGAAGACATATAAACAGTAATTAAAGATTCAACTAGTGTTCCAAATGGATTTGATAAGGAATGTAAATCTAGGGATAACATTTGCCTTCAGGATATCTATATTTATCCAAACGTGCGTAGATTTGATGGAAAAAAGAAATGCATATCAACAAGCTTACTTTCTCGAAGTTCATCAGCACCCTTACAACTTCGGAAGTTCACTGTTCGAAGCACCTTCAGAAACAAAGAAAATATTAGGCCCCTCAAACTTGATACAAATACACAAGTTATGATGGAAGACTGATGTGCCAAAATTTTGAGAGTGAAGGTGCAATCTTACTGAGAATCATTACAAGTTTCGAAATTGTTAAACAGAGCACTTATTTTATACTCTCTATAGCAGGTGCTGAGACAAGGCTTTCAAAATCTAGAACAATTAGGCCTGAAATTTGATCATGAAGGAAATCCTTAACAAGTTTTCACGGGCAATACCTCTAAAAGATCATACATTGGCAACAATACAACAAGATCATAACTTTACAGGACAGATCATGTTTTTTTTTGTAAACACACAACAAAATCATAAATTCACAGGACCACAAAGGGATCACCAGCTCTGAAATAGACCAAAATTATCACAAGCAAAATAATTTTTGAAACGGAAATTAAGAACCAAATTACCATAGACAAAAAACAACACATTCAGCATATAGCTGATGAAATTGTACCTTACATTCCTAAAACTGAACTCAGGTACAGACTTTTTTTTTAAAAAAAATTCTAGCAGATAACGGCGATCAAATACGAAAAGATTTGGAAATGGATTCTGAAATGTACCTCGAGTAAATGAGGACGAATATCTTTGAGAACAGCACGCATCTTGAAGTAGCTGCACTCTTGGATTTGGACATAGCTCTCAAGCGGTCTTTTCTTGGTTTTGGGAGGAAGGGAACCAGCTGCTGGTGCAGGTGGTGGTGGTGGCGGCGGCGGCGGCGGTGCAGCTACCGTCGCCGGTGCTGGTGGTGGCGATTGTGAAGGGGGAGCAGGAGCTGTCTCCGGCGGGTTTGGGTCTGGATTCGGGTTTTCGGTTGGTGGATCCTGGGCTGGTTTTGCTTCTTCCATTAGTGGTTTTTTTGTGCCTGTAATTGGGAATTGAAATAAGGAATGTAATTAAAATGCATTGTACTGTACGAGCAGTTGGTAAAGTGTAAAAGATGCTGTTTGGTTGTGGGTGTTTGCTTAAACCACTCTGACTTAAAAATAAACTAACCCCTGTTTGGGACATACTCTCCCAATTCAATACTTCCAAACTCTTCTCAATTAGTTCAACATCTCTCTCGCTCTTTGTAAACCCATAAAAAGGAAGGGAAAGTTGGAGATGAAAGTGATGAATCCTAAAACAGACAAGATAGTGAGAAGAACGACGATGATTGGCACTGTTGTTGCTTCTTATTTCCTCTTAACGGCTGACTATGGTCCTGAACCCAATGTTTTCGACCCAGTTTGTACCTATTTCTTGTTCCCATTATTTCAGTTTTGTTTGTTCATTTCTTGGATTGCTTATCATGTTCGATGAGAAATGTTTTAGAAATTTTCTTTCTGATTGGAACGCAAGTGTAGATGCTGCAGGATTTATATTTGGGTTTTATATATTGTAGTTTTGTGTGTATTGATTATTGAATTGCTTCAAATGATACCTTCATAATTTTCCATAATATTTGCAGGTATACTTGGATTTACGTATATAATTTGAAATAATTGATTTTTTTTTTTAAAATGAGGCTCGTTCATTTCCATATACTGGAGGGATCTGAATGTTATTAGTTATATTGTGATTCTTATGATCAACCATGATCACGGGAGGTTGGAGTTTTAGTTTTTCTGGTTCTTTCTTTTCTTTTCCCTTTTTTTTTTTTTTTTTTTTTTTTCTGGTTTCTTTCTTTTTTTTCCCTTTATTTTTTTTTTTTTTTTTTTTTTTTTTTTTTTTTTTTTTTGGCTTAGATTTGTTTAAATGCTCTTAATTTATGTGCTTAATAAATTGTTGGTGCTGTTTATCTGCTCATTACTGGAAAAGGGATAGTCTTTATCTTCTTTCTACAAGTATTTACTGTTAGTATAGTAGTGATGGATACGTTCACATAGATATGCAAGCTTTGGGGAAACAATCTAATTGTTAAATTGACTAGAATAGCAATTCAAGTAGAATCCAACCAAATCATAACCAAGATGAAATATTGAAACTCTACTATTGTTGGAAAATATTGATTACAGATGATTTTGGATAACCATTTTTGTGCTAGCAATTGGATATAGAGTAGAATTGCAGGAACAAGCTTTAGCTGTGATTTTGAGCAACTTCAAGGACTTGTTAGAGTGTTGAATCCTCTTTTTGCTTATGATTCGATTTTGCATATTGATTTTTTTTTTTTTTTTTTTTTTTTTTTTTGAGAGAGAGAGAGAATTGCGTATTGATGTTGTTTGTCTAGGATTTCTGCGTTGCTTAATTTCTGGGTTTGGTACTTCTTGATGAAGTATCCAACTTTTCCCCTTTCTTGCCTGCATTGCTTCCATGCTTCTTTAGTTTTTGCTTACCCTAGCAAGTCTTTTCTTGGCAGCATCTAACATTTTTTGGTTGTTTGGGCATGGATTTTTGTCCAAATTTTCAAATTATTATCAATTTATTTTGTGTGCATGATGAGTTGTTTTTGGTGGGGGGAGGCGCAAACTCTTCCTTGAGGTAATAATCTTATGATATCAACACTATGCTTGTCTTATGGCCATTGATAATTTGAAATTCTTGGTTTGAAGCCTTATATTGTTCCTGGTTTTCTTACCAACTAAAGACTGATATATCCCTTTCACTATTTGCGTTGACAGATTAAGAAGGCATTACTATCAGCGGAGAGTTCTGTGAAAGAATACATCTTTGGATCAAAGAAAGAACCCGAAGGCGGTCAAATGGAGAAGCTGAGCTCTAACAGTGCAAAAGAGCATTAGTAGGAAATGTGACAGAAGTTTACAGAGGATTATCATAATTTTCAGTCTATTACTGTCAGAGCAAGTTCTTTTTTAAGCCTTTGCTAGAAACTTTCTTGTGGAGTAATATAGTATCTGTACACTTTTAGCCAAATCCAGTATATAACATTTCTTTTGTTGCTTTGCTTTTTGACCAAATTGAAGGGATAGCTTGTTGATTGAACAACTTGTATCTTGCTCAAGGGGGTTTACAGAATGGTTATTGTTTTCTTCCACCACCCTATTCTTGTTCTGAAAACGAAGAGTTGGATTGGATTACACAAGAAAGATCAAGTGTGATTTTTTTTTTTTTTTTTAATTTCTCTCAAAATTGAAGAAAGGTTTAAAAAAGAAAAAAAAAAAAAGTAGTAACGTATTATTAGGGAGAAAATAATTTTATTTCTTTTTCTACAAATAAATATGAATAAGAAAAGTAACTTTGAAAATGAAATAAATAAACAAATAAATTTATTCCAATTATCCAAACAGAAAATGGAACGTGTAAAAATCTCCTTCACAAATAACTGTTTCTAAACTAACGCATCCACTCTCTTCGTCAGTTAACTGATGCTTTCTCCTCTCGCTCAACTCTTACCTACCATGTCCACGTCCATCTCCTTTCAGATTCCTCCTTCCCTTCTCTTCCTCCAATCTCCAACCCTAACTGTAATTTACATCACAAATGTCACCACCCACAAAGCCCTTCGAATCTCCATTCCCCAAAATCTCACTTTCTTCCCACTTTATCCCCAAAATTTGCTTCAAACTACAGTCAACTACCTTCTCCTCGAAACTCCAAAAGCCCATCCTCTCCTTCAAAACTCTAAGCTCCCATTCTTCAATCCCACCAGAAAGCCCTAAAACCCTAACCCTAGTATCTCTTCTCCGCGCAATTCCCGACTGGGCTGACGGTGTAAAAGAGAGAGGAATGCAGCAGAAACGCACTCTGTACAATCACAAGAAATGGGTCGAACACAGAAGTTCCCTTCGCCATATCCGCCACTTACTCTCAAGTCTACAATCGCGAGTTATATTATCATTAATTCCTCCAGTTATTGCTTTTACTTCAGTGGCTGCAATCATAGCAAGCTATAATTCTGCAGTGGAGATGCATTTCTTGCCAGGTTTTTTCCCTGTTTTGAGGGCTTCTTCTCTGCCCTATCAGTTAACGGCTCCGGCATTGGCGCTGTTGCTGGTGTTTAGGACGGAGGCTTCTTATTCAAGGTTTGAAGAGGGAAGAAAAGCCTGGACAAAGGTGATTTCGGGTACTAATGATTTTGCTAGGCAGGTGATTGCTACAGTTGACAATTGCAGTGATGCCTTCCTTAGAAATGCTCTCTTGCATTACATTATAGCGTTTCCAATAGCACTCAAGGTTAGTTTTTATTTTTATTTTTTTATTTTTTATTTTTTTGTGCTAATGTATGCGATTGAGTGAATTTGCTGCAATATGTCAATGACTGTAAAATTGGTGTGTTTGTAGTGCCATGTAACTTATGGTTCTGACATTGAGAGAGACCTCAAGAATTTACTTGAAGTAGATGATCTAGCAGTGGTACTCAATTCTAGGCATCGGCCTCGCTGCATTATTGAATTCATTTCCCAAAGCCTTCAATTGCTCAACTTAGAGGAATCAAAGAGAAATTTGCTGGTACTTTCCTTGTCATTTGTACATATATCAACTATTTAAAGCTTTGCAACGTATTGGATTGTTATCGGAAAATTGTAAAGAGAGTGCCAAACTTCTGGATAATCAAGTCAAAATTAGTGGGGTCTTGATGGTTTTCGCCGGTGCCACTTTTGCCTTGAAGGGAGTACAAATATATTCAAATGACTATAGGTTTAAGAATGAAAACTGGTGAAACTTACATACTTAGAGATTACCAATAAATAATTTTTCATCAATATCTTTGTCATGGTGCAGGAGTCAAAGATTCCATGTTTGCATGAAGGAATTGGTGTGTGTGAACAACTCATGGGAATTCCTATTCCACTCTCGTACACTCGCTTGACATCAAGATTTCTGGTCCTTTGGCATCTAACTCTTCCGATAATACTATGGGATGATTGCCACTGGATTGTGGTACCTGCAACTTTTGTCAGTGCTGCTTCCTTGTTTTGCATTGAAGAAGTATGTCTCTCTCTCTCTCTCTCTCTCTCTCTTTCTCTCTCTGTAGACTTTCATATATATGTATGTATGTGTTCAAGTGGAGCAAATATGCTGTACAATGGGCCAGGCTCTAATCCTATGCAAGCATTGGTGGAGCCAAAATCTTTATTAGTATTTTCTTTTGTGCAGTTTTTTAATAACAAAATTTCATACGTATTTTGCCACTTAAAATTTGTTTTCATAGGTTGGTGTTCTTATAGAGGAGCCATTTCCAATGTTAGCCCTTGATGAGCTTTGCAATCTAGTTCACAGTAGTATCCAGGAAGCACTTGCAGCTGAGAAGATCATTCAAACTCAACTTACTGCAAAAAGAAAGATCCATGCTTGCGAGCACTCGAAGAATGGTTGGCCTAACTCATAGTAGAGGGGAGTCTTAAACTTAAAAACTTGATTCCAGAACAAAATGCATGTAAACTTCAGAGATTTTGTAGTGCTTGGAATTTTCTCATCCTCTCTCATATGCCCTGTTAGTAGTTAGATCAAGGATTCATATGTATACATGGGAAGCATTTCTACTTGAGAAATCTTGTATCCAATGTGTTTGCTGTATATAGAACAGTGTCATTGTAAATGTATTTGTATATATTAGCCATCTGGATTTCTTTTGAATATACTCCAGAGTTTTTTTTGGGCAGAAGGTAATGGTTATACCACATGCATTAATATAGCTAAGTGTTCCATAAGGGGCCAAGGCCATCATGATTTAAGATAAAAAGCTCTCATACAGTTTCCTGTTGACATGTTAAGCTACTAAAACTAATTTCGTATGCACTTACATTGCAGATTAAAAACGATCAGGAAAATGTCTTAGGTTCCAATTTGCAAAATCTATCTCCAAGCTTCTGTTGTACATGCATTAATATGTAAGGGAGGTAAAATTGTCAGTTCAGGACATTCAAGGAAGAGCCACAGAGAACTTTTCCATTCCGCTCCTAAAGCTTTCAGAGAAATGGTGTAACTGATACATTCAGACTACAAAATAGCGGTGTCCTTGCGCTCTGACTACTAGTACTCAAGATAGCCCTCCAGTACAACGCTTTTATTTGAGATCCTAGACTGTAGATTATTCAATTTTAGTCTTCTCCCAACACTGTTCAAACCCTCAAGGGAGCTTTTACCGTTACTTTCTTTCCACAATGGCAGTACTTCCACCACTACTTTTTGCAACATATTATGCTCAATGCCGTCATTGAAAAGCCCTTCAAGCTCACCTAAACTTCCCCTCAAGTCGAGCAAAACACTGCAGAGTCCCTGAAGTTTACAGTATTCCAAAATTTCAATCAAACTTACCTGATCCAAAACCACAGTTTCAACCCCTTTTTGAGCTGTTTCTGGTCTGATAGTTGTCTCTTTTTCTGCAAATACTACAATTCCAGAAGCAGTGTCTTCTGCAAGAGAAGGGATTTGGATTGGAGAAGAACGAGCTGTTACAGTTATGACGCAAAGGGGTTGCTTGGCACCTGGTTCTTGTGATGTTGGAATTGAGAACATGTCAACAAATGAGGAAGAAACTATAATTGCATCATATTCCTGCAACAATTTTGAGTAGTATCCGCCACACTCAGTTGCTCCTTCCCCAAGTTGGTTCAAAAGGTGGCCATTGACTGAGAGAGAGTATCTACAAGTTAGGCAGATGCCTCAAATTAAAAAAGTTAATCATATTAATCATATCAACCAAGAAAGTTAATAGCAGAGTAGGTCCTCAAATCCAAGCATTAGCGAACCAACTAAAGTAGTCTTATCAAGATTGTACATTCAAAACAGATGATTTGGTTACTATTATCAAATATGGATATTGTTGTTACCTAAGTGTAACAAAAGGCTTCCCTGTCAGCATTTGATGGATGTAGGCCTCATTGAGTCTCTTGCACAATTCTTCTTCTATGCCAAAAGTTACATCAATTCCTGCATCTCTCAGTCTATCCAATCCACTTGAAGCCACAATTGGATTTGGATCGACCATTCCAATCACTACCTTCCTAATCTTTGCTTTAATGAGGGCTTCAGTGCAGGGTGGAGTTCTACCATAGTGATTACATGGCTCTAAGCTCACATAAGCTGTTGCATTCTCAGCTAAATCTCCAGCATCTCTCAGAGCAAATACCTGAATTAAATTATCAGACAACAGCTGGTCAAGGAAACGCATTGATTTGAAAATTTTGCACCCCATAACAACCGAGTTAATTGCCCAGCATTTGGAAGCCTTCCCTTTTTTTTATTTTAAAACATAGCAAAAATAATCCAATATTTACTCCCGGAATAATTAAACATTTTCCAATGCAACAGTATCACTAAATCATTTTCAAAAAATCTTCCATGAAATTAAAAAAATCAAGGATTATTTTTTGTCCTGAAAGCAATCTAATGAAAATACAGGATATATAAACTGAAAAGGGGATAGAGTGCTAAACTTCAGCTTTCCTTAAGGTTGCTAGACATGCATAAACAGAAGAGAAACTATATTGCAATTTGATATCAGTATAGATTAACTGATTCTAATTTTATGGTAAACAAAGTTGGGACAAAAGAGAAGCAACGCGGGGTTACTACCTCAGCGTGAGGCTGACCCGCTTTAGGGTGGAACCCTTCACCAACAATCTTGCCATCCTTGACGATGACACAACCCACCATAGGATTAGGACTCGTACACCCAATTGCTTTCCTTGCCAACTCAACACATCGCCTGATGTAAAAGCCATCGTCTTTACCTTCGTTGCTACCATCTTTTGCCAAAATTTGACATTTGACCATAACCGATCCACAATATATTCTCAAACCAATAAGCGATTTAGATACCCTTTTGCCTGAATTGCAAAACCCAGATTTTGAATTAACTATGCAAGGAGGAGTAGAGAGATGGCGAACCGGTGAAATAGATGAGTGGATATGAAGAGAATTTGAGAAATTGAAAGGTGTGAGATTGCGATTTGACAGTGAAATACTTTGAATTTGCATTTTTTTTTTTCTCTGGACTCAAAGATACGTGATCTGAAAGCTTAGCAGGTACTGGGAAATCCGTACTTGCAGTTGCAGGCAACTGGTAGAATTCAAATTAGAAACAAAAAAAATTGGAAAAAAAAAAGTCAATAAAATATGTCTGAGCCCGGGTTCGAACCGGGGACCTCTAGTGTGTGAGACTAGCGTGATAACCAACTACACCACCCAGACGATGTGAATATCCGTAAGAATTTTATAGGCTTGCTGCCGAGAAAGTGCAGAGTCTGACACCCGTTGGAGACGACAAAACCTTTAGAACATATGAACTGCCTTTTAGCAACTGTATACAGTTTCACTGCTTTATTTTAGTTCGTGGTCCGATCAAAAAAGGTTATTAATTGCTTGTGAAGAGAAGAGAAACCATAAACAGGATCTGTATATTGTATTTATCCCCAGTCAACAATGCCTAGTTGACCAATTTCCCCAGCAAAGAGAAACAATAGTATTGGTGACTAATTGCATTTGCATTTGAGTTTTTGTACAAGATGAAACTTGTTGCAGTAAGATATGCAACAACATCACCATTGCATTTGCATGTCAGAATACGAAAGAAAAGCGAAGACATTTATTATCAATTACAGAAAAATCCATAGTTAAGCGAAAAAATGCACCAAATACAGTGATCACTGTACGTTGAGCATATATATTGAACGAATAGTCATAGTCATAAGATAATACAGTCACAGCAGCCACCAGCAGGTCTCTTATGTCGTAAATTATCTTCAATTGTCTCTAGCTGTGAAATTATCTCCTCAAATGTAGGTCTGCATTCAGGATTCTTGTGCCAGCACTCTCGAAGAAGCCTTTCAATGAACAGAGACAAATAACAGTCACGAGCACATCAAGCAAATTGAATATTAAGTTTCAGATAAAGCCACCAAAAGAAATTAAGTAATTATGTTAGTTTTTCAAGTTTTAAATGTCAGAGCTGCTGGTAGAATGGTTACTCTTGGAACCAAATGTTGACAGAAAATATCACACTTGAGATTTAAGGGTGTTCTGATGCAGGGGAATTTCACGGAACCTTTACAAGGCTATTTTCGCCATTTGAGTTTGTGGTCCCCATGTCATAATGGAACAACTTATACAAGGCTTAGCCTCTCCTAGCTTGATAATCCTTTCTCTGGCAACAAGCTTAATGATCCTTTCTTATAATTTAGCTCTACCTAATGCCATACCTTTATGGATTAAAAGATTTCAAGTACCACAATTATCATTCTTATAAAAACTCACGTCTTGATCGGTTCAGGGTACACAAATGAGGATAGGGATGGTCTGGAATCTTCATAAGCCCGCTTGTCTGCAACTTGTTCTGGGAGTTCTGCCCTATTTGACGGTCCCCCTTGGAACATCTATATACACATGCAATGAAAATAATAAATGATATTGCAAAATAAAAAAAAAAAGACTTCATTAGCAAATAAAACTATCTAAATAGATTCTAAACATGAATTTAAGTGATTTTTAACTGGTTCATACATATATCAAGGAATTTATTTCAACAATGTTACAGATTTCATTACAAAACAATCTGGATCTTTTATTCCATTACCTCATGTAATATAAGTGCAAAGGAGAAGACGTCAACACTCTTCCCATAGGATTCTCGACGATAAACCTCGGGTGCCATGTAACGATCTGAATAAGAGTGTCATATAATAAGAGCGATAAACTTATTAAGAGATATCTTTACATTCAACAAGAGAGAAAATATTTACATGAACCCGTTCCACCAGTCATCTTGTAACCATAGGCATCCTTTTCCTGAGCAATTTTGCTTAAGCCAAAGTCTGTAACCTTAAGGTGCCCAGATTCATCTTGAAGCACATTTCTGAGAGTATTAACATAAATAAAGAATTATGAGTACCTTCTTCTTTTGTTCCTTTCACCACTCACTGCTTCTTGCTACTTGAGGGTTACAGATGCAAGAATATTACTCATTGAGACTCAGTCAGAAAATTAGATGTGATGTACAGAGTAACACAATTAACATGAGCACTAAGAGAAGATTCAGAAAACAATACCTTGGTGTCAAATCCCGATGTATAATAGCATTTGGTTTGTGTTGATGCAGATAATTCATGCCCCTACAAGATTGCACATGCTCAATAATTAATGTTTAACAGGCGACGCTTTATTAATTATAACTATAGAGTAGAAATGTCAGTGATTTATTATCTGATACTCAGCTGGGAATGAAAATCCACTTAATTATCTGCACTGACATTGCAATGTCAAATATAACAAGGGTACTTTAGAGGCAAGAATTGGCACTATTATCAGAATGGTTCCACAATGCCCAACTCAATTCAATTAAAGCCCAAGTTTAAGCTAGTTCAGAATATTGACAAAATTGATAACCATGTAAAGCATATGTAAATGTTTTAGAAGATTGTATAATGTCTATAAAACATGACAAGCCTTCTATGTTTCCAGCAAATGTAAAAGAAAAGGAACTTGCAAAAAGCAAAAGCAAATATATCCATTTTATGCTGTCATGTGCACCAAATTCTAATTGTTTGAGCTCTTCATGAAAATCAAGGTTTTAGGGGAGCACAGCAAGGAATCCACAGAATGAAGCAAAATCTTGAAAGCAATAAGAATGGTTTTCAGACTCAAAGCAGTTTATAGGTGTGCCTCTTCCAGATGCATATAATATACATTGCACAATAACCACTGACCATAGGGCTTCTGTTTATACATACGCAATACGCAGCTGAGCCTAAAGAGAATTTACGCGGAACCAAAATTTATTATTTGCAAAATTCAAGTGATTAAATTATATACCTTGCAATATCTAAAGCATAGGCAACTGCTGTTTGTGGATCAAGTCTTCCCTTCTTTTTCAATATGTCATACAAACTTCCCTAACAAATTTATGTTGGAGGAAAAATCAGCAATGAGATTCTTGTTAACTCCCAAGTCATGACTTCATATGAGAAAACTCACATTGCGAAGATACTCTGTGAGGAAGATTAAACGATCAGAGTGCTTTAGAACACCAAGGAACTGCACTATATTTGGGTGGCGCAACCTTTGCCATAAGCCCAATTCCTTCAAAAAGGTATTCCTATGAAATAATGACACATATGAAACAGAACATAAGCACATAATAGTTAAAGCAGCAGGCATTAATCTATCAGACTTATGACTAGACCTAGCAGATCCGTGAGTAGCAATACCAGTACTTTAGTTTTCGCAGTTTTTTTTCCAGTTTTTTCCCCTCTTGGTGCAAAGAGTTTTTGACATACTTAAAGAAGACAATTGCAAACAGCCAGATAATTTCAATATATTCTCCATTCTAAAACAACTTAAATTTACCAAAGGTACAGAATTCTAAGCTCTATTATTGGTACAAATCTGAAAAATAATGTTTCCATGTGAGAGGAGGGAGAACTTGCCACATAACACCATATTTAAGATAATGAGACTCACTTTACTTTCTGATTTGATGCAATAGAGGAGCGGATAGTCTTTGCTGCTACTTCTGTACCGCGCCATCTCACTAAATATACCTCACCATATGCTCCCTGCAAGACTTTATGCTTTAGTGCAGGGTATCATCACTGTAAAATAATTATTAGAAGGCAACGCCACTTGAGAAGGTTTAAATATCTGGATGGAGCTCCAACAGGTCTAACACTGTAAAAGTGGATTCAGATGCTCCAGGTGTGCCTCTACAAATTAGAGTTTATCAGAAATTACCTCTCCAATAAGTGTTGCACCATCCATGTCCACTTCACCGTAATCGATCTCATAGCAAGGTGTTAGGGAATCAAGTCCCACCTGTCTTAATCAAATGACTGAGTTAACATACACGTACGAGTTTGACAACTGTTGCAATTTTCTTTCTCAAGTTGAGAAGTTTCTTTCAAGTTACTGAATACTATATGACCTCTTTTTGGCTAGACACCAATAATCTATCTGAACATTTAAGCAGTACATACAATGAAATAATGCAGAAAATATTATTGAATGTCTCTATTGCACATGTTATTAATCATATTGATACCAAATCTATGATAATTAAGAAAGAGCATTACCGGATCTATTCCACCTCGACTTTCCAATATCTTGCAAATATCCTCATGGCCAAAGCTACGAGCATCTGACAGTGGCTGCAAAATTTCTAATATTAAAGTGTGTCTTATATAAGTTATAATTTATTAGATATATTTTATTTTTGAATTAATATGAGGGAAAAAGGAGAAGCCAATAAAATGCCTTGAATAAGCAAACAGTACTAATGCCGCTAAGCAAATAGGGAAAACTTCTTGTTACAGTTATGAGCAACACAGGGGCAACTAAAACAAACACTCGAAAGCTCGTTGTAGTATGCACTTTGAAGACTGAAAGTTGTTACTCTGCAGTTTAATCTTTTCAGATCCTTTGGACAGCAGGGCAGTAAGATTGCTGGTTATTAATATCAGCATTTTGCACATAGATCATATAAAATCAAAAAATGAAATTATGATATTAATTTTTGACATTGGATGTGGTAGCTAGTGAATCTCAGAGAAGGTGCCAGAGGTTGCATAAATTGTAAACAGCATTGTACAATGAAACTGCATAGTGTTTCCTAATCCATGTGCAATTTTTTTATAAATTTCACATCATGCAAATTATTCACAAATTTAGTTTAGTCTAACACAAAAGCCTATTGCATTAGATGCTAACTAATGGATAAAATTCCAGGATGAACGAACTTACAGTGCGACCCCAACGATCTACGGAATTCACATCAGCACCTTTCTCAAGAAGTAGGACCACAATTTCGTTGCAGCCTTCGCAAGAAGCTAAATGAAGAGCTGTTCTCTTATCATAATCAGCCAGATTTGGTTCCACACCTTTTTCTAACTCCTGCATCACCCCTGTTTTGTCTCCCTTACCTGAACAATGAAGCAGTCTATACGGACCTTCTGAATCAATTGTTTGACGATGAATCCTCTGTCACATATGCAAGAATGAAAGTTGATTTAGTTGCTTCTAATATAACAAAAATAACTAAGTTCAGCTAATTCAATTATGAAGAAAGAAAAAGAACAAAAAGAAACGTGTCCTTTGAGCAAATTGAGATATTGATAGTCAAATCTAGAAAATGCTTTTTTTTATGCAGAAATTGCTATTCTAAAAAAAAAAAAAAAATCATCTCAACCTATATGAAATCCCACTCTTGTCTTTCCAATATGGAAATAAATTAACAGTAACTCCTCCACCCACCCCTGAGAGATATAGTGTAAGCAAAAATAGGGAAGGAGAAAATGAAGTACCTTGCTAGAGGATGGACTCGGACAACCTTCCATGAATCAGAGAGAGCAATCTCTGACCAAAGAAATAAATTAATAATCAAATTATATCAGATGAATCTCAAAAAAAGGAAGATAATATGGAAAAAGAATATGAATATTTGTTCAACTTGACGAAACAGTGATTTGCAAACAATCCAGCCTGTAATGGATACGTTGACAGTTAATTACATTTCGATTACAATGATTATTATAATAAAAATCCAAATGCGTCTTTATCCATTCGGAGTTACCAATGTTTTTCCTTTTGTCCGTCTCTTCCATTAGATTTCCTCTGCAAATAAGGTCACTTAGATTTCTTCGTCTGTAGAGATTGGGTTAGCGATTCCGAATACTCTTTGGGTGCTGATAAAACGAGAAGCTGCAACTTATTAAGTTTTCTCAGTAACCAAATATAAGTCTCCATTTTCATTTTCCTTGGAATTTCTCTGCTAGTTACAGATAAGTAGAGAGAAACTAGTTTTGGCGGGATCTCAATTTCAAGAGACGACATCATTTCGTCCAATCAGAAAGGAGAAAATATTTTAATGGGCGGAGATATCATTAAATGTGAACCGTTGGACGGTCCTCCTCAGTGGTCAAGGAGTTGAGGCAAACGTACTCCTTGCAGGTACTCAGAGACAAAATATTTTAGTGGGGCCCGCCAGAGCTGCAAATTTTTGTTTTTCAAAATTCAAAAACCCAAAATACCCTCCAAAACAGCACCCAGAGGCCAGAGCCCAGCAGCAATCAACCCCGATCTTCTCCACATTTACAGATCCAAACATGGCATTGAACAATCCACCCCAAAAAACCCTAGAAACAGCTGTTGATACTACTCGGGGCACCGAAGGACAACCCGAATCCGTATCGGAAGAAGAGGAAGTAGAAGCGGAAGAGTTGGAAAGATTGGAGTCAGAAGCGAAAGAAATGGCGAAGAAGATTCTCGAATACAGATCCACTTTTCCGAATCAGCTGGAGGTTACCTTAGCTTCGGTTCTTTCTGCCCAAAGACCCTTTCTTCCTAGCATGGATTCTGGGTCGGATTTGGGACCCGCCGGAGAGTTTAATCCAGGTTAGTTCATTTTTAGGGTTTTGGATTTTGTTTTGTTCCGGAAGACGAAAATAGGAGTTTGGATATTTCAAGATTTTGGTAAATTTAGTGGATTCAAATGCTGGAGGGGAAAAATTCTTGGTTTTCTATTAGTGAAAGTGTTCAAGAAAGTTGCTTTTTTGCTCAAAATTCCGACATGGTTGCCAATTATTTACTGATTAGTGAAAACTTAATACTAGAACTCTGATTTTCTGTGTTTACTTTGAATGAAGTACACCATGTTGAATCATTAAAGGAAAATGCAATTTTAGTTTTAGCTATGGACTAAAGTAATCTGGCGCTTGAAGAAGTTAATGGTGTTGCTAATATAATTTTAAATTGAGCAATTTTTCGACCTCAAGTTTGGACACAGTATGATTTCCCATCAATTTTTCCCCTTTTCTGAAACTTCAAAAAATTAAGCAAGATTTCCTGTGGTCTTTCGTTTCTGCTTTCTCGTCCATCACTGAAGGAAAAGACTTTTAAAGGCTCCTGTAGCAATTAACTTGCTCAAAGCTGATGCCACTGATATGAATAGATATGGAGATAATGTTTATGTTTATGTTACTGATGTCTTTGCCAGTAGAAATGGTCGGTGACATTGATTAAACTATTGAAGATGATAATGGTACGACTCAAGTTATATATTTAGTTGCCCAGTAGAGCATTTTTACTTTCTATTGCATTTTGAAGTACTAACAATGAAGACCATTTGGCATGATATGTGTTGGACAAAAAATAAGAAGGCATAATTTGCTTGGTGATGTTTTCTTCCAAATTTGATGGCTTCTATATTTGTCTAAATATGTAATCTCTTTAAAATATAGTTGCAGCATTGACACCGTCTTTCTTGTACAGGTTTAGAAGAACAGGTTAACTCCAGCAAACCAACTTCACTAACAGAAGGGGACCAAAAGATAACTGAGAAAGTACGGTTGCTCAAAGATAAAATTTCCAGCAATGTCTCAGCCATGCCTACTGTACTAAACAGGATGAAAGAGTGTATGTCAAAGATTGACAATCTAGATTCTCACGTTGGAACCTTACATCCATTTTCTAAAAAGAAAAAGACTAGCTGAACAAGTTTTTTGCACATGTGCTTGACTTTTTGTATTTGGTGTTAGTTTGAAGAGGAATGACAGAGGTGTTCCTATGACTGATGTAGATTTGTACAATGGATCCATGCATCCAACTGTTGAAAGGAGGGATTCTACTGACCAAATATATCTCACCATCCTAGATTTAGGAGTTTTTGTTGTATTGTAATTACTCGAGGCATCATTTTGTGTGTATCATAATTTGTTGATAATCATCTGAAAGCAACTTTTGCACCAATTTAATTATTGATCAGGATGAAGATAGAGACGCCATTGCATAGGATGTACACATTTTGTCTTTGTTCCTTCTGGTTTCTGCTCAACAATGTTCTGAAACATTAAGATGATTGTAACTACTTGAGCAGTGGTATAAGATGTCCTTTTTTTTTTTTTCCTTTGCATTGAAGATGTTGCATGGATTTAAGCATTGAAGCAGATTAACACAATTTTTCTTGTTATTTGCTACAGCTTCCTGTAATTTTATTTTTATCCATTAACAATTATTGCCTCTAGCTTTAATCCCCGTGTTTGTTGCAATATTTATGGTTTCTGAGGGAAGAACTAAAAACTCAGCACATGATTGAAACTTGCTGGCAGTTGGCACGAATGCTTGCAAAAGAAACACTAAATCAAATTGCAGAATTTGAGGAATTCAGGAAAGACTTGCTTTATGGACAGGGAGCAGACACCAAATTGAAGATCAACTTGATCAAGGTAATTATGATCACTGAGATTGGTGTTTAAGCTCTGAATCTCTAGCAAAGAGTTCCCAGAACCTCACAACTTATCCTAAATTAAACAGTACAGACACTTCACTTATATTACAAACATTCTCTGCAGTCAGCTTGCCTGAGATTATAAATATGAATTTAGTCAATATTGAAAACAAATAGCAATTCTTCGATTCCTTTCTTTTCATATCAGTAATATACATTGAATATCATTACTGAGTGAGTGTTGACTAATGTACATGGAAGGTCGACTAACCAGTATCCCACAACAATGTATTGAACTAACGATTAATAAATGACTCAAACGCCAATAATTCATAATGCTACACACTTGCAGCTGATTATATCATCCTCGGAATTTATCCTGGGTATGGAAGAACTGACCAGTACCCCTTCCATATTCCCAGTTTTATCAATGTCAAACACCACCGTGCTAAGTCCCTTACCGATGATGAATATCCTCTTCCCAGTTGCTACAAGCCGACAAGGTGGTCTTGTAAGTAATGCTGACAACCTTCCAACAGCCACCCATACCCTTTTATCCTTCTGCCACATCATCAACCTGGTTCCTGAACTCTGATCCAACACATAAAGGGTACCATCCACAACAACTGCTGGACCACGCCAGCCTGATACCATATCAGCATCTGCATGCTGCCACGTGCCATTTGAAGGTTCATAGAGAACAGCATATACGTGAGAAGACACAGAAGAAGCACCACAACGAATATAAATCTTCCCATCCAATACTATGGAATCTTCAACATCAGGAATGACATTACCATCAGAATGTGATTCCCAACTATTCTTATGAGGATCGAAAGTGTCCCAAGAATGTGGATCGCTCAGTTTTGAACCTAATCCACCAATGGCATAGATTCTTCCATCCAAAACTTCACAAGCAAAATAGCACCTGAACAAAGGTGTAGGTAATTTTACAATTCCAAAATTGTTCTTGAGTTTCTTAAAGGAAGGCATAAAACCGTAAATAAACAAACAAAAGAACTCTTGCTCCCAGGCCTTGGTCATGTAAAGTGTGTATAGCGTAGCCTAGAAACTTAGGGACATATATTATATCAACAAGCAACTAAACAGTTTTTCCAAGTTACATAACATCTACTAAAGGAAAACAGATGTGAGATAATTTAGAGGCAATGCTTTTTGTTTTGGTGTGAATAAAAGAGTGCAGTACTTAATTGCAGCAGTTTATCATAATTACAAGTGGAGGAATATTCTTAGAAATATTTACCTCCTGTAAAAGACTGGAAAAAGTATAATCAACCGCTTGAAATGTAATTTCAAGGAAGACATGCAGTGCACTCATACTATGAGCAACGTTAAGGCAGACAAGGATGCATATGAAAAACAACCAGTACCTTGCAGTAGACAAGGAAGCAGCTTCAGTCCATGAGTTGCTAGAAATATCATAACAGTAGGCTTCATCAGTAGCATCTTCCGACCAACCACAGCCACCTAACAGATAAAGCTTCTTCCCCAGTGCTTCAAAACCTATACCTTTTCTTTTCAAACAACGAGGTGGAAGCCCTTGAATGAGCTTCCAACTTCTTCTTGATGAATCAGGGTCCAATACATAACAACATATTCGCTCAAACTTGTCACGACACAAAGCATATATCCAAGTCTCACTCAAATTGTGCTTTCCACGATAAGCATGCCACTCTGCATTGCAAACCAAGTCTCTCCATCTCCTGCAAACGCACTTCAGCACTGTATGATATTTCCGAGGCACTCTTGCCAAGCAGAAAAGAGCAATGTCATCTGGAATCCCACAAATCAGTGGCCCTTGACTCTCTTCTAGTTGACTGATTCTCTCAGATCCACCTTCCATATGCTCCACCCGAATCCCACAGCCTAGAACAGATTCAAAATATTAAATAAATAAAGCTCCCATCATAAAAGATGCCTACTTTCTAGCAACTCAGCATGAAGGGTAGATTCAGGAACCTAAGACTCTGGATCCAAGATTACTGACTTTAACCCAAATTACTTTAAGCGCAGAATTGAAAACTTCCATTCTGATATACATACTTTTCAAAATGTACATTGAAAGCCCGCCTGATATTTTCAGATCCGATAAACAGATCCACAATGTAACCAACTACAGGTAATTAAACCATTATGACCCCATCTGGTTGAATTCCAATCTACGGAGAAAGTACGCCAATAAAGAACGAACCGAAAGATTAAGCTAACAAAACAAAAATATCCAGTGAAACCACAATTGCATTTGAAGCATATATCTCAAGCAGAATTCAGACTTCAGGTCCAAATCGTAAGATTCTTTAAGATATAACAGAGTTGGAATTTGACATTGTGCGATGAACAATCAAGGTCGTAATGGAAAAAATAATTCTGAAAATAAAGAGTAGAAAACTCACCTGCGAGAATTTGATCGCGGCTGTAGGTTTCTTCTGTTGCTTGGTATCAAAACTCAGGACGTGTGTCTCCGAATTCAAGTTTCAATACTTATGGCCATGGGAGAAACAAAAAGATGTCTGCGATTTGGGTGGCATTTCGTAATTAAATACTTTTCTGGGGACTAAAATGGATTGGCAAAAATGATGCAGTGGAATTATCATATCAGAGACGCGTGGCACGTACCTTAGACTCGCTTTATTACAAGGGCTAAAGGTGACATGGCATGAAGTTGACCACCTATCTACGGCCACGTTGCATGACACAATAGACATTTCTACACCGCCTTCAAAGGCAATCAATTTCTCGCAATTTAAATGCACAATGTTCGAATCCAAACCAATAGACATATGAACTCGTCACAAATTATTATTGGTGAAGCTTACATGAAAAAGAACTCAAAATTAATTATCTTAAGAATTTTTCTCCGCTATCTAATAAATTCCATTAATATTAATTATTTACACGAATTATTATATAAGAATATTGTGTAAAAAATATAAATAGGACTATCATTTTAGGGCAATATTTTACAATATTTCATAGCAAGCTTTGTTCCTGACAAAAAAATTTCGTTGGATAGAGTTCAAGCCATAATCAATGTTGATTCCCTGCTTAAAGTTCATAATTTGTTCCGATAACTTTATATACGACAGCAGAAAAGAAAATGGGAGGGGAGCAGTGAGAGTGCAGAAAAAAGCAGCCCGGCTGCTAGAATCAAACTTTATTAGATGATAAGCTATATGGTTGACAGTTGTTATTATGATTGAAAACTCATTACAATTCATAAGGAGCAAAATTTGGATAACCTAGATTTCTAAACAACACATTCTGGCCTAGAACCCAGTGCATGAACATTCACAGCTTTGAGGCAGTAGCGGGGTTTGGTGTTGAAGCCTTCCTGAGAAGACCCTCTTGAGTCACTGATACGACATGCTGCCCATCAACACATGAATATTTCAGTTCATAAGTGGAATAACAAAACTAGTTAACATATGTGATGTTATAAATCATTACCTCTCCCTTTCTGTTGAACATTTGGCCAGATACAAAACCACGTGCTTGGGAGGCAGCAGGACTAGCCATCTGTAGACATTCGCAACGTGAATATTCTGATGGAAACTCAAAACATTAGAAATACCATTCAACACTTACCACAAATAATAACCAATCATCAGCTCTAAAGGGCCTGTGGAACCACATCCTGATAAGGAAAAAAAAAAAAAAAAGGACCATTTCTCAGCTAACTAAAATCTCTATCCCGTGTCAGCAATTCAAGAGAGTTGCATGTTCATCATAAACATAAACATCCATTCAAGTATCCAAAATCTCTACAGCAGTGGGTGAATGCAAAATGAAATCCCATTATAAACAAATTTGATTTGAGGAATGCTACAGCTTATAGATACCCACTCTAACTTTGTGCTTTGAAATATTCAAATCAATGTATGAGAGCAATTAAGACCAGCCTGGTAGGATTCAGATACTTACGAGTGGTCTAAACTCACTGAAGCCGTCTTCAGATCCTTAGCACGGTGGGGATTCATGCTAACTTGAAGAAATATAAGATCTGAGGTATATGCTGCTACACATCTGTAAAGACAATTGAATAAAAGTTTTACAAACAATTAAGAAACTTGCACAATGTCCAATACATACTAGCACAGGTGATTATATACTCAATTATGTTACTTGGGCATCGCTGTTGTCATACCGTTACTTTTTTGAGCTTTCATTATTGTAGGTTTTTTACTTACACCTGAACTTATCACACACACAATACAAGCTATGAACCACTTATGCATTTTATCACCTTTAACAAATTGTGGAGGGAAGACATGAACAATGAATTAATCAGATAAGTAGCATATGCTCAAATTATTAGGAAGCATAAGAAACCAGGGACCAGAAATATGCGATTGCTCAACAGGGGTAATTTTGTCAGAAAAGATTGACATAGTCAATCCAAAAATAATATCTAATCTCTTATCAATTTGAAGCAGTTACTTACCTATGTAAAGCCTGGTCATCAGAAAGTTTTCCTTTTGATCTAAACCAGTACCTCAAACTGTGACAAAACTCGATTAAGTGAGCATGAAAAAATGTAAATGCACCAAGAAATGTAACAGTTCATATTTCCATTGGCATCAATATGCAGGCTGCTACCGAAGAAAAGATTACGAATGATAATATATAATACTACCTTGGAGGAGATTTTGTCTGATTAGTATTATTGTTTGGCTCACAAAACCTTATCTCTATGGGCCAGGGGACAAAATCTTTTGAGGCGACCTTGTTTCTGTAGCTCCTGAAACAGCCAATGCAACTAACTGTAATTCAAGTAAAAGTTTTAAAAATAACAATCTATTATTAGAAGAAAAATCCCTTTAGATGCAATCAACTTTTAGCTCACGGACTACTAAAAAAATTGTATTCCACAACCAAATGACTGTGAATACAAGATTAAATAATTATCATCAGGACCATTATCAATTATCCATCCACCACTACTATGTAAGCCAGAGCTTCACTGGTTGCCCTGCTCAATTTCATATGTTATGATATATTACATATACTTTCGATATGTGAATGGCAAGAACAAACATTATCTTAAAGAACTCATCCAGTGATGAGCAGTAAACTACAAAATATAGCTATTGTGAAGCACAAGACATGCCACTGACATCTCCATCCATTTTGTTACTGCTTTATATACTGTAAATTTGTTCTAAAAGCCACAGAAAAAGAAAACGACAATATTAAATAAACTTACTGTGAATCTAACATACTTATAGTAGCATTTAAGTTGGTAAAAAAGGTGTCCACGGTTGAAACCACACTTACTAACTTCCAAAATTCCAACCATCCATAAACAAATCCTTCCAATAATTTCAGAGTGCACAATGATTAAACCCGATTGCAGATGATTATGACATCCTGCAATGGGGTTGGGGCAACTTAGAAGCCTTACAAGTGAACAAACTCTTTGATAACATAAAATGACAATGCATATGAAAAAAGATTGCTTTAAAATCTCTAATGGAGAAATTGGTTTATAGTATTGTTTTGTGAATTTAAAAAAAAAAAAAAAAAAATCATCGAAAAATCTTCAAGGTAATTTTTTTCAGAAAACTAATTGAACTTCCAATGGCTGTTACAATCTATATTGTTTGAGGTATAGACTCAATCATACATGGAACATCTAGACAGGTGGGTGCTGGAATGATGTGTACTCAAATGCTATAGATGACTTTCGAGAATTCAGTGTATATGCCTGAAGAAGAACTTGAGAGCCATTATGGTACAACGAAGATAGGAACATAAAATCAACATTTTAATCCAAGGAAATGTAAGAAGCTGAATTGCAAGGTGTTATACCTTGGAAGACGAGGATCTGTTAGACGTTTCTGGCGCAGCTCCTCCATTGACAGAAGCTGCAATAGTTTTACAGTTCAATATCCAACACATCAATAGACTTGGGATATAAGAGATTTAAGCACATTCCAGTTACCATCTCTGGTTCTGGGACATTCGGCATTGTTACTTCTTGGTGTTCAAACCCTTGTTGTTCTTTCTGGAAATTTAACATAAGTTAGAGGCATTCTTGAGGTGCTTTAAGCAATCATAAATAACCATCACGTCAACACATTATTTCAAGAGAGTAGAATATTAGATCTAAATATTAAAAAATGTAAATAAATCAGCTACGGCTGATGCTTAAAAAATAAATAGAATAATTTCTACAAACCAAACCAAACCCCGCAGATGAAAAGGACTACTATGACTTGCACGAGTTAAAGAATTTGCACAACCAATTTTGGCAGGATAGGGTTGACATCTAAAACATAACTCATAAGCATCAAATTTTATAATGGCCAACAAACCTGGACAACAAAATGGACTTGATATTAATAGATGTAAATTAAACTAACTTGCTAAATCAAATAGAATTTCTTTAAAAACAAATGAATATTCCCTCCGGCTTAATATAAATTCCTTAAAGCAAATCACTAGGAAAAGCTGCATGATATTAACAAAACAAAGCTGCTAGGAAGTGTTTCTTGGAATATTGATTATGTGAAAACAAATGTAAAAACTGCATACCTGAAATGAAGCCATCAACGTGAACACAATATTCCCTTTTTGCACCGCATTAACTCTCCGGGTGGCAAAACTTTTCCCCTCACGTACACGCTGCACTTCATATAAAATTGGCACTGCAAGAGAAATTTACACGCCGACCATATATAATAACATCATTATCATGCTCCATGAACTAATATGAGCTCAAATAAAAAGCAGTACGATACTTCCTTCTGAAAACATCTATCATAAAGGAGAAACAAAGTTCCCTACAAATAAAAGAGGTATCAGAGAACTCAAAATAGGGAGTGGATCTGGTTGAGGATATCATCATTTCTATGAAGCATAAGGTTTGAAATGGTAATTTCCAAGTGATAATAAAACAGGTAAGCCAAATTTTAATGGATGCATGATTAAAAAAAGGCTGGCATAGTACACGAAGAATCCCATGTTTTGTGGGCTCTTGGGAGGGCTGATGTATGCAGCCTCCCCCTGCTTTTTTTCTTTTTAGCAAAGAGTCTGTTTTGGAGGCTCAAAATTATGACCTCCAGGTCACAAGTGGTGTAACTTTACTGTTACACCAAAGTTGCCCTCTAAATTTTACTGCATAAATACCATCCAAAAATTAGAAATTGTGATGACTGTCGGTGCAAGATTATGTACTTACTGTTAAAATCTCCAACAAGAAGAAAATAGGCATGTAAGCTATGAACAACCTTAAGACAATCAACAGTTTTTGATGCTGCAGCCAGTGCCTGCATGTAGGAACATCACAGCATAAAGAAGTGAAAACCTAGCTATTATGTATTGCCAGTTACCAAATTGAATACTTGGCATGTAACATAAGGCCTAAGCAAATAGAAGAGAGAATGGAATCAAAGTACATGAAAGAGAAAGATTTCTGCCTAAGGAAAGTGAAATCAGAAAAAAATAAGGCCTCTCCACTTCTGAAACCATTGTCACACAATGATGATATTGAAAGAATTCAAAACGAAAATAGACATTAAACTATATGCATTAAACCATTGTCACACAAGTTTGGAAAGGCACTTTCAGATATACATTTGACAAACCAAAGGATTTTACAGCTTAGGACCAACTCATGATGACTCTTAAAAGTGCTACTACTATGCCATATTACTCCTACAATAATATAAAGTTAAATTTACCATGACATGCCAAGAAGCATATCTTAAGCCTTAAAGATATATTGAAACTTTGCAGCTATATGCATGACAGTATATTAGATCAAATAATTATATTATCTGTCTGGAACAGTAGTATGCCAAATGCAGTATACAGTGGAAGGAGAGAGAAAGAAAGTGACTCAGACCTGCCCAACAAACTGTCCTCCAAAGACTTTTCCAAATTTTGGGGCATCTGGTAAGGTAATCCCTTGGAATATATTCATCTTCAAAACAAATAGAAAGAATCTCAGTATAACCAAATTACAAAGTCTTCCTTGGCCTGTCATATAAAACACTGGGAAAAAAAACTCTATAAGTCAACTTGCAACTATTTTAATTGTGCTTGTTTTGGTTGAACTCAGGCATGCAATTTTGGACTAAATTCAATAATTCCCCAAAAAAATATTTTAGATATATGCAATAAATATCTTGCACCTAAAACCACAAAGGTCAACATTCAGGAGCAAAACAACAGAACTAGAGTAATTGAAAGAAGGTAACTTGTTGAGTTATTAAAAATCTTTAAACAAGAGAGTAGACATATACTTCTATAGGCTCCAAATGCAATATACTCTCCACAAGGGAGCACGAGTCCGGTGTCTTATCAGCACTCCACATTGATTTGGGACGAAGTAAAGTACAGTGTTCATGGGGCAACACTAAGCAGGTCAGCTGTCACGGTATACAAAAAAATGAAATGACTTTCAGTTGGAGAACTTCGCGTAATTTACACTATCATAGAAAAAAGAAAGACACCAAAAACTAAAATCGATAATTCAAAACCTTCGTCAAAGCAATAACATCTGCCTGCTGAACGGAAGCAACGACACCTGCAAAAACAAAAAAGCAAGTCCGCATCATTCTTCCTAGACAATTGATTTCATCCTCTAATTTATGATATAAATAATCAGTTAAAAACAATTGAACTATACCAATAAATGGGAAAAAGAAATAACACTGAGCAAAAAAAAAAAAAAATAATAATGGCCTAAGATTGAATCGCAGATAATCAGTTTCTCACCGTCACCAAAGTAATCATAGCGTTTCAATTGAAACTCGGGGCGATCGTGTTCCTCCGCATGAATTGATCCAGATACTTCAGCCTATACATAAATCAAGGATCAAATTTCGGCCGCCAAAATATATAAAATAAATAAATGAAATGCCAAAAAAAAACTAACCTCCCCTTCCCATATTATATAGATTCCTTCTGCAATCTCTCCCTCGCGAATAACATGCTGTCCTTTCTCTGCATTGCACAGAATCGAATTGAAACAATTCAATTTAAAATAACCAAAACTGAAATAAATAAAGGAAAATAGTATGAAATTACCGTAGTGTTTAACAGTAACGAGTGAAGAAATTTTCTTGATAGACGAGCTTGGGAGTCTCTGTAGCAAAGGAACGCCGCCAAGAAACTCGATTACTGCAAAAATAAATAAATATCAAATCCAAAAACTCAAAACTCCTCTTTGTCTCAGCAAAAATGAACATCGTTTCTTATTTCTGTATATTCACCTGATTCAGTGTCCATTACGGAGCGGTCGAATTGAGACATAAATGAGAAAATTCGAGCTTGATCTTTCTGTTAGATAGAAATGGAAGAACAGTAGTCCAGGTTCGATACACGAGGGCAAACAATGGTAGATTTATAATGGTGCGGGATCTAGTGATCCGAGGCGCATGGTATGGCATCATATATGAACCGTTAATATAAGACGTGTAGCACAGTAGCAGTAACGCGGTCTGATAAATATGCAAACCGGTAGGCGATAGCAGATTGGCTTTTGGCGCTCGTGTTTTATGTTATGTTTGACCAATTTTTGTAAATAAGAAAACACCGACACAATAAAAAAATATTCTTCAAAAATATTACTGTTTTTATTATATTTTAAATGTCTTCATCTAAATGAAAGTTTTTGATTAATTTGTTATTTGGTTAAGCACTAAGCAAATGTGAATATTCTAAAAAAAAAAAAAAAAGAAAAGAAAAAGCAAATGTTAAGCTACACTATGATTTTAGCTTGCGGCCAATTTTATTTTTGAATTTTTTCCTTTTAAATTACTTTTAAAAAATCAACATATTATTAATTATTTTATTTTTATTTTACCCTTATTTAGATATTTTTATCAAACGCTATTAAGTGAATAAAGATGGTTAAAAGAAGAGAAATATATCTAAATCTAAATATGTTTTTATCAAACTTCATTATACTTTTGCTCAAAGATTATTGGAATGTAGAAGGGCTTCATTTTTAGCTCACGTGAAATAAATTTATTTAAATTAAATTTCCATTCCCTTCATCCACTTTTCAATTAATTTTTTGTTTTATAGAACCTTTATTATCCCTCCATTTTCTTTTTTTAATGAATAAAATAAGTTCTAATGAAAAGGTAATTTGAAATTAGTGAATTTCAATGTTAAGAAAATATAACCAACAAAATAGTAACGCAAATAGGAAAAATAAAAAACCATGCTAAAATAAAAAAGACGTTAATTTTGTCAATTTTGATATATATATATAATTGATATGACAATAACATTTTTCGTCCCGGCAATAACACCGCCCAAGATGCAAAATACAGAAAAATACATATACAATATTTGTTCGAGTTTCTAAGTTTGGGAAACTTCACGAGGTAACTTTTCAGTTTCAGTGTTCTGAGTTTGGGAAGACTTCAGCCATCTCAGCTTGACTTCCTGCAAAGTCTAATTCATAACCAATCTCCTAACGAGTTGCATTAATTGTATCCAATCACATTTAAACAAATAATTATTCAATAGCTCATAGTTCAAAAGAGAAGAAAAGCAGAGGGTTCTGTATACCAAAATTCACAATATTTGATTAAACAGGATGACTACAAGTTTTGTGGAAAAGGTAATGACTATGAACAGAGGAGCATTAACAAATTTTAACCACCATTTTTCTGTCTTGATAATGCAGTTCCTACCTTGTCAAAAATTCAGAACAATAAGCTCATAAACATAAAAACGTTATCAATTTTTAGCCACCATTCCAGCAAGCAAAAGATATATTTCCAGAACAAAAGAAATAAAGCTTGCAAATTGCCATACCAAGTACCATCATAGACACCAAAAGTGCTTGGCATTTGGTATCCATCATCAACCATATTATATCTTAAGATCATAGACACAAAAGAATTTTCACAATCATACCGAGACAGACAACAACTTTATCAACAAACAAATTATATCTGAAAATCATAGACGCGAGAACTTTCACACATTTGACCCTGATCATCAATCATAGGGAGACAAAGACAGCAACTTAAACAAATACTCAAACTGCTTAAAAGACATAATGACATGTGGGAACATCTGAATGCATAACCTTAGTAAATAATAAGCCATGCCAGAATCTCAGCACCCAAGTTCATATTGGCAACGTAAAGCGCTGAAAACACTATTGACAAAGTGCATCAGAGACTCTAATTTGTTGCCGCAAATACATCCGAACATGCTATGGACAATAACAGGGTCAAAACCTACAAAAAGCATATAGTAAGACTACCATGAAACTAAAAGTTCGACCAACTGACTGGAAAGCATTACCGAACTTTTGAACTGAAAGTATCAATAGTCTCTAAAGGAGAGTGTGGTCAGATCTCAATTGCACAAGCCTCAAACAATTAAACAATTGAAAATGCCAGAATCAAAGAACCCTAAAAATTGGTTTTAGCAACTTAATCAAATGAAACAAAATAATCCAGGAATAGAATCAAAATCAAAAGGAAAATGGGAAGCCATTAAACTTAACTAAACTGAAAAAGGGCTCAGCGTTATTACGATTAATTACATCAACAAGCTCAACTTTGAGCTTTCATAGTTTGATGGTATAATATCGATCATCAGTGCCCTTCCACAGTAATTACCATAAAACAAGGACAACAAAGACAGAAAGGCCTCAGAAGCTAAGGTTTCAACACATCACATAAATATAATCAGATGGTACGGACAAATTTTATGTGGATCACAGGCCAACCCGTGGATCTTTATCGACATTGACCAGCCTTATCAGATTATCAACTTTTGGATTGAGAAATAAAGAGAAGAGAGTAGAAAAGACATAGGGGATCTCGATCAACTCAAGGAGAAAATTTTTTGGAATATATAAGCCCGATATAAAAAGGCAAATTCGCCTGTAGCGAACTGCAAAATGTTGCAAGCTGATGATTTTCCAAGAAAATCTCCGATCAGCAATGAAACACAGAAATTAAAGCAAGGAAATCGAAAATCAAATAAAAACAAAGGAAAAACATCATCTTTAGGGCTCCGCATACACTGCAATCACCTTCGACTGATGAGACTGCGACCAAGGAACCCTAGGGTTTTAAGCTGGGGGTGGCCTTTTAAAGAAGAAAGTTCGGGTCTGGATATGGGTCGGGGATATGAGACAATATTACTCCGAGCCGATGAAATGGGCATGGACCATATATAACAGCAGTTCCATTATAAAATTGAAGAGATCGTGACGCCTTCGTCCTTACCATGGTAAACTAATGTTGCTGAATTATAATTTTGGAAAAATAATAAATTGATTCTGGAGTTATGGTTAAAATATTACGTGTAAATTTTTATTTTTAAATATCAGTTATAAAATTTTTAAATTATGATTTTATTAACATATTGATCTTTTCATTCAAAATTGATAGACTATATTATTAATTTGATTATGATTTAGAGATCAATTTCTTAATAAATTGCCAATTAAAATAAAATATTTTTAATAGAAGGATCGATGTATTAACTCAATTATAATTTAAGTATCTCATAATTAATTTTTAAAAATAAAAATCCTCATGTTTAATTTGACTATAATTCAATGATCAATTTATTATTTTTTTTCTATATTTTATTATGTTTGCAAAGTAAAATCCTTTTGATTTTGCAATTTGTTGCAATTGCAAAATATTTTTACAATAGAGAACTAAAATGGGGAGCATCCGAATCATTTTACTGAAAAAAAGAATAAAGTATAAATAATTATTAAAAATAATACTCTAAAATAAAATTTAGTGATTAATTATAACCTGTGGTTGAAATAAAGTCAATTGCAATAATATATAAAATTCAAATTACTTTTACACGTTAACATGATTAATCAATTTGTAAATTTTTTTTGTCTCTCTTTTCTGAAATATAATTAAAATTAAAAAAGAAACTTTATAATGCCTCTTCTAATCATATATAATATGAAATTTAGTAATTATTTAATTGTAAAATCAAGGGATAATCAGTGTAATCAAAAATTAATTTTTATATATAAAATAAAATTCGTATTAAGCACTGGCTCACAAATTGTATAGCAATAAGTGTAATTTTAATTTTTCTGGGTGATAAAGCTATTTTTATTTATGAACATTCTTATGGTAGGTGAATATGAAATTAAATCCTTACTAAATAAAACATTGATATATAATTAATTTGTTATAACATCGAGAAATATGATGAAAATATTTGTTCACATAGAAAGTTAATTAATTATTAACTAAAAAGACAATGACATATAATTTTATTTTCAAAAATTTATAATCTAACAATTATAAAAAATTACGTTAGCATATAGTATTAGCTTTTAACAAGAGGATAGAAAAAAAAAAATCATAAATTGCTTTGAATTTTGCATCTTTTTGCAATTGTATCCCATTAAAATTAGAAATTAAAAAACATAATATAAATACCATGAACCTTATGATTGTTGCAATTATAATCTACTTTACATAATTTAATTCATAGGACATAATTAAAAAAAAGGTATCAAATAATAGCAATTGAATTAGACGATTATGCAAAATGATGGAATGGAATACATTAACCACTGATGGAAAAGTGAAGCATGAAATGAAAAATCAGTAAATGTCTAAATGACAAGAACGATACCATCGCACCCAAAAACAGTATCCCAAATTGAATTCCTATCTTCGTAACAATTGATTCATAATATGTATCATGTCTTTTCCAAAAGAAAAAGAAAATTTTAAAAACCAGAATAAAATTTGTTAAAAGTATCGGTTGCAGAAAAACCAAACAACAAATAGACAACACTGCTGCTCAGAAATCCTTTGCATTCTTAAATATTAATCAGATTCAAGTATGAATTGAATCATTAGCATATTTAGGATCTCATCACTGCAGAAAGGTTTTTATTCCTTGCATTAATTAGGTCCAAAATCCTGGCTTATTGAACAGAACATTAAAAGAAAGAAACAGAAAAAAGGCAGAGCATCAAAATCCTACATTTCTGCAACAAATTACTTTCATAACATAATCATCACATGATAGACTTAACACAACAAAAAAATATTAAACTCAAAATCATTAGTTAATTTAACTCTATAAGAAAATTTTAGTCGAGATTACATACTAAATAAGAACTACCCAATAATTCAAAACGGAAACAGGCAACACCAAAATAAAATAAGCATCACTAAATGCTGCAAAGAAACTCCATGAAGAGATCTGCAATCTGGCTGTAGCACTCATTTCTTTTTCTCTGCAGCTCCACCAGCTCTGGTCATTGAAAAAAAAGGCCCAACAAAATGTTAACACAAAGGAAATTCAATGACCGAGAGAAACAGAATGTAGAACACACAAATTTTTGCTAGCAGAGGTGCATTTTCACCTGAATTTCATTTCATTTCAACAGAATAAATAAAATTGTCAACAGTTGATGGACATGGCAAGTAAATACAAGCCATAAAGGCCGCCAATTACCTCATTTTCCGAAGAACAGAAGACATTTCCTCACGCTTCTTCTTGGCTCTCTTATGAGTACCCAACTTTCTCTTTGCCACCTTCAGTGCACGCTTATCTTTTCCAACCTTTAGAAGCTCAGTGATCCTCTTCTCATAAGGAGCAAAACCAGCCACCTCCCTGATAATGCTCCTCACAAAACTGACCCTCTTGCTAGTTCTCTAAAAGAAAATCAAGGAATATCTTAAAATATTATACCAATCAAGTGATAATGTCTCTAACTTGAAAGAAAAAGCAAAGAATAAGAAATTACAAGAGCAAAACAAAATGACTAGCCAGTTAAAAACAGCTGCATTATGTAACGATTAGAAAAAAATAACCATATAAAGTTAAAGCAAGAAGAAATGAATGCTTAACTTGTCACCCAAATTAACTTACCCCCTTTCTATCAGAAGGGCGTGGAGCTAATTCCTTTTTAGTCACTACATGTCCTTTATTTAGGCCTACGAAAAGGCCAGTATTTGGCTGTTTTGGAGCCATAACCTGAATACAATGAAAAAAATCACCATATTAATTACAATTCATAATGTTCTCTGCATAAATTTCAAAATTCAAATGAAATTTTTCTAAAGTAATGTCAAAATTTCGAAATTGCTCCATTATCAAAGGCTGCAACATTCTAATAAGCTGATTCTAAGAATGGTTGATAACAAATCAATAGAAAACCAACATATGATAGTTCAATTTAAGAGTGGTTGTACACGGTGCAAAACAAGCAGTTATAAGAATTGTCCATTGATCAACATCTAAGGCTAGTTTGGCACCGTAATTACTAATAGAAGCCTTTTGACGCTGTTGGGTAATTGCTATATTTTTTAATTGTGGCAAAAATATTCGTCCTAACTTTTTTTCCTAAAATGCTTCAATGAGCAATAACAATGCCAAACAAACTCATATCCTCACAGACAGTGGGCCAACGTGATATTCAAATCAAAGCGATGCACCCTTCTCAAAGGGTGCTACAATACCGCTACATGAGGAATAAATTTCCCTCAAATCAAGTACCGAGTACGTTTTTCCGCACCAGCAAGGCAAAAGAATCAATAGTGCAGATACATGGCATCCTGAGAGCCCAAACATTTGACAACGTAAAATATATCTACTCTAACACCCAAACCACACCCAACACAGATTAAATTGGCTTATTATATATACAAGTCCATTCTAACAGGCAATGAATATCTAACAATACATGTAAACTTTATATGTTTGATATAAATAGTCAATGTCGACCAAAGACAAGTGGGCAAGAAAAAAGGAATTTTCGCACTCACCAAACAGCTCCGCAGAAGATTTTCCTGGACAACCTCCGAGCACTGCGATAAATAACATGAGAATCAGGAACTTGAAGCTAACTTAAACCATTGAAAAGAAATAATTGTCTCTAGCGTGTCAAAACATTACGCCTCACCTTGGACAGAAAGAGTCTGCGGCCAAAAGAACCCTAGGGTTTTGATCCAGAGAGATGAGTATTTAAAGAAGCAATTCGGGTCGGGCTAGTAGAAGGATAACATGGTGATTCAGGAGTATCAATACGGGCCCGGGTCAAAAGTGAAACGGCAACGTTGAAGCATCAGATGATGACAAACGACAGCGTTCTGGTCATGCAAAATTGAACCAATAGACTAATGCCGCGTTTCAAAAGAAATGCGGGATATAACAATTACTGAATGCAATCCGAATAAGGTGTAACGGAAATCAAATCATGGCGTGGTTAGGAATTTCCTATTACTTGACTGACAAGGATTAGGGTTTTATTAGCGCTTCAGAACTCTATAAATACGGTTAATAACTTTTTGATTCACTTGAATTGTGTCACAAAAAATGAAACAAGATTTAATTGATTGAGACTGAGAGGAAGAGAGGATCTTCCAATGGCGCAAGGAGCCAACGCGTTTGCTCTCTTGCCCGATGACAACGACGGAGATATTGATGATTTCATCAATAAGGTTGCTGCGCAGGCCAAAATTATCGAGGAGGAGGAAACGAAGAAGCAGCGGCAGCAATACAAGGCGGCGGCTACGAACCACAAGGTGGACTCCCAGAGGGAGAAGCGGTTGAATCTTGCTACAATGCGCGCGAGGAAACCTTTTATTCCCGGCTCTCTTTACAAGAGCCAGATCGTGTTCAGGCAGCCAAAAGCCCAAGATCAAGAATCAGAAGACAATGGAGCAGAAAAAGAGAAAGAGCAAGACGGTTTCCGAGATGATAGTAGAATAGCGAATGATTATCCCCGAGACCGGGAAGGGAATTATAGATCGAATTATAGGAACAATAATGGAGGGTATAATAGGTATCAGAGATATAATGGAGGGGAGGGAGATCATTATAGAAGGAATAATGAAAGGGGTGATTTCTATGAGGGAGGAGAGAAGCAAGGTTATGTAGGAGAAGGAGGTTATAGTAGGAATTATACAAGGGGTTGTTTTTATCAGCGGAATAATGGATACCAGGAGAATGATAATGGAGGAGATGATGCGGAGGGCTATATTGCTTACCGTGGCCGTAGAAGAGGAGGAAGAGGCCGTTCCCGATGGGGAGGGTTCAGTGAAAATTATAACGATTCATCTGAGCATAATAATAACAATGTTGTAACTGATGATCAGGTTCAAGTGTCTGATAATCCTGAACGGAAAGAAGTTGATGTTGCTACAGAGCAGCCTGAAGCCAATGGCAATAAGAATGACGAGGATGAAGCGGCTGAAGATTCTAGGGAGGGGGAGAAGAAAAAGAAAAAGAAGAACAGCAAAGCTGATGATTCTAAGTATAACAAGATTCCACAACAGGAAGATAAAAACCTTGCAGCAAATACAATGACCTATAGAGAATATGAGAAGAAGTTGCTTGAGAAGAAAAAGGCTTTGGAAGAACTGTTAAATGCTGAGAAGCCAAAAGGTTCAGCGGACAAGGATTTCGAGTCAATGATACCTATTGGCAAAAATACAGGAGAGGGAAGCAAACTAGTAGTCAAGCCTAAGGTTTCTGGCGAAAATCTGAAAATTAAGGAAAAACGGATAAAATCTATGAATATTGATGAGTTCCTTAAACCACCGCCACGTAGATATAGGGGAGAGAGATATGGCAATGGCAGGGGTTGGGGCAATGATCGTTGTGGGTTTCAGAGGGATGGAGAAAGAAACAATGATGGCTCTGATAATGGCCAAGAACTTTCGAGGCAACCATCCGGTGCTCCTGCTCCTCCTAGCTTCGAGGACATTGGTCAATTTCCTTCTCTTGGTCAGGAACTTGCAAATAGTTTTGATCTAGCTAATAGGAAGATTTGAGTATTTCTGTTTTGTATTTTACTTTTTTTTTGGGGAACATGTAGTGCTTTTGAGGAAGAATGAAATAATCTAGTTGTAATAGTTCTCATTATTTTGATTTCTTGAGTAATTTTGCAATTTTTCTTTTAATTTTGATTTTTAATTTTCCCGTCTTTAATGATTTGAGCTGTTTCTATGGACATAGCATTTGCATATTCCAATTTGGGCCAAGACATTGGGTTCAGGTTTTTTAGTGGGCTGGGCTATTGTTTTAATTGATTAGCATCTAGTGGCCCAGGAGCTGGTCTAGAATTTAGGCACTTCTATTTCACAAAAATACGACAGAAGAAGACTTAAGTTAAACGGTCAAGTGCAGGACAGGGTGTCCAAGTAAGCAAGCTTAAGAAGATTCTCAGCAGTGAAATGGGTTTGACTAGCAGGTTAGGTCACTTAGTTCTTCGTCTACCTTTCTTATAAACTGCACTTTTCTTGCATAATCAATTTAGCTTAAGTTGGTGTTCAATTGTGCTATTGTTAATTCTTAATTTCTCACTTAACAACATTAAGCTCCAGAGAAATCAGCTTTTGCTGCTCTTCATACCCACTAAACACCTTGTGTTACTCCCCTATCTACTTCAGAATTTCCTTTAAAATAAAAAAAAAAAAAGATTTGTTATTTATTTCAAGTAATCATTTGTTTACACAAGTCGCAACACTTGAGCTTATGATGATCTTCACTTCTCTATTTCCTAAAAACCCTTGAGAGGTAAGTGCAAGCCATTATCCATCCTACTTCTGAAATTTCACAACTTGGGAATCCTTGAATTCTGCTCAAAATATATTGCAGATTAATATTTGAATCTCCTCAACCATGGTTTTTTCATTTTATCTTAGTGTTAATCACTTATTCTTCAACAAGAAAATTTCTATCGTTCACTCCAGATTTTGATTGTTTTAAGAACCCTGTTAGCATGTTTTGCAACTTTGAAGGCTTATGTTGTTTCGAATCCCAAGTTTGCAGTGATCATAACAGTCTTACCTTGCAATCATAATTCTGGCTTAAACCCCCCAATATTTATTCATGTATTTTTCAACCTTCGTATTTTCTCATTCAAGCCATGTTTCTTGACATACATGACGTGCTTGAATCATAGACCTCTATGTCAATCGTCTGTGGCCTTCCAATCCTTGAATGTGTGTACTGCTTGGGATGTGCCCGTTGGGTATGGCAAAAATGCCTGTATAATGCTGGCCATGAAAGCGAGAACTGGGGCCTAGCCACAGCTGAAGAGTTTGAACCTGTTCCCCGCCTTTGTCGCTTACTTCTGTCTGTCTATGAAGTGGATCTTCAAAACCCACATTGGGCACCCCCAGGAGGTTACGGCATCAATCCTGATTGGGTCGTTTTGAGGAAAAATCATGAAGAAACAGGGGGTTGTGCTACTCCTTATCTTATTTACCTCGATCATGATAATTCTGATATAGTCTTGGCTATTAGAGGGCTTGATTTGGCAAAGGAATGTGACTATGCTGTTTTGCTTGATAATAAACTTGGCCAAACTAAGTTTGATGGTGGTTATGTGCACAATGGGCTATTGAAATCTGCAAAATGGATTTTCGATACAGAGTGTGAGGTTTTGACGGATTTAGTTCAGATGAATCCTGATTACAAATTGACTATTGCGGGGCATTCTCTTGGGGCAGGGGTGGCATCCTTGATGGTGGTGTATGCAATTCAGAATTTAGATAGGTTGGGGAACATTGAGAGAAAGAGAATCAGATGCTTTGCCATGGCTCCTGCTAGGTGCATGTCACTGAATTTGGCTGTGAGATATTCTGATGTTATCAATTCTGTTGTGCTACAGGTAGGTTCATCACATTCCATCATATTTATGTTGTGTGTGCATACACAGCTAGCCATAGTACAAATTTACAGGGATTGGTACGATCAAAATGGCATATAGCCAGAGTGCTGCACTGAGAAAGCATGTTATGGTTTGAATTATGTATACAAGGATTCCGTAATGTTGTATACTGCAGCATATCATATGCCATTTTTCTCCAGGAATTTAACATTTTAATTATTTTCCACCATAAACTGCTCTCTGGACAAAGCTTTGCTAAATTCATTTTTTAGGCAACCTAAGCATGTTTAAGCTTTGTTTATTTTTTTATTTTATAATGATATCTGATTATATACCTAACTTCTCAAGTTTTTATCTTCTACGCATGTTTAAGATAGATTGTTCTATTCCTATGAATTAACAATGTCTTTCAGTTTCTCTCGCTAAGTATTATTTATATTCTCTGTCTGATATGAGTTGTTCAATGAACCAGGATGATTTCTTACCTCGAACAACCACTGCTTTGGAAGATGTTTTCAAATCACTTTTATGGTAAAAGATAGTATGTCTTGTTCACCTTTTCATTTTCAGTTATTGTTATGTCTTTTTGCAGCACTACATAACATAATATAAATTGTGAGTTCTACACAATTTTTGAATATGAAAGCCTTGGTGTCCGTCTCTAAAACGGCTTTTTTCAGAAAAAAAACATTTTTATGTAGTTTCTCTGCTTTTGAGCTGTTTTGGAGTTTTTATGGAAAAAATGAGCCAAGACAATCTCAAATTAATTTCTTAATTTCTATCAGCCAACACATTTTAGTTTAGAGGATGCTTTTATCAACAACAACCACAACAACAATGCCAAACTAACCCTCATCTTTTCCTATTTATTAATTGTTGTAATATGCCAAAAAAACTTAAGGAATTTTTCGTTTTTTATAGGAACATTTGGTTTTTATTGTTTATAGGAATATTTGATTTTAGGATACCTTGAATTTCTTCCTTTTATAGCTTCACGTTCATAGGAGCAAGTATGTTTATAGTACAATATGTATAGAGATACTATATTTTAATTGTCATCTGAAATCACCAGTACCTATGTGAGGTACTAAATGGTTTTGTTTATTTTTAACAGTTTACCTTGTCTACTTTGCCTAATGTGCTTGAAAGACACTTGCACTCTTGAGGAGAAGATGCTTAGAGACCCAAGACGGCTTTATGCACCTGGCCGCCTATACCATATTGTTGAGAGAAAGCCCTTCAGGTAAACGAAAATGGTTACCAATACATTGTCTTCTAACATATATTGGATAAGGAAAGTCACTCGCCAAATTATTTTATGTTATTTATCAAAGTAAAAACTCTATGGTTAAATTGCTTGGGGTACTAAGAGAAATAACTGTAACAAAAGAATGAATAGAAGGGAATAGTGATTCCCAATCATCTCTCTAGGGGAATAGAGTTATGTCCTAAAATGTTTAGGCAGGCCACATCTTACCAATTTGTTTATTCACATTATAATGCTGAAATAAATTTTACCCCCTGTGAACCAAACTTGTACCAGTTGTGTAACATCTGGGACATTCAATATCCAGGTCCATTTGGCATCTGTTCTATTCCTTTGATTAAAGAGTGGCTCATTTTTGTATAGGTGCGGCTTTATACATTGCCCTAAAAGTTTTGAAGGTTAAGGAACGTATTTTCACTCATTGAATAGGCGACTCTTTTAGGGTTTTGTTAAAGTGATAGCGAATTTATGAATTTGTTGGGTTGGCAAATTTTATGAGCCTAATATCATATGTGATTCTCGCCTACTTGGCTGCAGGATAGGAAGATTTCCTCCAGTTGTCAGGACAGCAGTCCCTGTTGATGGGAGGTTTGAGCACATAGTTCTTTCATGCAATGCAATCTCTGACCATGCAATTATCTGGATAGAGAGGGAATCTCAAAGGGCTTTTGATGTAAGTTTTTGGCTCGAACCTGGTGAGCAATAAGACCTGGTACTTCTAGGGTCTGGGTTTTGAGCAAGAGTGCTTTTGGACAAATGATCTAGTTTTCAAGAGTTTCTTGGAGTTTTAAATCCTGGCTGAATTTCTGTTTCACTTAGATAGAACTAAAGATGTTTGGCTTTTAGGGAGCTGAAACAATGTCATCTGCAATGTTTGACAGTGCCAAGTTTCTGATTAAGTCTATGAGACTCTCTGCTTGTAATTTCCCTTAGTGTAGTCAAATTTTAGGTTTTTTCCCTTAGCATCCTGCATTCAGATTTTCAAGCTCTTGGCTGTGGAGCCCGCAAAAGACATTTTTTGCCCATACATTTCTGTAGCCAATTTAGGGGTCTAGTAAATGACATTTCAAATTTTCATAGTGATTGCTGCTGGTTCAATTGATGTAAATTTACTTGTTTTGGCTTAAGTGGGTGCTATTATGGCTAGAACTAAACTGGTAAATTTGGACAGTTGAAAATCAAGAATACTTTCGCAGCGGCGTTGAGACGTTACTTTTTGTTTTTCAGTTGATGCTGGAGAAAGATCAGATCATGGGGATTCCGAAAAAGCAGCGGATGGAGCGGGAGGAGTTTATTGCACGAGAACATAGTGAAGAGTATAAGGCAGCTCTTCAGAGGGCTGTGGCTTTAGACATTCCACATGCCTATTCCTCTTCTTCATATGGAACTTTTCAGGAAATGGAAGGAGGAGAGACTTCTGGCACCTCAAGTAGGGGAATTTCACCTTTGTCATTTAAGAAAATAAAGGAACACTGGGACAACTTTATAGACCGTCTTTTTGATGTGGACGAGTCTGGTCGATTGGTTTTCAAGAAACCAATCTCATAGACCTCCAAAATATTCCACTGCTGTAATTAGCCTGCAAATATCATTCTTTCATTTTATTAACCAGTAAGATTTAAGTTGTATCTACATTGTTTGTGCAAGCCTCAGCGATGAAAATGAATGTCAAAACAACCCACTTTGCTCTGGTGTTTCAGAATGTAGACCCATGATTGACAGACAGTGACAGTGCTTTGACTCTAGCAGAAGTGAGAGCCATCTGTAAGCAACTAAACTAAAATAAAGTGTTGAAGGAAAGAAGATGCCAATATAGAACTTCTGCTCTCGTTGATGATTCCAAATTTTGCTGAATCATACATGATTAAACAATTGACTTTTGACCACTTGAGCGGTTTCATCTAAAGTCAATAAGCAAGCATACCAAGAAGCTTAGATCTATAAACCTGACTGCTGTGAGTTTGTGATTTCATTTACAAAGGTGTTACTTAAAACTAATAGAAAAGATTGCTGTTGATCCTGATTCCTGACTAGTTTAGGATTAAGTTGAATCAAATTGAGTTGAAGACTATCCACTAATTTGCAACATTGTATCCCAGCAAATCTGTGGGGAAAAAACCAAATATTTTAAACAATTTGGATGGGGCTTCCTCTTGTTCCTGTTGCTATACCTGGAGATCAAGAACTGCTTCCCCTGCGAAGAAAACGCAGCGTGTCAATCAGATTGATCCATTCTAATAGCAGAATTGTCTAGTGATTTACCATGCATTCTCTTGACAAAACGTTCAAATTCCATGAAGTTGTGTCTCTCCATGAGAAGGGGGCTCAGCCTAAGGTATGTAAAAGACAAAAAATGTCTTCCATCTGGATTATTCAAGGGCTTGGCATTATCCAAAATCTTGTTGTAGCCAACCCTATCATGGCAAGGCAGGGCATTCTCACTAGCAATTGGTATGTTAACATCCCATGCAGTATTCAGAACCTGAAAATAAAAAATTAAAATGCTTATATCCAAAAACTTTTGAAATACAAACATTCAGTTCAGAGAGTGAATCATGGAAAGATATAAATGTTTCTCCAAATTCTCCAACTGCAGCCAAAATAAAGATTTCATAGAGAAAATATTTTTCTTAGGCAAAAATGTATGGTTAATAAGTAATAGGAACTGAACTGGATGTTCTTACTTGCCACAATAATCCATCAGGATCAGCGAGTGCCTCTGCAAACTCCACTTGCTGGTCTAACATCCGCAATTCAGAGCACGAAAAGTTTAAAGCAGCTCCATGCTTCTTTAGCATTATTGCGATTGCAGCGTAACCATCACGATTGCTTGGGTTGTAGAATCCAGCAGTTAATTCAGCAGAATGACTGGCTGTCTTGTACCACCAGTGAATACCTGACAGCTGCTCAGCAATTAAAATGCAGCAAACAGACTGGATTAAACCATATCTTTTTATTCTTTTGAAAGAAGAAAAGAAAAAATAAACTTTCAGAAATAGTTTGAAAAACTTTCTAACATCATTTTTGAAAAGACTGAATCAATTATATAAAATGAGTAATTAAACCAAAAAAAAAAAAGTGAAACAAGCCTTTTTTTCAATTATGAATCTAAAGTTAAAAGAAATTCCATTCAGTGAAAAGCTAACTCACCTTTGCAGCAATTTGGGTGCCTTCAAAAGCCAACTTTGCCAAAGAAAGCACCCGATCTCCATGTTCAACTAAAACCCGAGAATACCAATTAAGAAAGAACCTGCCATAATAACCATCATAGTCCCCTCCATCACAGAAGAATCCGGTCTCATGTGGCTGGCTATTATAGGAACCAGCATTTTCTGGTCCTCTAGCCCAAAATGGGTGTCCCCTTGCTTCCGCCATCTTCCTTAGGCTTTTTAAGAAATACTGATCATAACACTACAAACCGAGAACTTTGTAAAATTATAAAAATGACAACACAATTGCTAATTAGAGCTTGGAAAATGAAAGAAATGCAGAACAAACAGTATATGCTGGACACGACAATTTCATTTTTCACATGATGTGGAAACTTGGCATTTGTAACTTTACCTTTATAGTAGAAATCAGATAAGATGAATAGGAATCTGAAAAATTGGAACATTGTGCCACAACTAATTGCAATACATTGTACGATCAGGAATACAAAATTTTTTTCCAGGAATTATATTTTCTGAAGAATCTATAAGACACTAACAAAGCTTACACTTTAAGGAGATAAAATAAAGGTGGCAAGGAGTTCGTTAACAGGCTAGTTAGAAGCAATTCACATGACCCAAGGAATTGCAACAGTAACTATGTTTATATGCACATGCATGCCAATAAGCAAAGAAATCAATTTGTAAAGTACCAAACAAAAATCGAAATAGGGAATTTTACATCATCAAGGAAGGAAAACATCAGAATATACTGCTAACCTGAAATTCACCAATGCCAGGATATCTCCAACCATGCTTTACAGGACAAGATGGGTATCGTAGCTCACCACACGGACCAAGTCCAACTTCAACCATGGAGACAAGACCATCTTCAAAGAATTCATCAAATTCTACCCGGAAACTTCTCATGTAATCAAAGTATACCTGCATTAGTGTACCAAGAAGGAAACACCCAATTTACCATATCTCAAACCATTTTATAGAAAATTCCAAAAATAGAGGCAACAGCATAACAAATTAAAACACCATATTTCATTATTGCAGAATGCAAATGAGACCATAAATAAAATAAGATTTCAGTTTTCCTATCACATTCAAAATGTTAGCCACAATCAAAATATGCACTAAAATATTTAATTGTTGGCATATTTAGCTTTTGTGACACTGAAAATTTAAATTATCAAAGAACTAGAAATTCTTCTCTACAGAAACAATTGTACAACATGTGTCATTGCAGATAGCATGAAGACAAATGATTGCAAAAACTGACCACGCGTTAATGTGTAATCACCTAATGCCTAAAAGAACATAATACCTCAAGAGCAGTTCGGCCTCTTAACACTCGCTCTTTGTCAATTCCCCATGAGAGGCATTCAGGATTGTGTCTTCCCTCTCTATCAGTGAAAAATATGTCAGGATTACTTCGACCAATCTCTGCAACCCAATGTGGCAGAGGGATACAAACGTCATCACCAACGTTGCCTCCACATTCATGAAATGACATCACAACCTGAGGTAATAGCAACAAAGCAATTGGACATCAGATGCTAGAATGCAACTACGTAAGCATTAAGAAAGCAACTACACTAAAATAAAACTAGGTATAGCACACTACGATTTTTTTTGTAATTGTAGAATCTACTCAATGTAGAGGCACCATCGCATCTTAACAAAAACATCTCCCTGAAAACGTGCACTCATGTCTAAGCTCTGGGGATTTGCAAGTAAAACCCTTAATTTAAACGTCGTCTTCCTGAATAAACATGGAGCAATTCATACAACTGTATGAAATTCAAATTCAGCAGCTGAATTCCCCAACCTGGTTTTTGAGAAAAACCACACAGCTGAACAGGACAGTAGATGATAATCAAACTCATCAAATGATCAGAATCAACAACTCCGCCATTTTATGGTATTTGTGAAGTCTCCAATCAATATCAACTCAATGATGTTCTTAACTTGATTAACAACAATGTCCCAATTATCTGTAACTACACCATCTAGCAAAAGAAATCTCACAAAACTGACCTGTAACTTGAGTTTAAGCTCACGCACCATCTGAAAGAGCCTCTTGTAACCATTCCAATTATACTCCTGTGGAGCATGTGCCTCCACTATTCCCCACCAGCAGTCAACCATGACGCCATCCACATTAGCAGATTTCAATACGCTCAGCTGCTTTAATAGGCCATCTGGATCGGCCAGCTCACACTTCATATTTATGACACCCAACTGCAACCAAAAAGTAAAGAAACAGGCATCACATTTGGAATTTAGTTTGGCATTGTGAAACAACCATGCAGATCAACAATGATATAGCATTTTTCTCCAAAAATATGACCTCTGAGCAGAATAAAAATAAAATTGCAATTCTTGATTATGGAGGTCCTTAAGGTGCTGAAATAGATCCATACTTAGACTACACAATGAAAAAAATTTACTTACTGGTAGCATCACATAAACTGGTATGTATGGAGTGCCAGCAAAATCTCGCTCAGATAACTTTGAGGCTATGTCAACTACCTAAAAAAAACAGGAATAGACATAAGTTATCAGCTATCACATAAACTGCTGAAATCTAAAAGCATGAGTCTCTAATAAAGAGTCCCAAAAAAAAAAAAAAAAAAAAAAAACTTTCCGTGCGCATTTTTCAGATTTTAAGGGTATTGATTGAAGTCTTCAATTAGCCGAAATAAATCAAACTCGAACATTGGAATTTAAGTGTTCGTCTTTGTATATCTCATAGATTATAGCAACCAATGTCCCTTCAAATTAATCTGTATTACTAACCGGAACCATCTAATGTCAAATAGTAGAATCTCACTCGAAAAAAAACGTGACCTGTGTGTAAATTTCTTAGAAGTTAAGCTGCAGCGCACCGTCCATTCTTGACAAGAAGGCCTCACATATGTAATGCACAATTTTCCATATCGTTTTTTATTCTTCACGCGATGTTGCGCTAGCATTTTGTGAACGCTCCACTATTCGCCCCCACCAGCAGTGCGAAAGAGCCATGAGCGCGCCGTGCCGCGCGGATTAGGCGAGAGTGTTAACAAATACAGGCGTCAGCTGCTTTATTTTAGGGACCATTCTGGAAATTTCGTAGGGGCCAAGCTTCACACTTTCAAGCTACAATATAATAGGTGAGTCTAGCGATTCACCAGAGCGTGCAACCCTAAAATAAGTGTAAGTACAACGCAAAAAATCATAGCTATTTCACATTTGTGAATTTATGGTGTATCTGGCTATTATATGAAAACAACCATGCACGGGATCAAACATTTGTTTCTAAAAATATAGATATTGGCAGCAAATTTATGTGTCTCAAAAAATATGACCTTCTGAGCAGAAATATAAAATAAAATTGCAATTCTTGATTATGGAGGTCCTTAAGGTTGTGAAATAGATTCTGCAACTACTTAGGGACTACACAATGAAAAAAATTTACTTTACTGGTCGAGCATTCTCACATTAAACTGTTAGTGTTATGATATGGATAAACTAAAAGGTTGCAGCATCATTAATTCTCGCTCATGCAGTGAACCCTTTGAGGCTATGTCAACTATACCTAAAATAGAACAGGAATAGACATTACGGAGTTACAGCTATCACATTAAACTTGACTTTTTAGAGCATCTAAAAGCTTTATGAGTCTCTTAATAAAAGGATGCCAGTCCCAAAAAAAAAAAAAAAAAAAAAAAAAAAAAAAAAAAAAAGAGAATGAACTTTTCCATCCCATATTATATTTGTTTCGCTTTATATATGTTGTTTATGATGTTTGGTATACTATCAGAGTGATTTTTGTTTCGTGTTTATTTTCCATATTTAAAGACGACTAAGGTAGAATTCTTAGCTATTCTTAAAATTATAAATTTGGTAAATATATAGGCAAAGCCTACAAAAGAAGTATAATGGCAGAGATTTTGATCCATACTCTTAAATATGTATGAGTGCAAATTACTGCAAGAATAGTAATGTCATTTATGCATATAAATAAATATATTCAGGCAAATATATTAGTTCACTATATTTAATCTAGACAAACAAGACAGACAGCTATGGAGTAGCATGATCTGCGATTCAATGAGATGATGTGATGGGTAAATACAATTTATGAGACCTTCCAAAAAAGAACTGTTCTATACATGCGATATTTACACGGTACCTTCGTAGTCTTTTAATACATTATCGGATAGTATCCAAGGAGCCTCGACCAACCATCTTTTCTTAACTCCAGGTTAAAGTCCTCGTTTTAAGTAATAGATTATATGTATTTTTATGTTTATAATTAGTGGTCAATATGCATAATTAAAAAGGATAAAAATTAAATTAAAAATGCAAAAAGCTAAAGAAGGATGCAAAAGGCGTTGAAGAGGAGAAGTATTCGATCATATTAAAAAAAAAAAAAAAAAAAAAAAGAGAATGAACTTTTCCTCCATATTATATTTGTTCCTTTAAGTGTTTTGTGTGGTATCTTCGAGTGATTTTTGTTTTTTTCAAAGACTAGTTGAATTTGCTATCTTAAAATTAAAATGGAAATATGCAGCCTACAAAAGAAGAAATGGCAGATTTTACAGCTCTTAAATATATCAATACTCAATAGAATGTTATAAATATATTCAGGCAAATATTTCAGTATCAGCAACAGACACCTAGGGATCGATCATGGATGTGAGGATACATATAACCTCCAAAAACTTCTAACAGAATACCTGCTTATCATTGATAGTATCCAAGGAGCCACCAATGAGTGGATGACTCTCAGTTTGTTCTACTCCATCCCCCATCATTGCTGAAGTTTGAGACTGAGTGCTTGTAGGAAGATCAAAAGGTGATGGAGTGGGCATAAAAACACCTTTCAGTCGAGATGAATTGTACTCAACTGATGTCCGATAACCGGGAGAGACCCCTCTAAGAGAAGTGGATGGAGTCTGTTGTGACACCAGATGGGAAGATGAAGTAGTTGCTGCTGCAGAAGTGCCGGTCACGGGCCTTGAACCCTGCAAAATGTTTAAAAGATCTCATTCCCTGTTTTGAGATGGACTAGAGTTGAGGATCAAAGAAATGTCTTTTTCAAACCCACATCAACAAAGAGTTAATGTGCACCTTACTGATAATTACCAATAGCTTTGGAAAGAGACTTGACTATTTTCTCTTCAAGACCATTTTTTCTTATACTAATCATTGTCTAAATTCAGTAACAATCACTTGCCAATATCATTTTGATAATGAGTTGAACAAAATTAGAAAACGGAAGGCTTTGTGCTTGAAAAAAAAAGTACCTGAGATCTTGAAGGAAAGGTGGTTCCATCTGGGAGAACAACCCAGCCAGCTTCCCTGGCCAAAGCTGCAATCACATCATTAATATCAGCTCTAACCCTAAGATTATAGTTGCCATGCCTTCTTAACCCTGCCAAGATCCTTGCAGTGATTGCCCTCCGATGTCGCTCTCTTAGCTTCGTTCTCTCCTTTTCTTCAAGTGGTCTACTTCTTCGAGCTCCTCCTCCACCTCCTGGAGTGCTAACCTGTTCTTGAATATGCTGGTGATGTAGAAATGGACTATTACTATTTGGCACCATCCCTCCATCAATCCCTACCATCACTTGTGTGGCCATGTGCTTCTCTCGGTTTTCTTCATCTTCATCATCTTCCTCCTTAACATCCATATCCATTTCTTCCTCATCATCCTCTTCACTTGTTCCTATCAATTTCTGCATGTCTGATGACATTATCTCTCACACAAACTACTACACTCAACTAAGACTTACTACTGCAATAGGTCCAAGACAAATGCCACCATTGCAACCCAGGTATGTGCATAGATGAAAGTTTTTCAAAGAAAATGCAGCAGCATGTCCTGAAAAATTCTGCAACGCACTGATTCTACAGCTACCTGGCGGCAATAGAAACTTCAGATTTTCCCTTTAAAGGACACTAAATCAAGCATACAAGATAAAGAAAAAAAAAAGTTGTGGAATGAGAAAAAAATAAAGGTGGTTAGAACTTAAGCTTGTAATTGAATCTTCTAAATTGTAACTGCAGTTATCCAAGAAGACAAAACGGCCTCCATCGTCCCAGATAAACCTTTGGCCTCTAACATGTCAGTTTTCACATTTCTTTCTCTTCCAATTCAAATAAATAAATCAAAATACTCAAATAACTCTTTTCTTAAGACCAACCCCCCCCCCCCCCCCCCCTCCCCCCCCCCCCCTCTCTCCCCTTCTCTCGCTCTTCCCCCCCCCCCCCCCTCTCTTCCCCCTTCTCTCGCTCTCTCTCTCTCCAATTTTCCCATTATAAGTGAACCATTGAGCTCGGAAGGAAAATTATCAAATTTTTATCAAGATAAAAGGACAAGCAGAAATTCTCTCTCTCTACCTTTGAGATCAAAGGTTTTCCTACCGAAAAACAAAAATGAAACAAATATCAAAAACTGAAAATTACCTTCTCGTTTTGGCTAGCCATATAACATCTCAATTTCTCAAGTAAAATTTCACTCAAAAACTTCACTTTTGAGGAATCAAAACTTCAGTTGCTCTCTTCGTCTCCATCTTTCTCATTATGAACCTTTTACTTCTGAGCTCACAAACTTTGCCACAACAATACCAGAGCTCCCCGGCCACCAGAGTGGCTCCGGCGTCGTTGGAAGGTCAGTCGCCGGGCCTCAAGAAGGTAAGAAAGATGACAAAAGGCGAGAATTTTAGTTTCTCCGGCGATTACGTGGCGGGTCCGGCCGGTACGAGAGAGGAGGCGCGTGTGAGATTATGTGTTTGCGTGCGAGGGTTAGGGTTTCGCGCGTGTGTGGAAGCTCGAGCGTGTTTGCGTGTGTGTGTGTTTTTTTTTGGATTGGCACGGACGAGGCGTGTGTGTATTAAGCAAGCGAGGGGGAAGGCTGAAGGTAGACACGCGTTGCACGTAAAGCCTGAGTAGGGTGGCACGAGATTTTAATTTCTCCATAGAGGCCACGACCACGTGAACTAGATTCGTGCTAAGCGGTTACTATAACCGTTTCATTGTTAATTGATTTACCAAAGCAATCACCCAATTACCACTCGCCATGTCATCAGATGAGACTTTTCTTTTTTTTTCTTTTTTTTTTTTTTTTTTTTTTTTTTTTTCTTTTTTTTTTTTTTTGTATCTTTTGTTTTCCTTAAACCTTTTCTCCTAGAAAAAGTTGTACAACGGAAGAACTTCCAGTCTGTAAGCTTTCACAGGGGGATATTTGTTCTGATGTGTGAAAAAATCACTTCTCTTTTAGTCGGCTCGAACTCTATTCCATAACATTATTGAATGAATTCGAATGACTTGTTTTCAAGCCGCGCTCCATGTACTTCATGAGCAACTTCACTGTAACCTTACTTATGATTATTTTGTGAACCAAACATCTACTTTTAAAAAAAAAAAAAAAAAAAAAAAAAAAAAAAAAAAAAAAAAAAAGAGTATTGTTTTGATCAATATGTTTGATTGAGCATAAAGATACTTTCAAAGAGCAATTAACTTGGTGAATTAGTTCACCAGCTATGTCTCTGTATAATACTTGGATAGGCGAGAATTGGAGCGGTGAGCAAAAATTTGCTTTCACAAATGCAAGATCACTTCTTCTATCTCAACTTATTTCAATCCATTCAAGGAAGCATGAACGTAAAATATTATGTAAAAAAAAAAAAAAAAAAAAAAAAAAAAAAAAAAAAGAGTATTGTTTTGATCATATGTTGATTTGAGCATAAAGATTTCAAAAAGTTAACTTTGAATATTCAATATGTATATGTATATATTGCTTGAACAAATGGACTAACAAATTTGCTTCACAATGCAAGATCACTTCTTCTATCTCAACTTATTTCAATCCATCAAGGAAGCAATGAACGTAAAATATATGTATACTCTTAAATAGTAGTCATTGCAGCTAATATCATTATTTGCATTCAGTTCTTCTACAGGCGAAAATACAGTTGCAGCCATAGCTATTGCAAGCAATTGCCTTACTATATATTTATATTATCTATCATATTACATTAGATTATACTATTAAACAAGCCTTATTTTGAAAGGACTTTTTAACTCACTTGCAGCAAACCTCATAACTCACCAATGGTTGTTTTTGCACAACCTTCATTCAAGTTAGATTGGATTCTCAAACTGCTCCCCCTGAAATTAGAATCTGAGTCAGACCAAAAACATCATATGAAACTTTGACTAGCTAACCAAACATGGAAATATAAATGAACAACCTAACACCTCCAAAAGTAGATACCAGACCATGCATTGCACAATTATTTCCATTATCCATTTCACCAGAAACTAAGACAGAGGTATATAAATAGGAGAGAGGAGAGATTACCATGCATTCTCTTGACAAATCGTTCAAACTCAATGAAATTTTGTCTCTCCATGAGCTTTGGACTGAGTCTGAGATAGGTAAAAACCGATAAATGCCTACCATCTGGATCATGCAGAGGCTTGGCATTTTCTAATATCTTGTTATAATCCTCCCTGTCATAGCAAGGAAGAGCATTCTCACTGGCAACCGGTATGCAAGCATCCCATGCAGCATTCAGCACCTGGAAATAAAAAAGATGAGAGAATGACAATATCTAAACTACATATAGCTTTAAAATGATAAGATTTTTACCCAATTTGTAAAAATATCATAATCTATTCCAAACACATTGATCCAAGAAATTTTGGATGCAAAATTACATGGAATTTTTGTGAAAGAGATTCCAATTCATGTCTTATTTAAGTAGTATCTTTCTCCGCATTTAATTGAATAGGCATAACCTTGTATCCTTCATTGCCAAAGTTAAAATATACTACGAAGCAAAACAGCAGTTAAATATTCTGCAATTATTACCTGCCAAACTAATCCCTCAGGATCTGCTAGTGCCTCTGGAAAGCCCTCATGCTGATCCAATGTGCGCATTTCAACACATGTGAAGTTGAGACCAACACCGTAATTACTTAACATTGCTGCAATTGGAGCATAGCCATCACGATTTGCAGGGTTGTAAAATCCAGCAGTCAGTTCTGCAGCATGACTAGCTGTTTTGTACCACCAATGAATACCAGATACCTGCTTGTCAATTGTAAATATAGAAATGCCATCAGCATAAAATAATAAGGAACAGATTATTGTTGCAACTTCCGTTCCATAAAAATGAAAATTCAGTTCTCCTGCAAAGAACAAGTGCAAAGATAACCCACCTTTGCAGAAATAGGCGTTCCTTCAAAAGCTAAATTGGCCAGAGCAAGTACACGATCACCATGGTCAATTAAAACTCGAGAATACCAATTCAGGAAGAATCTTCCATAGTAGCTATCATAATCACCTCCAACACGAAAAAACCCCGTCTCATGCGGTGCAGAATTATAAGAACCTGCATTATCTGGACCTTTAGCCCAAAATGAATGGCCTCTTACTTCTGCTGCTTTGCTTAGACTCTTCATCAGGTACTTATCATAACACTGAGCTGAAAAGTGTTGCATCAATTCATAGAACAATGTAGAGATTGTAACAAAAATGACTTAGGAAGGTGATAGCAAAACAACAACATAACTATGAGATTACATTACACAACTATCCCTAAATATGCAGTGATAACGTAATTGTGTAAGGAATATTAATTATCAAGCATCTCTACAATGACGAAAGGCAATTTATTTACCAGTTATTCGAAAGATACCTGGAATTCACCAATACCAGGATATCTCCACCCATGCTTTGCTGGATATGAGGGATAACGTAGCTCTCCACATGGACCTAATCCAACCTCAATCTCAGAGATGATTCCATCCTCAAAAAACTCATCGAATTCTACCCGAAAGCTTCTCATATAGTCAAAGTAAACCTGCATTTGTTTTTGCAAAGCTAGAAAATTCAAATTAAAAATAATATAATTTTGTTACTAGCAACACATCAGGAGAAAAAAATAACAGAGACAAACAGAGATTACTAGAGAATTCTTGATAACATGAACTCCATAACGTAAGCCACAACTTAACAAGTATCACAAAGAAAGTTTTTCTGTATGATACAGACACTATCAGATAGAAGGAGTCCATTTCTGACTGCAAATATGAACACATTTTAATAGAGCACAATTTATTCGGCAATATGTTTAAAGTGATTCATATATCAAGGCGCCAATGGAGAAAATTAAATCACATGGGAAAATACAGAAAAGGTACAACAACAACAATAATGTGGTCAGCTATATGAATCCTTTGTCATTATATCCACTCAAATCCATAATAATAAGAATAAGCAGAGGTATGTTACAATATATTTTCATCCTATATATGACCTGCACGAATCACAGAGATCTAATATAACTTAAACAGCAATACCTCAACGGCGGTGCGGCTTCTCAAAACTCTTTCTTTATCAATTCCCCATGTAAGGCATTCTGTGTTGCTTCTGCCTTCTCTATCTGTGAAATATATGTCAGGATTTGTTTGACCAATTTCTGTCACCCACTGTGGAAGTGGAATATATACATCATCACCAACATTGCCTCCGCATTCATGGAATGACATAACAACCTGAACCCACATAAGAGTAGAAAACAATTAAACATGGCATTTGTTATAGCAAAATTCCCTGCTGCATAACTGGTGACCTGCACTAACAGTGTAACAACTAGACCTAAGAGTAGCCTTTCAGGATTGGTCATTGTGTAATAGCAGCAACAATCATCATCCAAATAATGTTAATTTGAGAGCTTGATTCCAAACTTCATCGGTGTTTCTCAATAAATAAAACAAGAGTGGCCTTACAGGCACTCCATGCTAGACCAAGTGTATAAACTCACCTGTAACTTAAGTTTAAGTGCACTCACAATTTGAAAGAGCTTCTTGTAGCCATTCCAATTATATACATGTGGAGCCTGACCCTCTACTATTCCCCACCAGCAATCAATCATAACACCATCAACATTACCTGATTTCAAGATCTTTAACTCATTTTGAAGAACTTCAGGGTCGACCAACTCGCAATTCATATCAATAACACCCAGCTGCCATCCCCACATAATAAGATACAATTGTTAGTCAGGCAAGTATCAAAAAGCAACAATAGTTCTGTGCAATTTCTGTGTCCTCTCAGAATAGGTATTCAATTACAACCGTTAAGAATAAAAGTATAAAACTAAAAAAGAATCCAATACAACACCATGAGAGAACAAAAACATAAGGAGTGGGCTCACAGGTAACATCACGTATACAGGAACATAAGCTGTGCCGGTAAAATCTCGCTCTTCCACCTGAAGACTTATGTCCTCAACCTACCAAGAAGCAAAAAATTATTAAATTAAGCATTTTATTTCACACTCGTTCCGAATAATTGTAGCCAACATCCTCAAGTTATATTCACAAGTTGGTAACCAATAATTCACTTCAAAAGAAATTAACTAGTTACTTCCAACTTTTCGAACGGTTCAGAACCGCGCGAGACTGTGCATAATATGATAACCAAAAAAAGTAAATTACTCAAACAATGGAACCAATCATTTCAATCTTTACCTTCTTGTCGTCAATGTCATCCATAGAATCACTTAGAAGATGATCTTCCTCAGTTCTCTGTTCTCTATCTCTCGCTATAGCTAACTTTCGAGACTGAGCGCCCAACGACACGAGACTACCTCTAAAACGGCACAAGTTAAATCTACTAGTAAAAGAAACTAGGGATTGGGTATGTGATAATGGCGAATCCGCGATTCCATTTGACGCCGCATTACAAGGTGTCAAGCAGTGTAAGAGCCGAATTGACGAAACCGCCATTTTTAATTATCTGTTTTCTGTTAGATATCTAAAAACCGAGCGAGTGGAATTAGAAAAGAGAGTGGTTTTCAGAGAGATCTTTCTCTTTTTTTTTTATTTTTTCATCTGCATTCAGAGTGTCGAAGAGAAGTACTTTTTAGAAAGTGGCGGGTTAAGCGTAAAGGAACGCCGGTACCGATGTTTGATCCGAGATTTCGTTGAGCGAATCACGCTCACGCAGCTTGGAGATCCTTTTTCTTATTTTAATTGAATTTAGCTTAAAAAATCTATACTTGGAAGAAATCCACTGTTAGGCTGATCGGTTCAGTAGACCAGTAGTTTAAAAAAAAAAAAAAAAAAATCGACCTTTGATTTCGGTTCAATTCTGATTCGAGCATGGCGGTTACATGTTTTTTCTTTTCAAAATATATTTTAGTTTTTTAAAGATAATATTAGGATTTTATTCAAAAATTTCAAATCAATATAAATATTACATAAAGATCATGACTCATCTCCTAAATATCAAAAATATAACAAAAATTATAAAATAGTTATTGTTCGTTGATCTAATAAGAAATCTTAATTAAAAATAGAAGGTGAACTTGAAGAAAACGAATAAATCTTTAAAAGTTTTTGATTAGATAACTCTCTGAATCTTCTACATATGGTGTAATTATCCATAAATTAGTTGCTTATGATAAATACATAGAATTTAAATTACTAAATTCAATTAAGGAACATGTCACACTACCATGTTTCAAAATACGAAGATCATCGTATAGTTAAAAAATTATTCGCAAATTACAACCTATCCAAATAAACCAAACAAATGATTTCAAATCAATTTTGGTTCATTAAACTACAGGACAATTTTGGTTTGAACCGAATCGGTGGGTAATATTATTATGGGCTTGCTAGTTGATGGTCTGTTCCCATTAAAGTCCAGTCGACCTGTGAAATGCCTAATAGTACTATAGTAGGCTACTGAGCATAATTTTGAGATTGAAAATTATTTTTTGAGAGTATTTTTTTTATACATATATAGATAACAAGTTTTTTTTTTACAGATATATATATAATTTGAAATTACCACTTAATTATAAAAATTTAGTAGCTAAATATATCAAAATTATTGTCAAACCAATTTTTAATTGATTATAATCAATATATATAAAATGATGTATTTCTTAGTAATATTATTGAACAAATTCTATCGAGACTATCCGTAGTTCATAATTTTATTTTAACCCGTTGAACCTCATAACAAAAAAAAAAAAAAAAAAAAAATACTATGGTGTAATTATCCATAAAGGATGTAGTTTGCATTTCATCAATGATTAGATAACTACAGTAAAGAAATATTAAAATTTTACTATATTCAATTAAGGAACATATGTCACACTTATACCATTGTTTTCAAATAAAGTCATACGAAGTATCTATCCAATCCTGTATTAGTAAAATGAAAATCTTATTTGCGACCAAAATATAACACACACCTAGTGGCCATATTTAATACTAATCTCACAAAATTTTCGAAATATATTCGAATTCAATTATTCTTATTTTACTTTATGGAATCAGAATCCTCAAATACAGGTGTGTATGCATAATTCTTGCGCTATTCGAAGCACCGCAATCGGTGATGCACAATTAGGACTGATAAAGTAGTTTCATCTTATGGGCTTGCTAGTTGATGGGTCTGTTCTCATTCCAAAAGATACGCGAGTTACGACCTAAAGCTGGGAATATTACTTCGAATCCTAATATAGGGTGACGAGGTTATAGTAGGTACTGAGGCATAAACTTTATGAGATTGCATAATATATTATAATCTTCTTGATGGGAGTATTTTTTTTATACATTATTATATTGACATAACAAGTTTTTTATCTCTATTTAACAGATATTACTATATTATCCATTTACGATAATTATCTTACCACTTTAATAGTATAAATAAGCTTAACCGCTTTCAGATACCCAGGATAATTCTTTAACCTAGACTAGGCCTTATTAACATCAAGTAGGATATCTATTGGGTTCAAACCAATTTTTAATTGATATAATCAATATATATATTATGCAATGAGCTTGGTATTTCTTTTCGAGTTAATATTTATTGAAACCAAAATTTCTATCGAGACTATCGATTACGTTACATAAATTTAATTTAACCCGTTGAACCTTCATAACAAAAAAAAAAAAAAAAAAAAAAATCTAAGAAAGCACTTTCCTTACAAGTCTGACGTGACACGAGTAGAATTAGACTTAACCCAGCGGACTAATCACATTTATAGTATATATACTAACCTACCTATTTTTCAAAATGCTTAATTTGAAATTTGAATTTAGTGAATCCCTATCCTGAATGAATAATGTTTTGCCTTTTCTAAACTCTAGGTTAAGAGATTTTTTATCAGAAGAGAACTATTCTTCCAAATCCTGAGATCAAGCAAATTGGGGAAAATTGAAGAAGGGGTAGATCTAGAGGAATGCTCAAGCCAGGATTTTTCTGTAAAGCAAGATTACTTCATTTTCTAGAGCCCAAAACATCAAATTGGGTCGTGAAATTATTGGCAATCCATTTTCTAATAGTTTATAGTTCCTTTTTCTTTTGAGAAACACCCATAATGTATTTCAACCTCTTCTCCAATTGATTGAAGCACGTGAATAAATGAAAAATAATAATAATTAAATATAATAAGAAAAGAGGAGTTACTATTCCCAGGAAGGACTCATGAAGAGTGGTGCCCTATCCACTTGCTTACAATATTCACGTGAATCTCAAAACTTAGCACCAACACGCAATAAATAATAATTCCTACGTGTACCATGAAAATGTTTGGTCCAAGAAGTAATATTGTCCGCATACAAAATCAAAACCACTAACAACACTGCATTTATGATGCTTGTTCCATATTAATAAATGTTCTCCAATAAGATAGATATTCTATGTGTATACGTGGGAGGGTAAAATTCAAATCTGTTGAGGGTATTTAGATTTTACTATCTTTGTTCGATATTAATGCTTGTGATTAGTTTATAATAAATTATTAAGTAAATTGATTATATTACTCTTAATTTAATATTATTTTTTTAAAAAAATTATTAAATTGAAATGATAATTATTGGTCGGGTAAATATGAAAAAAAATATTTATTATTCATTGAAACTAAAAAAAAATGGTATGTAAATTGAAAATGAATTAAATTATTGGTCGGGTTAATATTGAAAAAAAAAATATTATTATTCATTTGAAAACTAATAAAAATATAATAAAATTTTTAATAAAAATATTTATTTTCTTCAAATATTGATAATCATTTTGAAACGAAAGTCGTATCTAACTACAATGAAAATTGGATTCACGCTTCAAATTAAATCATTTACACCACTCAGTTTTATTAGGTAATAAAAATCTTGTGTGAAAAAAATATCTATAGTATATATATATATATATATATATATAATATATATATATATATATTTCTAAAAATAAAATATATTCTAAAAATAAAATATATTTAATAATCTTTATAAACAATTTTTTAGCTCAAATTAAAAAAAAAAAAACATGTTTTCCTATAAAGTTAGAAGATTTCCAATTTATAACGTCACCCAAACTTTTAGAATAGTTAAAAAACAAAAAATTTCAATTCTCCTCGGACAATTTCAATTCACGTGTCAAGCGTCTTGTTTACCGTTGCACCTTTCACCACAAACAAAGCACTAAAGCAGTAGGAGCTGCCATCAAACACGTGCTATTTTCTTTTGGAAATAATTTTTTTTTTAAAGAAGGAATAAAAGAACAGTTAAGAGATAGAAACAGCATAATTACACTACAACTGGGGATGCTCATTACAACCGGCCGACCCAAAGAAAATCTACAAATCCTACTCGGGCCAATTTGAATCCGAATTGATTAATTTCTTTTTATGTTAAAAGTAGACTATTTGCACTGATTTTATGTACATAGACTCCATATGATTCGATCTAATATAATATGGGATAGGTATTTAATGTAATTTTTTTTGTTAACGAACTGGATATAGATACTATAAAATTCGAATCCAACCTAATCAGTATGTTTGACGATATAATTATTTTTTAAGAATTCAATAATTTTAAGAAATGATGAAGTAAAAAAATTTTAAATATGAATTTTACATTGTTCATAAAAAGTTTGTAATATTAAAAAAAAATTTAAATTTTAAATTTAAAAAAAAGCGGGATGTGAAAAATTTAGTAGGTTTAAGACGTTTTTTCTCCCCAATAAAAAATTCTTAGCTTTTGAGTCTTAGCGATCGGAAAGCATGGGTTGGGTGAACCGGCTACCTATCCTCTAAGTAGCACGCATGGTGGAATGAAGGCAAAAATATAAGTAGTACTCATTACGACAAAGCTGCAAAAGGTCTATGTCACGGGCCCGCCCTTTGGCAATTATTTAAATGTTAAAAATTATACTGTAACGTCTTTTGCGGAGGTTGACGACTGTAAAACGTCAAATAATGCTAATTTTGGTTGGAAGGAAAAGGGTGATTATTCATGAACTAAAGACAAGATTTTTTTTTTTTTTAAATTTTTGAATACTAACATTATTAAATAAAAAGAATAATCCATCTAGTAAAAAAATTTAAAATTATTAAATCTTAATCGCCCGGTATTAGAATCTAAACTAGTTCTTTAATTAATTTGAGCAACAAAATAACTTTTTCGGATTTTCTATAATTAGATTGCTTCTCAAAAAACTTATTGTGTATAACGTACAGGAAGTTCAAGTCACTATGCGTTAATAGCATCAATAGAGAAACAAGCCGCATCATTGATCGAAGATACACACCTGTAAAACAAGATCTAAACTCTCTAACTAAATAAAATCAAATATCATATCTTTAATAACAAACCTTCACAAAGAAGTAACTCAACCCTCACGAAAGAAGAGACAAAAGAACTCTAAATATGGAGACAAAGTAATAATAACAAAAAAATAAAAGAAAAATATATCTATGAAAAGAAACTAGATCTGAATTTATTAAAAATAAATAAAAAATTAGAAGCGAGAAGAAAAAAGAAAAAAATAAATAGGTGACTGCCACATATTAGAAGAGAGAAAAAAAATATTATTATGTTAAAATAGGAATTTTTTAATTATTTTGCATTAGTTTGATGTAACTCCGTGAACCGGGTCTAAGGCCAGTTAATCCCGTTCAAAATTAATTGTCTTGTCCTTCATTATTATCTTCATTTATATTCCATCTATTTCAGCACCGACCATACCAAATTCTTGATAATCCACAAACTTTTTTTACCATAAAAGAATTTAAGTCCAAGTCTATAACTTTTTCTTGATTTCAATTCTATTGCGTTTGATTCAGGAATAACATGTGTTCTGAAATGGCTGATACTCTCCAAAGCCATGAGGCGGCGTCACAGAAGTTGAGGAAACAGCTTGAAGTTGCTGTTAGGAGTATCCAATGGAGCTATGCAATTTTCTGGTCACTTTCTACTACAAAACAAGGGTAAATAACTATATCATCATTCACTTTCATCTTTTCAGCTGCAATTCTTCTATTCTTCCTTTTTTTTTTTTTCTGTTCTGTACTAATGAAATAAGTGTTACTCTGTCCAAGAAAAGGACCTACTGCTCTGCAGTTCAACTCCATTGAAATATACCTCCAGTAAAAGAAGTACCTTTTTAGAAAAAAAAAAAAAAAAAGTAATTAAACCCAGATTTCTCCTGGTAGAAAATTATACATTTGTAATGAGTTCCATTTTTTTTTTTTTTTTTTTTTTTAGAGGGAGTTAGCCTGTTTAGCAAAAAAAAAAAAAAAAGTAATTTAAAACCACGATTTCTTCCTGGAGGAAAATTTATACATTTTGTAATGAGTTCCAGTGTTTTTTTTTTTTGTTGTTTTTTTTTGTTTTTTTTTTTTTTTGTTTGATGATATTGATATCCCTGAAGGGACTGGGAGTGGCAGGTGAGGATATGTACAATGGAGACATCAAGACTATGAGAACGAGTAGCGAAGAAATTGGAACTTAAAAGTGGTGCAAAAAATAGGGTTTTTTTTTTTTTTTTTTTTTTTTTTTTTTTTTTTTGATTTTGATTGAATTGATATCCTGAAGGGTACTGGAGTGGGCAGGAGGATATTACAATGGAGACATCAAGACTATGAAGACAGTACAAGAAATGGAACTTAAATGTGAAAAAATAGGGTTACAAAGAAGTGAGCAATTAAGAGAACTTTATGAGTCCCTCCTTGAAGGTGAAACCGAACAACAGGCTGAAAGGCCTTCTGTTACATTGTCTCCAGAGGATCTCTGTGATGCAGAATGGTATTACTTGGTTTGCATGTCCTTTCAATTCAATACTGGTGAAGGGTATTTACTAATCAGAAAACTTTCATTGCAATGTTATTATATATATGCACTAACTCACTGAGATATTAACATTTATAAGTATTGAATCAATATTTTTAACAGTTTACCTGGACGAGCACTTGCAAATAAAGAAATTATCTGGTTATGCAATGCTCAATATGCAGATAATAAAGTATTCTCTCGCTCTTTGCTTGCCAAGGTTTGTTCTTTTTAACTAAAATCTGATGCAAATCTCAGTTGGTCAATGAATGTACTGTGAAGGAAAACTGACATTCTGCTTCTTTTTTTGGGTTTTTTTTTTTTACTCAGAGTGCATCTATTCAGGTAAGAACGTAAACTGCACACTCACATATATATGGTTTTCTGCTGTTTGGTCACCTCATACTGATTATGAATTTAATTTTGCAGACTGTGGTGTGTTTTTCCCATCATGAGGGAGTAATTGAGCTGGGTGTAACTGAACTGGTAATTTCCTTTCTAGAATATGAAGAAAAACAGCATCTTGAAGTTTCAGAATATGCATAGAACAGCTTGTCAATGCATTAAAATTCGACTTTTTTTTTTTTTTTGACTTTTAAAGGTTGAAGAGGACCCTAATCTCATTCAACACGTCAAGGCTTCCTTACTAGACTTCTCAAAACCTGTTTGCGCTCAAAAATCTTCCTTTCATACTAATAGTGAAGATAATGATAAAGGTCCAGTATGTGTTCAAGTTGATCATAAGATAGTTGATCCCTTAGCAGCTTTTGAAAACACTCCTGCAAAAGATACCATATTATCTAACCAAGTCAGAATCCATGAAGGATTAAACATGGAATCTCCTAATGATTGTGAGCAGAATCACCAAACACAAGACTCTATCCTTGAAGATTTAAATGGCAGAATCTCTCGCCTCCAAAGTTGGCTTTTCATGGATGATGAAATAAACAATGGTATTCTAGACTCGACAAATTCAAGTGATTGCATATCAGAAGGTTTCGCGAATGAAGAAAAAACTCTCTCTTGCCCCATGGAGAAAAATGAAAAACTTCAGAATGGCAATAATGACTTGCATTATAGAACTACTCTATCTGTGGTTCTTACAAGTTCAACCAAGTTAATTGGACAGGATTCATGTTTTTTTAGTGGTAATTGCAAATCCAGTTTTGTTAGTTGGAAAAAAGGAGTATTCAACGACCATAGATCACAAGTACATCAAAATATGCTAAAGAAAATTTTATTTACAGTTCCTTTGATGTATGATGATGGAGATTTTATCAGGATGGACAAAAAAGAAAATGGAGGAAGAGATTGCCTTAAGAAGACAAAAAGAAATGAAATATGCAATAGTGTATCAGATAAGCAGACAGAGAATGAAAAATTCCTAGTACTCAAGTCAATGTTTCCTTCTGTCGGTGAGGTAATTACATCTAAAATAAAGCAATGAATGTGTCATCAGAAGTTCAATATTTTTATCTTTGAATGTGTTGGCATTGTTAAATAAGCTGCTTAACCATTTTTATACAGATGGACAAAGCATTGGTCTTGGATGGAATGATTAGATACTTAAAAGAACTCGAGGCAAGAGTGGAAGAATTAGAATCTTGCACGGATTGCCCAGATTATACTGAAAGGCCAAGAAGGAATTATTTGAATGTTGCAGAGGAGACATCAGACAACTATGGTGACAAGAAGATCGAGAATGGAAAGAAGCTTTGGATGAACAAGAGGAAGGCAAGTGAAATCTTTAACACTGACCTAGAGCTTACTCAGGAAGAATCTGAGGATAGCCTGCCTTCAGATGTGAAAGTCTGCGTGAGAGAGAAGGAGGTTCTAATTGAGATGAGATGTGCTTACAGGGAATATATATTACTTGACATCATGGATGAAATCAACCATCTTCACTTGGATGTGCTCTCAGTTCAGTCACTTGCCGTTGATGGCATTCTCACACTCACCCTGAAATCTAAGGTTTGTATTAAATAACTGCATTTGTTTGTCAGTGGTACTGATTAAAGTCGTCCACAGGGTTGTGAGGTTGCGAGTTTCTGATAAAAAAAATGGTTGATTTCTAAACTGTTCTGGACTTTTATTTCAGTTTCGAAATGCAGCAATTGCACCTGCAGGGATGATCAAGCAAGCACTTAGGAAGGTTGGCAGCAAGTGTTAAAGGTGATATGTGAAAGGGAGGGGATAAGTTTCAACTATCTTCAAAGATAATCGTAGGATTTCACAAGTTATTAGAGTTGCTTATAGGTTGTTGTCATGATCAATTTGTAGCTCTAACCATAAACTTGAATCTGTTTCCTAATATTCTTTCTTTATCAACTGTTCAACCTCAATTAGTGCTATAAGCTAATTAGCTTAACTATGAAGAAACTGTGTAAGTTGAGTTTATAACTGAAATAGACCAAAATATTAACAACTTGACAAAATGAAATTAACGGAGCAAAGCAAGTGAATAACAGCTTAAACTTTCAACTTCCCAGCGAAATCTCTTACGGTTAAGCCAACCTTTTCAAACTTACCCCTCTCGCTATTCTCTCTGAATTTCACATAAGCTGAACAAACAAAAGGATAGTAAATTCTTGCATTATTTTCTCCTACTACATCATCTGGCGCCAAGATCACCTTCTCATCCTCAAAACACCAGAAGAAAGCAAGAGAGAAACGGTTAACAGCTGATTGCTTCAAAACGACTCTGTGTTCTGATGATCTAAATTTGTCATTGCTCCAAGCTTGCAACATATCGCCTATGTTCACTACCAGAGTCTCCTCGCAGGGGCTTATATCCATCCACTTCCCTTCCTTACCAGATTTCACTTGAAGCCCACCAATTTGGTCTTGGTATACAATTGTTATGCAGCTCATGTCCGTGTGCATTCCCAAGCCTTCAACTTCGTCTTCAAGACATTTTGGAGTTGTGTAGTTTATAATCCTCAAATATCCATGGCAATTCTTGAATTCAGATTCGTAGTATTTCTTGTAATCAAGAAAACCATCTCCCAAGCACAGCAATAGCATCTGTATGATTCTTTTCGATAATTCTGTCATCTTTCTCCCACATTCTTGAAGCGTCTCGCTACATAAAATCAAAAACAAATTAATTAAATTTGTCAACAGAAACAGGAAGGAAATTAATTAATGGAACAAAATTATTTTAGCCACACCTGAATTCACAAGTGTTCTGTTGGTTTTTAAAAAGTATATGAGCAGAATTCTGAGCAGATGCAGAGAAGTTTGGTCCTGAAACTCGAAGACTCTCATAGAAAGGGGAAGCTATGAGAGGAGGAGTATAGCTTTGCGAAGAAGATGATGGACCCAGTTCAAGTTTTGTCTCAGAAGAGAGGCTAAATATGTGTTGTGAAAGCAAAAAGATTTTGTTGTAAAGATGTTTGGAGATTCCATGGTTTTTGATATAGAAAAAACCCCAGTTTTTGCAGGCTTGAGAGAGGAAGGATACAGAAGATGGATCCAATGGCTTGGAAATGTCTACAATAGGAAGCTCTATACAAGATTGGCAGTCATGCATTGTTACTGACTATATGACATAGAGAAAAAGGTTTGGTTTGTCCACTCTTGATTTGGCTGTTATAAATGCAATTTAGGAACAAGAATTGAAAGAAAAATGTCCATAAGACAGAGCAATTCTGTAAAATGCCTTGGAAAATAAAAATAAGAAAATAACAAATGGTTGTCATTTATGTAATGCTGGTCCAGAACTTAAAGAGCAAACTGTCAAGACCATACTGTGTGTGTAACTTAAGTTAAATATTTGTTAGACAAATTTGAGAATACATATACAAATTATATGATGACAACTGGCTTGGCTTGTAACTATATCCTAGCAATTTCTGCAAATGTACAGTTAAAGGCAAGTGGGCTGCCATAGTTTGACTATTTATAAATAAAAATGATGGGTTTTATTTTTCAAAGGAAATTAATTAAGATTTTTTTTTTTCCTTTTCAAGAAAATACATAGATAAAGGGGATTGATTTGCCTATATCGACGCTATGGGCCACTCATGGATTAAAGTAATGAAAAATAAATTTTTAAAAAGCATCGATTTTCATTGGTTCGATCTATAAGTAAACCCAAATTTAGGTGCTAAGTATTTTTCTTTTAACAAAATATACTACCTTACATATTTTACACATACACAGCTTCCTAAAATGTGAGATCCAAAGAACTAACTGACTGCTCATAAAGGAAGCGATCTATAAAGAATGGGTTAAGTGAACAATATTTATGTAATTAAGATTGATCCTTGGAAAACTGTTTATGAGGAGGAAAGATATTAGTCGCTTAAAAATAATAATGTATACAACTTGTCGTTCTTTGCTAGTCATATGGAGCATGCATGACAGGCTGGTGAGAAGGTTTCTTTGGGTGAGAAGCAAAGAATTCTTGTTCACAAAGTCTATAAATAATCACAAAGCAAATACATAGAGCTAAACAAGAAAATCTTAAACTGAAAATTGAATTAAAGTACATAAATAAACGGACTTTATAATTAATTTGCTCTATCTAGTAGTACTACTTTCTTTTCGTATGCTCTGAATTCCATAACCCATGAATTAATTGTCGAGTTAAATGAACTTCTGAAACTTCCTCCATAATTAATTTTTCAAATCCAATATATCTGACAACCACATGCATATTCTAACACTTGTTCAGAGATGAAAAGAGGAATCCTTGAAGTACTTCTCGTTCATGCTCAAGGAATTACACGAACAAATCTTGTTGGTATCTCCTAGTTCTTCTTGCTCCCAGCTATAATAATTCCCTTCTTTTCTTTCTCATTTTTATTCTCCAGTTCGATTATCTGGTTAATAAATAGGAACTCCAGCCTATTATGTGATCACACAATGTGGAAATAAAGTACATAAAAGCAAAGTCTCATCAGGTTTACTCTCCTGATTTCCATTTTCGATATTGTTTATCCTTTGATGAAGAATCACTATCAACTGAGTTTCGACTTGCGCAGGTATAGATGAAGCGACAAGGTGGAATGAGAAATTCAGGTTTGAATTTCCATTATTAGATTGGAAACACTTAACCCATCTGAAATTGAGAATCATGGATAAGGAATTCTTCGCAGACGGTGGATTTGTTGGCGAAACCATGTAATTTCATTTCATAATACAAAATTTTCTCATTTCCTGTTAATTTTTTTTTGTTTTTACCAAGCTGTCTTAACAAATGTGATTTAGAATTTACCTTGGAGGAATAATAGCTGAGGGAATCGATAAAGGGCATTTGGAAGTAGAACCAGCTCCATACAATGTTGTGCTTGAAGATGACTCCTACAGAGGAGAAATCAAAATTGGACTCAAGTTCATCACCAATGTAAGTCCTATGTTCTTGATGTTAATTACATTGCTGAAAGAATAATCAAAAAATGAATATTTTGCAGAAAGAAGCGGATACAGAGACAAGGGCGTGTGTTAGACCAGTGGATGTACCTAAGAAATCGTTCTTCAAATCCATTATCAATCTCTTTAAATCCTCATGGTTGAGGCTCTGTCGTGGTAGTTAGTGTTCTCAATTTATGTCCAAAGGACAAATAATCAAACCCTAATATTAATATACAACTTCTTATTTTTCGTTTTGTCTTGATCATTAATTTTCTCGACAATACGGCTAGCCGGAATTATTTTTAAGGGTCGAATTCATACGCTTCTCTGAAATTTCCACCGCCGAACAGTTCAGTGTTGCACCGGCGACGGATTTTCAGTCACGTGTAATCCACCCCATCTGTGTCTCCCGCTCTCTATGGAATCGAATCGAATAGAATAGAATCGAATCCTCTGCTTTAGAGTTTACACTGGGTCTGATAGCGTTGGGAGTGATATTAGGCCTTATACAGTTGAAGGCTCAAAGCCCACTACTAGATAGACAGTAAACATGGGCCTCTAAACGTTTTAAATTTTTTAATTTAAAAATATGGATATGGCTTTAAATTCAGTTGATGGGCAAGAAGGAGCTACTGTTTTAGTAATCTTTATGGGCAAATAGACCTATTGCTTTGGAAATTGTTGTCTGTTCATGCATTTGATTAATTTAGAAAAAAAAAAAAAATTATATAATATTCCCATTATTCTCCCACCCAATGAGGCCAAATGAAAATGGGATGCACGTCTATGTCTATTTCACCACCCATTTTCAGAAATGTCATAACTGACTTTCTACTCAACTAATTATAATATTTATTTTTCTTTGTAAATTAATAATATTCCAAATATTTTTCTAACCCAACTTCCGACCATTCTCTAACTACAACTTATTAAATTCTTGAAACAAAAAACCAATATTTACATGTTCTTGAAAAATATTTCGTCCAACAATTAGTTTTACAAAGCTAAAATGGATTTTGGCTAATATATATATATATTGAGGAAATATAAAGCTCATATAGATTAAGAAAATTTAGTAATATAATCAAATCATAATTTTTTCTTTTTTTATCCTAATATACCATTTCATTAATATTAAACAATACGGTGAAGAGGATTTGAATTCGAGATCTTTTAACTCTTTATATTTTTTACGAGAGATAAAAAGACCAATCAAACTATATCCAATTAGCTATATAGACAATCATAACATTTCAAAAAAAATTCTTATTTTCAGCCTTTTTGCTTCAATAGATGTGGCTGTGAACCGATTAGAGAGTACATAACTGATGTGCATTCCACCGGTAATCCCTTTGTTGACTAGATGGCTATAGTTGACCACTAACTCCAAACGTGAATAATAAAAAATCACGATTAATAATTAAGAAGGATGACTTAATTTCCCATTAAAATAACTCAAATGATTAATTTGTTAGAATTGTTTTTTTTTTTTTTTTTTCCCATAAAAACATACCATTTCACACGTTTCCAGTAGCCTCAAAATATAAAACCCCACCAACCCCCATTAATGTTAATGGCCAACTAAGACGCACAGCACAGCAAATTCTTCTGCAACTGGGTTCTTTCTCTCTTTCTTGATCTGATATCAGCGAGTTCAGAAACAAGCGGCTCGTGTTTTTCCATTCCTATGATAATGGCGATATGGGTTTGTTCAAAGAAAGTGTTTCTTTTATAAAGAAAAGGTTACATTTATAGAGAAAGAGAAGCATAGAATAGGAGGGAACTGTTTCAAACGGTAACCAACTAAACATCATCAATTGCTCAAATTCAAATATCCCTATGCGTTGCTTTTTTTGTTAACCGTTGCTTTTTCAACATTTTAAAATTTCTGTTTCTGTTCTGCCAATTGCTTCCAAAAAGGATCTAATACTTTTTACCAAAGACTTGCTTTTTTTAATTATTTATAATCCTTTCCGCGAATTATTTCAATATTTCTGATGGTAATAACGACCTATGAGTAACCCCTTTTGCTTTTCTGTAGTAACAAAGATAAACAAACACTTGTTTCTTTTTCTTTTCTTTGATATATATATCTCTCTCTCTTTGAAAAAGATTCTGCAATTCAAGTCAAATTCCCACTAACCAAAATTTTTGACACTTTGATGATTATTTTTTTCCAGTACTGCAGCAATCGGGAGTGGGCTTCCATAGATAAGAATTAAGCTTCAAATGGATAATTCTTCAAATTATGATGATGGTTCTGATCTGGGTTATCTACCTTCACCTTCATCAACTGAAACTCCCGGGTTTTCAACAAGAAGAGGCGACTCTTTCTTGTTTCGACGGACTTATTCAGAAACTTCAGCCTTTTCTGAGCCTACAGATGACCACAGCTGTTCAAGCGAACCTTCTCATTGTCATTGGCCAGCAGACAAGTTTTTAGCTCACGACCAGCCTGTGCTTGGAAAACTAAGAGTGAATACAAAACAACAGAAGCAAATTGTCAACGATCAAGAGTCGGTAGATGCAGAACTTGAACTGATGAAAGAAAGATTTGCTAAGCTTTTGCTTGGTGAAGACATGTCAGGAAGTGGCAAAGGTGTTTGCACAGCTACAACTATCTCAAATGCCATTACCAATCTCTATGGTATTAATAAATCATTCTTTCTTTTTTATCTGTTTATCATTTATTGACTAGTTTCTGCATTTTTTTTTTTTCGTCTTTTTTCTGTTTATCATTTATTGACAATTCTGTGCAGCTACTGTGTTTGGACATAATTTGAGGTTAGAGCCACTTAAGCCTGAGAAGAAGGCGATGTGGAAAAGAGAAATGGATTGTCTTCTGTCTGTTTGTGATTACATTGTAGAATTTATCCCAAAATCACAGAATTTAAAAGATGGAACTGCTTTAGAGGTATTGTTTCATAAAATCCATAGCCGATATATCTCAACATTTTTTTTTCTATGTTTCCTGTTGATATAACAAGATTCACTTGCTTTTCAGATTATGGAAAGCAGACCTCGATCTGATATTTACATCAACCTTCCTGCATTAAGAAAGCTCGACGCAATGCTCATTGTAAGACGAGCTTTATTTTGCTTAAAACAGATCAATTCTGCTGTTTTTTTTTCTCAAGGCCATAGCTCACAAATTTTTTTTTTTTTAATTTTACAGGAAATATTGGATAGTTTCCAAGATACAGAATTCTGGTATGCAGAACAAGGAAGCATGTTAGCAAATTCAACTCGTGCTGGTTCATTTCGCAGAGTGATTGTACAGCGAAAAGAAGAGAAATGGTGGGTGCCAGTTCCATGTGTTCCTCCAGGTGGTCTAACAGAAAAGTCAAGAAAGCATTTGAGACACAAACGCGATGCTGCTAATCAAATTCACAAAGCAGCAATGGCTATTAATAGTAGTATTCTCGCTGAAATGGATATTCCAGATACATACATGGCATCTCTTCCAAAGGTTAGCCTATTAGATCAGAATTACCATACATAAACATTACTCGTACAGAAATTCTGAGTCTATATTTTGACTATATTGAAAAATTCAGAGTGGAAGAGCAAGCCTTGGCGACACAATTTACCGTTATATGTGTTCAACAGATAAATTCTCCCCCCACCATGTTCTGAACCGTCTGAATATGGCATCAGAACATGAAGCACTTGAGCTTGCAGATCAAATAGAAGCTTCAATGTACACATGGAGGCGTAAAGCATGCTTGAGTAATTCAAAATCATCTTGGGGCATGGTTAAAGAACTAATGTCTGATGTTGATCGGACGGACAAAAATCATGTTTTAGCAGAAAGAGCAGAGAGCTTGCTCTTCTGCTTAAAGCAAAGATATCCTGAACTTGCACAGACATCTTTGGACACTTGCAAGATTCAGTACAATAAGGTAAGTAAGTTTGAAGCTTTAACCGATATATATCCGTTCCTGTATATATAGAAATGATATATAGCAAAGATATCCTTGAACTGGCACAGACATCTTTGGACACTTGGCAAATTCAGTACAATAAGGGTAAGTAAGTTGAAGCTTTAACCGATAATATTCCGTCTGTAATATATAGATGATCTATATATATATATAATATTATATATATATATATATTTTTTTTTCCTTTGTCTGAAAATGGATATTTTTTTTTTTTCCTTTGTCTGAAATGGAATTAAGGTAAATCAGTGTTATTGTAGGATGTGGGACAAGCAGTCCTAGAGAGCTACTCAAGAGTTTTAGAGGGGCTAGCATTCAACTTAGTTGCTTGGATTGAAGATGTTCTTTTTGTAGACAAATCAGTACGAAACCAAGATTAAGGATTATCTTAATCCAGGAGTAGTCTTTTCCTTATTCCAACAATCAGCACAACACAAGCTTCAGGCTTTAGGGAATATTGTTTACTTGTTTTTGCAGTTAAATTGGTAGTTGCTAAACCTGTGAGGAACTAGGTGATTAATCTATTAATTACTTTCAAGAAAGATTGTACATTTTGTTACAAAGGAAACAAATTAAAAGCCTCCAAAAAAGATAGATTCCAAGAAACACCTGATTCCAAGAAACACCTAATATCCATAGTAGAATGATTTGTACATTCATAAAATAATAAAAATGGGTTACCACATACATACCACTACTTGTTTCAGACATCAGTCAACGATCCCCTTCCAAGCCTTAGAGGTGGCAACCGCTTTCTTGGGCGAGAATTGGAGTAAGAAGAATGGAAAGAATCAATCTTTGACTTGCATTTGTTATCGTCGCCATTGTTTTCCTCCAAACACTTCTTTATATCTTTACCTTCTTCTTGAGAGACTACTATCCTCTGCTTGCCATTACCAGACTCTCCTTTGTCAGTATCCATAGCGATCCCAAATTGGTGATGTACGTACACAACAATTACGTAACCTGAATCAATTATCCGAAATCCAAAATCAATTAAATTTTTCCTCAGAGCCGGATCAGATCAAGAATTGCAAAACATTCAGCAAAGAGAAAAAAGAGCATGATAGGGAAGGGAGTTGATCAACGTAACGAAGAAGAAGAAGACTGCTGGCAATTGGTAACCAACGGATATTTTGCCCTATCTGTTAGGTCGAGCAAAGAATCATTCGTATTTGTTCCAACAACAAACAAATAAATACTCCTCCATTCGCAGATATAATTTTTAATTTATATGTCTTATATCTTATTTAATATAAATGTTTAAAGTTCAACAGAAAAATGTGAAAATTGAGCCAGCCACAATTAATTGTGATAATAACATTTTTTAAAAAAATAAAATTGTAAAAACATTAGTGTTCTCTTTTTTTTTTATCTATACTGTATATAAATATGGAAATAAAGGAAATAATAAAATTTTTAATATTGTCCTCAATGAAATTTAGAGTATCACTTAGTCATTATCAATTCGACAATTATATTTTATTCCAATGAATATTTGGATGAATAGTTCGATACTATTCTCTCTTAGATAAGGGAGCACTTTATCCCTTATTGGGCTGACTTGTTGCGACTAAAATTTAGTTCTAAACCAGTAGACTCGGGATACCTATGATTAAGAGAAAAAAAAAAGAAAAATTACATTTTATTATTTGATTGGATATAATTTCTAAAAATTATTTTTTAAAATTTCTAAAAATTTTTTTTCAAATAAATAAATATATATAATAAAAAAGAATAAAAATATACTCTTTCTGTTTCTTATGTTTGCTTTAGAAAAAACGTTATGTGTTTTATTGAAATATATATAACGTTTTTTACTGATAATTTTTTTTATTATTAATTAACTTATTTATTTATTTTAAATTTGTCAACTTAGAATAACCATGATAGGTTGTAGAAAAAATTATGGGTTTATTTGGAAATAATATAACGTTTTTTATGTAATTTTTTTTATTATTTAATTAACTTATTTATTTATTTTAAATTTGTAACTTAGAATAACAGATAAACAAAATACTTGAATAAACTCATTGACCGATCAATATTAGATCCTAGCACAATTTGCTTATTTGACTTTTTTTTTTTTGTCTATCAAAATTAAATTAAATTTAATTAAATTATAACATTTCCAAGGTTATTTTTCAAATTCAAACTATTTTTTAATGAAATTTATTTACTGTTATATGTTGAGTTTTTAAAAGAGTTTTATTTTTAATAAAAATTTATTATTTTTTATTTTTTTTCGTTATTGAATTAATATGTAACCACTATCACTTTAATTTAGTAAGAGATCTATATCTCCCTTGCAATAATAAATGACCTCATGATTAAACATTTTTAATTTTCTTTATATTTTTTCTTTTATATCCTAAATATGTTTGACTTGAAAGAAAATAGTGTTTATGGAATTGAAAAAAACTAGAACTATATATTTCTGTTTTGGGTTTCAAAAGTTTGTGCATAGGTCATATATTCCCTTCTCTAATATACTAGGTAAGTAATATTATCACTATAGCCAAAATGATTACCACTATTAATTCATATCAGTTTCTCATTTCTTTTCTTTTACCTACAAATAAAAAAAAAATTATTATTATTTTTCATTATACTTGTATATATATTGAATTGGGATTAAAGGCAAGGGTTAAGGAGTGAGTGAAAACGTGATTTTCTTTTTGAGTACCTATCAAAGTTTTAAAAATCTATATTTATATATTAAGAACCGAAGAATTAGGTATATAGATTAGAATGAACTCTATTTTGAAACCATTTCATTATATAAAAATAAAATCAAGTACATAAAAAATAGCATTGCAAGTAGCTTATACGGTAATGTCTAATACCAATTAACCAATTGTATCTATTTAACCTAAGAAAAAATTTATACTTTACTATTATATAGATAAAAAATTGAAAGAGTATAAAAAATGAAAATATAAGAAATATAGTTAACGTGCAATGCACTTCATAAAAAAAAAAAATAGTATTTATAAATATCAAAATAAAATAATATACGGGCCTGCTAGCGTTTTCTTTTTACAGGGCCGCTGTCGTTTGGTAATTAAGAAATCATATATATTTCGATTCAATAATTAACCACTTTATAATATACTTATTATATTTGATAAAAAAATTATTTAATTTCTTTATTTTCCAATAATTAGAAATTCAAAAAGAGTTTATTACATCAGTGATAAAAGTCTTCAGTTTGTTTAATAATTAATAACATAATATAAATTATTAGAAAAAGGAAACATAAAATATTATTAATGCCAACTCAATTAATGTCTATAGTAAAAAAAATAAAATTAAAGAATAACATAAAAACTTTTTTTTTTTTTGGGTCAACTTAGCAGCTTAAAAATTGTTTCTTTTGTCACTTCTCTTTTTACATACATTTAATTTAATTCTTTTATGTCTATATATATAGAGAACAAAAAAATTAAAAATTAAATAAAAAATTGCAGCGGCAGCACTAAAATATGAAACAAAATTAAAAATGACAGCGGCGAGCAGCATAGGGAAGTAGAAAGGGATATTATTTGAAACTTGCAATTGAAATGCAAACACATCGGCCCCAGTGATGCTGAAAACAATAACAAAATGGCAAACTCAATACACTTCAATACAAAAGTCTGCAAGATTAACTAAGAAATAAAACATCTGAACTGCAAGGCAAATCTAGGTGCAGAAACACAATCAAACAGTCCGATAATATGACAGTCCGGATTACAAAGAATTACAAAACAAGTCCATATCAAACAAAATGTGACATTTGAAACAACATTAAAGAAGAAATTAAGAATAAAGACCACATGCCACAGAAAAATGGAAGCAGCCACTCATGCATAAAGAAATGACACAAACATGCAAGGAACACTGCAAGCACAAAGAGAGAGTGAGAGAGAGAGAGAGAGAGAATGCAACAATAGATTGATGCACATGAAACAGCTACAAATCATTCTTGACATATTTTACCCTGATGAATTGGTAAGGTAAAAAATTATCTCTATATATACAACAAGCCTCTGAACTGCACCTGGCGAACAGAGTCTAGATGGGCGGTGATCAAAAAGTTAGTAGTCAAGTGGGCCCGAGACCTGCCGGGGCACGCTGAGTAAGAGCATCTTTGCTTCAATACCTTCACAAGCACCTCATGCCCCCAAAAGAATGTCCCTCCCAACATCTCCCTTGGCCATCAATGGCAGGACATGCGAGAACAAGGTGGAACCTTGATGCCATTTGTTCATGATAAACAAAAACGTTACCTGTTGAGGGGACTGTTCACTACAGGCCAAATCAAGAATGAAAGTTAACTTAAATCAGCTATCATCATCCACAGCGCCAATGTATGTGAGATCTGTCCGTCTGACCCTTACAGCCCCTTTAAGCCAGCTGGAGGCTCGAAGATTAGCATGGTCACCACTGCCAATCACAGCTGTGTTACTTGAAGATGAGCCTGATCCAGTGCCATCTTCCAAGAGCGTCCAAGGGTCAATTTCCATATCATTATCCTGTTGCAATGGCAATGACTTGAGCTTCCCTGTCATGTTTGCTGTCGTTCGCCCCAAAGGAAGGGGATTTTTCTGCGGTGGGTTTCCAGTGTGTAACCCAGATATTGTGGAACTAGGTTGAAGTGAAGCAACAGAAGCAATAGGAACAGAAGGTAACTGGCAAGATATGGACCATCGTACAGAAGGAAGAAGTATTGGCATTGCAGCTTGGATGCGGCACCGGATTGAACCAGGCAGCTGCATGTGATCCAAGTCATTCTGCATCCATAAAACATCTATCAATCAAGTAGGACGCATAAAGATAAATAAATGTATATCTAGTACCGAGTCAAAATTTATAATGGAGAGGATGATAAATAGGACGGAGGGGTAAAAAAAAAAAAAAAAAAATTCTAAATGAGAGGATGAAATAAATAGGACGGAGGGGTAAAAAAAAAAAAAAAAAAAAATTCTAAATGTGTGAAGAAGCTCATTAGGATTCTCGCATGCTGGATAAGCGTAAACCATTTTTTTTAATTTGCTGACATAACATTCTAAACAGAAATCGGGCCAAATAGTAACTCAATCTTTTATCCCAATAATGAGTCAGAAACTGAAAGTAGTCTCCTTTCGGGTAAAAAAAAAAAAAAAAAAAATTCTAAATGTGTGAAGAAGCTCATTAGGATTCTCCATGCTGGATAAGCGTAAACCATTTTTTTTAATTTGCTGACATAACATTCTAACAGATCGGCCAAATAGTACTCAATCTTTTATCCCAATAATGAGTCAGAAACTGAAAGTAGTCTCTTTCTACTAGTAAAAAGTTAATTTGCTATATCGAAATCAATCAACTCAAAGAGTAGAATACATCAGAGAACAAACCTGCAAACTCTCCACCACGTCACGATCAAGTCCAGCAGAATCCTTTGAAAATTCATTCATTAACTTGGAAGCTGCCCTTGATTTCAACCAACTTGGCTGGCTATTACTCAAGAGACCATGCAAGACTAATAATAACCGATCAAATAGAGATTCACCAGATAAATCTCCAGAAGCAGCTTCTGATGTTGACTCCAGTTCCATCTTGGATTGAGAACTTTGCATAGGAGAGAGAGATAGGTCTGCATCCTCATGCACAACCCGATGACCTAGCAGACGAAGTATTACAGATGCAAGCATGTACCTCATGTTCCGGCCAGATGGTTCCCTGAATATTACAACAAATGAAAAACTAAGATGAAACCAAATACTAGCAGTTGCAAATTACAGCATCAAAGAAGGCAGCATCCACTGTTGCAGATATAAGAGAAAAAAAAATGAATAATTACCCATCTGCACATATTATAGGAAGCAATCTCAGCAATAGTTGCAACCGGAGTGACATAGAAGCTCGCAAGGCAGCAGGAGATGGCAAAGCAGTATCTGCAGCTCCTCCTGCTGTCCGTCTGTTCATTCCTGGGCTACCACCTCTTATAGCTTTGCGATTGCTACCTTTATTTACAGGACCTTCCAATCCAGAAGAAGTTGATCCTGCCTGCTTGCTCGCACCACGAGCAAATGCATTTATCTGTTGCTCAATATTAATTAACTGCTTGATCAAATCACTTGCAAACGTATTACGCGACTCATCTGAACCTTGATCTATGCATGGAAGAACTAGTTCAATGAGAGCTCTTTCAGTAATATGTGTCTGGTTGATACTGAAACTATCAGTTTCAAATATTTGAGTAGGAACTTTTCCAGACTTTTTTGCATCTGTGCTGTCGTCAACAACCTCCCCCTCTTCAAGGGAGGTGACCTCAAACTTCTTCTTGTCTCCTCTGCTCATCACAAGATCAGCACCTGACTTACACCAGCCCCATGGCCTCCAAAACTGAGCCTTAGTTGAAAGATTTTTACTCTCTGCAATATTAGTAAGACGTTGTCTAATGGTTTTCCGTCCAAAAAGAACATCAAGGCCTCCCAAGAACCATTTAGCCTGCAATAACATCGAATCTTCTAGTGACCTTCCAAAAAGATGAACCAGCTCGGAGAAAAGAGGTGCAGCATCAGGTCTGACCAACAACCTTGTTAGGATGATTACAATGAAGTTGTTCTCGTTTTCAGAAGCAGCAGCTTTTTCAAGACCGGGTGAGGAGGAACGAATAGCATCTGCTAGGGACATATCATGGGTTTCAAGCTTTTCCACAAGGGCTTGTTCATTCAAAAGCAACCTAAGTTCAACCCACTGCCAATGGAATTTTGCAGGCTGCAAAGTATCCAATACATTCACTAGCTTATCCAGAAGCTTTGTTTCACTCTCTGCATGTTGAACTTTAGATCCACCAAATCCAGAAACTCGGTTGCTCTCATCCTGAGTGGATACACAATGTGGCATCTTACAATCAATGATGGCATTCAAAAACAGTCTTCCACGGAGAGGAACAAAAGCTGCAGATTTAGAGTGCACATCCAAACCATTTAACATGGCAGCAAAGTCAGCATCACTGGCATCTGCAGCTACAAGATCATAAAACCCTTGACTGTCTCTCAGACACACATCCCGAAAGGGCAGGTGCTTTATGGCATCTCCTATGGCCATCGACAAAGATAAGTATAACTGATTTAAGTCTTCACGGTTTACAAGGTCTTTGCTAAGAATAACTTGTCTCCATATGACAAAGGCAAATATAGAATAGGCTGGTGGAAAGACCAAAGCAAGAGGAAGCATTCGCTGCATCCTAGAAAGAGCAACTATAGATGATTCACCCAAAAGTTCGACAATTAAACCATCACATAGAGTTCTGCAATTCCCAATGAGCAGCCTAAACAAATGCACATAAACTTCAATTGTGTTATCCCCCTTAAAAGCTGAAATTGAACGGGCATTGCCATTTGAATTGGATTTTGTGCTCCTTATAAACTGAATAACATCCAAGCCTTCCTTTAGTCTTAAGACAGTTACCATTCTCTCCAAGCTCGTAACACCATGGATAAGAGCTCCAATAATAAGTGCAGATATTGCAGCAGCACTTTTTGTTCCCCTTCCAGATCTGGCAGAATTGCTCATAATCTCATTGGAACTGTTCATATTGGGATCTTCAGGAGACAGTTGAAACTGATTTCGAGAAGCCTTTCCTGGAGCAAAAGCCATAAGAAGAGCTGACGAGGCTTCTGCAGCAAGAGCTATCTCAAAAACCCGGCTTTGACGCTCTCCAAGGGCTTCCTTAAGAAGACACAGGCAATTGATATGGATGCGCAAAATGCACCTAGCAAAACTCATTGAAGCCATAGCAGATGGAGAATTGGAATGATTAGAGACTGCTGAAAAATCAGGCATTTTGGCTATAGTTGGTCCAACATTATTGACTATAGCAGAAACAGCTGAAGATACCAAAGAAGGGTCACCTTCTTGAGCAGCACCACCAGTCTGCCGAAAGCAATCCAATAATCCCCGAATTATTTGTTGAGCTATCTGGTGCCCATCATCAGATTTTTCAAATCCAGGACCTTTTTGCGTACCAGTACCAAAGAACTTTCTATCTTTACCAAAGAAATAGTGAAAAGCATCATCAATTTGTCTTTGTACTATATCTTTCATGCTGATTCCAGCTCTGCTCATACGATTACCAGTTATCTTTTGTCGGAAAAAATCATCAAGATCTTCAACTCCTGCTGGAACTCCCAATGCAAATCCAAACTCTCCATCCAAGGATCGACTGGGTTCAAGTTCAGAAAGAAGTCTCTTATCACAAGTTGCTTTAAAATTCTTCTCCCATTCAAGAACACTTGCCACGTTGCCATATTTCCTCAACAAATATCGGGAGTAAGTTAAGACTGCTGAACCTGAAAGTCTTCCATTAGAAGCCAGCAGTGCTGCTACCCGTTGTATTGCAGCTGCCAAGACTTCAGGAATAAGATCTGCTGCAACAAGTATGTTCTCGTACCTGAAAAAGAAATTCATCGTTCATCAATATAGCACTATTCGTCCTGAAGCCATTCTATGGCAAAGAACATCAAGTGAACAGATGCCATAAACACATTCAAAAATGTTTATCACATAATAAGTCCATAAGCACAAGGAAACAAGAAATACTGAGCATATAATATTTTTCCAGCATAAGAACAGTCTGAAACTTTATAATTAGGCAAAATCTGGGAGCTCACCTTCGGAGGCATGACATAAGAAATGCCTCTCCCACTTCGCACGCGTGGTTTTCCATATTCCTTTGCAATACTGCAATGTTTCTCCCACTATGGATTGTGGAATTGGTATTGCTGACAACCTTTGGCAAAAGCCACAGCAATAACTTGGCTGCAGAAACTAAACCATTACAAACATCCATCAAATATAATACTGCAGAGAGCTCATCCTCACCAAGCTTCCACCGGATAGAGCTTCTATCGTCAGCAGGAACAAAAGTCCTAGTGAACTGGCTGGCCTTGGCAATATTCCTTTCAGTCTCTTCAACAAGCTGCTTAACGACAGTTACCAACCAAACGGTAATGGACCTCTTCTCCACAAATCGCAGTTGCTTCAAAGCTTTTGCAATTGAAACAATATCTCCGCTATGCAACGTTCTAACTCCATCTGCTGACTTAAGCGTTTCTGCCTCTGTTCCATTTCTGTGGTGAGGGCAACCAACCTTATTATCACATACATGACTTGTGGAAGCTCCCTGGCTGCCTTCAATCCTAGCAGCTGCTAACTGAGCTAGACTTTGAGTTTTACGCACAACCTTTTGCCTACCCTTCGAGATCTGTTTGGAAGACTTAAGTGGTGGATCAACCTTGGATAAATCTAAGGATTTGGTCCCCTTCCGCATCCACCAAGTATCTTCATCATCAGATACTGGAGAATGACCTTGAAGGCACGAGCTCTTTTCTTCACTTAATTTTTGTCTCTTCGCCTTTCTACAATCCTCACACCCCGGAGTACTTTCCACTAAATCAATTTTGTTGCATGTTGAATCAGCAACCCTCTTAACACTCCCTTGAGAGTCATCCAGTCCTGTGTCTGAAGATGGAGACAAGATAGGAATTTGTAACAGCACTGAGATAGATGCCTTCAGTTCATCAATCTCAGCATTTGACTTGACTTTTTTCGAAGCCAAAACATTAGGCCAGGACTGAATAGTTTTCCATTGATCAATAGAAGCTGGAGAAGCACCATCCTTTACAGACGTTGGATGATGCCTTTGTTTCCGCATCAGTATATTCGATCTGCACAAATTTTGATTTTGTTCACAAAGGACACCACGTAGGAGAAGGCGACGTTCATTTGAGTAAACATGCATGGCCTCCAAAAGATCAGACCCTTCTACAATTCTTGCCTCTTCCAAGATATCATGGAGGAAGAGCCCAGGCAATTGTTTCAGAATTTGATAGTGTCTCTTCCGTCTGTCAAGATCACCTGCAGGCCCACTTGCATCCATAATCCCACTAATTATCAGCTGTCTAACATAAGAATGAGGATAGAAAATTCCAGATTGTATAAGTTCCACTATGAGCAGCTGAAGACGCTTCAAACCTTCTCCTTTTTGAACTTCATGTTGATCAATCCAACAAACTATGATGTCATGTAAAGGACCTGGACTCTCAAATATATCTGACAAATTTCTAATTTTTCTATTCCCATTTTTTGTGTTGCCTTTGTTTTCACATCCATTTCCCACAGGAACCCTGCCAACATAATTATGCTGACTGAGACCTTTGATTCCGAGGGATCTTTCATTCTTCCGTCGAGATCTACTTTGCATATCTCTTATTTTCAGCCTTAGGAGCCGACTTGCAATATAAACCTGAGAAACATCTTTTTTACCACTGAACTGAACATCATTAGGTGGGGCAGCCCGAAAATCCCTATAATCACATGTTGCCCACTCACAAAGGAAAAACACAGAACAAATAAATGACAAGCTCACAGTCCCTATCCACTTCAATGATGACCTCAAGCATGGACTGACTTCTTCAATCCAACCCTCATCAACAGCTCCATCACAAAAATTTTCAAAAAGAAAATTATAAGCCTCTCTAATGTCTCCCTGTGAAAGAGCTTTATCCAATGCTTGTACAGCTTTTGCTACACTGTGAACCAGATAGCCAGGACAAGCAGCCTTTGCAAGATTATCTGCCCGCTTCTGGATGGATGAAACAACCTTATTAAAAGAAAAGGATTGATACTGAGCATCAAACCCTTTATTTCTTAACACCCCAACAGCTCCAGCTGAATTATCTATGGTTTTTCTTGCCTCTTCAGATGACTTCAATGCAAAAGCCCCATCATTTACTGTATAAGACAGTACAATTTGTGGTAAAGGAAAGCAATCCAAAGCAACGAATGTATCCGGTACAGCCAATATCAAATACCGAAGCATCTCTATTAAAGCAGAAGTTGTGTAAGCCCTCCGAGAATTATCTACAAGATCTGATCCAACTGGAGAAAGTTCTACAATGTAACGAACTGCTATTACTGCAAGAGTACGGACATACGATTGGGATAGAATAATAGTATCTAAAACACCATATATGATTGGCAACAGTAACTGCAAGATCTCAAGCATTTCCTTTTCCTGAAAGGAAGGCAAGTTAAACCAGAAACAAAAATTCCAATTAGTTGTTCACATTCAATCCTGTGCAAACACAAAATTTATCTAAATCTTGAAAGCAATAGGTTCAAAAGAAATGGCACAACCAGAAATGTACCTGCAGTTGACTAAGAACCCAATCAATGATTACAGAAGGAAGAAGCAGCCCTTCAGCATGGTGCCAGTGTATCAACCGTACCACATACCACCACTTAAAATGCAGGGAAGGCTCCTCACTATCAACAAACACCACAGCTGGATCACTCCTGTGCTGTAATGAACCCGCATAGAGCATTTGTGGCGATCTATCTCTAGTATGTGGAGCAGAATGGGAATTATTTCTGGAGAAAAATTCATCAAGGAGAAACTGCAAGTACTCAATAACATCTTTTGTCCAAAGTTCTGTCCGAGACAACTGAGTTTTATCAGGTGCTCCAGATGAAATACTAGCAGAACTAGGGCGGACCTGCAATAGATAACCATAACCTGCTATAAGAAGCAGTCAACTATAACTAAGGGTAGCACAAATAGAAGATAGTATTTAAACAGCTCTACCTGATTAAGATAAGTTACTTTGATAAACCAAGTTGCTCTTAGCAATGGAACATTATTCCTTATAAGAACTTCAAGAAGGGATTTCCTCCGATACCCATGAGGCACATGGTCGGCCAAAGAGCGCAATCGCTTGTGTGGTTGTGATAAACCCTGGCATAAAGATGAAAGGGGAAAACTTATAGGGATGAAACCCAACAGGGAGTAAGATTGCCATTAATTCATCACAACATACATGATACATTTTTGGTGGAACTTGAAAAACAAATTGCAGTTTCAATCGAACATAAAACAATCTATACCTCAATCCATTTCCTCCTGAAATCTTCACCACAAGGCCTTTGCTCAGGAAAGACACCAGGCTTGGTTAATAATGACCCAGCAAGCGGCACACCATAGACCTGACCAGCCTGTCATATTGATAAGAATATGTATATGTTCATATTCATTGATATGATCTCCAAACCTAAAGATACGTTTCGAGAAAGTTTTTCTAATACAAATGAGATTGGCATCAAAGTATGCAATAAGAAAAGCCTATTTTAAGATTTACTGGAAAAGAAATTACATGACCACCACCTAAAATTAGAAAGGAAAAATGCATCACCTTGCGCTTTTGAGCACGGGACTCATTAATGGCCCTCAGACATTTTCTGATTGCCTGCAGACGAAAACAAAGCATCAACTGTCATTAGGTGCCAACCATTTTACAATGTAGCTTTTTTTAAAAAAATCCTGAATTAACAATTAAGGAAAGAACATTACAGCATCAAAAAAAAAAAAAAAAAAAAAAAAAAAAAAAAAAAAAAAGGACTCATTAATGGCCCTCAGAACATTTTCTGCAATTGCCTGGCAGACGAAAACAAAGCATCAACTGTCATTAGGTGCCAACCATTTTACAATGTAGCTTTTTTTAAAAATCTGAATTAACAATTAAGGAAAGAACATTAACAGCATCAAAAAAAAAAAAAAAAAAAAAAAAAAAAAAAAAAAAAAAAAAAAAACTCACCTTCTCTTTGCATCTTATGACAAGGTTAGTAAAATTGTTGAAACCTGAGTCAATAAAAAAAAAAAAAAAAAAAAAAAAAAAAAAAAAAAAAAAACTCACCTCTCTGCATCTTATGACAACAGGCTTAGTAAATTGTTGAACCTGAGTCAATGAGATTTCTCTATTTTCCTGACAAGTTGGCAAGCAAACCAAAATAAGATTTGCTATGATCATTTATCTATTTGCACAAAAATATTAATAACCAATTTTAATAAGGACTACACGACAACTAGTGGACTCCAAAACTCGTGTCACTTGAGCAACGTCAAATAAAGTATGGCCAAATAAAATAACTTTTGTGAAATTGACATCAACCTTCACAGTCTATAAAGGAACAAATACAGAACAACTTTAGTTTAAACAAAATGTTAAAACTAAAAATTAGAGTGTGTACAAAATAGAGTTTTGATATTTTAATCCCTTAAGTTTCCATGACTCATGAGATCTAAGAAGAACATAGGTACTCTCACTTATATTGAATTCATATCCAGTAGACAATGACATAGTCTAATGTAAAGGAAATGAAATTCAATGACTAAAAAACACACCTCAAGGCCTTCAACTGTCTCCTTGTATCCAGACTGAACATATTCTTTCGTGAGGGTCTCCTCAGGGCAATTTGGAGTCTGGGGATGAAAGTCGGGGGGTCCAAGTCTGAGATTTTAAATTGTAACAGGGCATAATACAGATAAGCATCATATGCAACATAACACCATATAAATAAAAATTGAAATAGAAAGAATAGGAAATGTTCTTAAATAATGTTGCATTCTATTAAACCTCTAATTGAAATTGTTCTGTCCACAGAGAAAAGTAATCAAAATAAAAAGAAAACACCACGCTAATGCTGAGTTTACCGGGAATTCAGGGGCTCTTTATCACACTTCAACTTGTACGGAGTCAGTGGAGGTGGCCGCCTGCACCATGCAAAACAATTAAGAGCTATCCATCATAAAAAAATAAGCAACATAGAATATTGAGAATGTCATAATTCATTCAACGAGATGCTATGGAATAGCATCAATTTAAAAGGAAGATATGGAATAGCATCAATTTAAAAGGAAAACAAGCTCTTGATTGAATCAGACCAGAGAAGGAATAAAAAGAGAACCTCCATTTCCATACATCAAACAGTATGCAGCATAAACAAGAACTAGAGAAACAGGCATTGTTGGCCCTTATTCTCTATGAGACAGGCAGAGTGCAAATGCCTGAATGTTTTGCAACATGATTTCAAAGAAAAAATAAGTACAAGCATAAACTACTGTAATATCCACAAACTCAGTATGTAAACATATATAAGCATACCATATATGGACCCAGTCAATAATTATCACAAAAATAGTGGATACATACAAAACTCCATACTATGGCCACGAAGTTGCCTTTAAAATGAAAACAAAGGCTATCTGGGATTATACATGAGAAGCTGGAATTCATTTTCAGTGAAGTACAGCACATAGGACGATACCATATTTACCAAATTACCTAGCATTAATGGAGAAGTTAGCTTGCAATGAAGATGAATCAGCCCGGCCAGTATCCCTAACTGATGCTCCACCAATTACATTATTATTAACTGCACCAGTGCAGTTGGCAGGATGATACCTTTGCATTTCTCCAAACTATCACCGGCATACTGCTCCCAACATCAAACCACTGCAAGAATAAATCAAAATAATACAAATGTGAATGGCATCCAACAACCAGGTGTTATAATTGTCTAGCCTCCAGCATGATAAAAGCTAAAAATTAATATGATAAGATTCCATAAACTACTGTTCAATGTTAATTCAAAACTATACTGTCCCTAAGTGCCAAATTCTTACATGCCTAGCATATTTAGAAACCAATCCATGTCATTGCAAGCTAACTGTCTGAAATGTTGGGCAACGAAAAATAAATAAACACAAGAAACAGCCTGTCATGGTATCAAAAATAATAGAGCAAAAGGGTATACAGGGAGTAAAAATGGCAGGCCACAGATACAACAACAATAAAATTACCCATATTCAAGTTAAATCTCACGAGCTTTCAAGCTTTCCACTTGTTAACATAATTTTTAATGAATCTAAATCAACTTTAATGTAGAATTTCAAGTACGGCAAAAACCAATATATGAATTCATAACTGTTCATGCTTAAAGATCAAGAATGAAAAACAAAGCATCAGCTTCAAACATAAACCAGCACTTTTGCGTGTGAACCAAATAAATAACTACAAGAACAAAGGTAAAATTTGGAAGAGAGTAATTTCAGCAGTTGTCAGAGTAAAAATCATCTTGTGCTTGTGACTATTCCAAGAGGATATGCCTTATTTGCAAAATGAAGCGAGCCAAATTCTAGATGTTTTGTTTGGAAGGAAAGACATCGACAGATCAGTTTGTCCTATAGTATTCAGATATTCACGATGAAGGAGTGGATTCTCTTTTGGATAGGCCCCAAAAGGAGAAGGAAGGATTTGAGCCTGCCAAATCTCCACCCTCCCCTAACATCAATAATATTTACTAAAAGAAAATATTAGATTCTTTTAAAACCATTAGCATCAATACTGAAGTATTCCCGCACCAAACAATTTTGTGTGTGCACGTAATGTTTTGAAACTTAGACAAAGAATAACTATTGGTCTAATGTACGTGCTACGAGCAATGTACAATCAGACATTGGTTGCTGCAACATCAACTCTGCTGCAGTTGCACTGTGTTGTAAAGTTTTGAATTATATTCTCCAAAAGAAGAGAAGTTGAAGAAGAATACTAGTTCAAAACTGCCAACATTTAATATCATCGAGAAAGAGCATAACTAGGTTACAAAAGTTCAATGCTGCAAACAAAAAATTTAAATTAATATAACTCTGAACCTAAAATATGTAAAAATTTAAAGTAGAGATGCTGTTTTTCAAATTTTAATCAAACGCCCAACTAGCTGCACTCATATTAAACAAGAGCATAAGTTAATTTTATTACCTTGATCTGCAAAAACTAGGCCTGAAACCCGATTAATAATAGCTCAAGTTTTTAACTCTTTCCCTCCAAACATGGCAGCCCAGAAAGCACAAAACTTAAAACGCACAAAACTAATCAAAAACAAAATGCAAATAACACGATATCCATACGGCAATACGACAAATCAACTGAATCACACAAACATCCAATTCAAACAAAACCACCCAGCATCCTATATCAAACTAAATAAACATTTCCACCCTAAGTCACCAAATCTAAAAGCAAAAGCGCCACAATTTATCACAAATCAAAACTAGGGTTTAGACCGAGCTCCGATTCCCAGCTCGAACGCAATAAGCAAGCTACTAAGAACCTCAATATATAGTCCCAAGCAGGATAGAAAGCTAGGGTTTTAATAGCGAATTCGTAATTAAGACTTAACCTCACGTCGATAACGGAAAAAAGAATTGCGATTTGAGATGGAAAGAAAAAAGACAGCAAGGTCATAGCCGTACCTTGAATATTAAAGATTCGAAGAGGAAGAGAGATGCAGATAGAATAAATCCCTCTAGAGAGAGAGAAAATGTTTTAGAGAGAGAAAGCGGAAAGAAGAAGGGTCTCGGCCTTTGAGGGCTTTGACTCTTTAGCTTTGATGATGATGACGATGATGATGATGCTTCTGTTACTTCCTGTGTTAGAATAAAGAGAAGGTGGGCAGCGATCTAATCATCTTTTTTTTTTTTAAATAATAATAATAAATACATATAATCACATTTTTTGTGCGCTTTTCCCTGTTTCGCCCTCGATAACTTTATGCATTTCTGATGAGATTACCGAGAGGAATCAACCTATCAAGGGCAAATTAGTAAAAGTGATTTGACACCCAAGAATAATGGCAACTCTATTATAGTATAATAATCTGGGTTTTTGTTGAGGGTGTTTTTTCAGTTGATATCACAGGAGTTTATTTTCCTTTTTGGCTTAGATGGTTCTTATCTTATGTGGGATTGGAGATAGAAAGGGGATTAGGGTTTGGTCCCTTTGGTGGAGGATGAAGATTTTGAGTTGCAACTAGCTAATAGTGGAAGTGAAGCTTCACTTTTCAAATGGGCGAAGTGAAATTTTTTTTTTTTTTTTTTAAGATTTTGAGTTGCTACTAGCTAATAGTGGAAGTGAAGCCTTCACGTTTTCAATATGGGCGAAGTGAAATTTTTAAATTTTTTTTTTTTTTTTTTAATGTAAGTTTGATTTTTGACATCTTAACGTGAGATTATTTTTTTATTAACATTTTTTTCGTTTTTTTATAACAATTAACTTTTTTTTCCTTTTTTTATTATTGTTAGTTAGGAAAACTTTAACAAAATAAACATCTACGCTTAAATCGACTAGACCCATATATCGAACTTAACAAAGTCACCATTAATCTGAAGAATTGAATGGTATAAATGTGTAACATTAACAAAATTATAAATTATATAACTAAATTTTGTGGCTATATACTGGCCGAGTTAAGTGGAAATTGAATTGTGTTCGTTGAACATATATGCAAATTTGAAAAAATAAAAATAAAAATTGAATTCAAACTTTGCTCATTTTAATTATAACCAAGCTCATACTCAAGCTAGGAGATTAACAACTGCTATTGATTTAGTAAACTTTTCCTTAAACGTATTGGTTTCAATTATTTGGAAAATTGAATTTAATTAATTTATACGATGATCCACTCACACTACCCTAATACTATTGTTTCTATACAAACAAAATCTTTGTACAACATATTTAAAAACACAGTAAAAAATTTTGAAACGAAAATCATAATTTATTTATCTATACTTCTATACTATATATAAAAGTAAGAATGAGGAAAATAATGGGATTGCCGATATTATCCTACTGAAATTTAAGTTATTCTAAAATAACCTTAATTTTAACCGGTTAAAAAATTTTAACCTAAAAATATATATAATATTTTTATAATTTGATTTTTTTAATTTTTTTAATAGATAAATGAATATAGATAATTAACCATATCAAAATTTTAAAGTTTTACTATTATTATCTTATTTTGTCTAATTATATTTTATTTTGTTATATTATTATATAAATAAATAATAATAAATATAATAATAATAATAATTTTAATAATTTATTAATTTATTATTGTTATAATTTATAATTTATCTTCAATATTATAATTTTAAATAATATATGTAAACGAGGCATTTAAAATTTTATATATATATTTTGATTTTATTTTAAATAAATATATCTAGACAATTCAAATTTAATTTAAAAAGGGTATGGTTAAATTTATTTAATTACAAATTGCACTCTAATTTGGTTAAAAAAATAAAATAAAATATTATTATTTTTAAATACCTCAAATTTAATTAGTCATATTGATATCTTTTATAATTCAAATCCTATTTCTATTAAAGAATATAATTTTATTAATAATTTCTTAAAATGCTTTCATGATTTTGATTGGCTACAAAAATAAAAATAAAAATTTATTACTATTTATAAATATTTAATTTGATTTATTAGTACTATTTATAAAATTATTTTAATTTGATTTATTAGATTTGTTTTTCTTATTTTATTTGTTAACAGTATATTTATTTACCTACAAGGTATATTTATTTACTACAAGAGATTACAATGAAAATTATTAACAAAATATATAAATTAATTATAAAACATATAATAGAAGCTATAAGATGCTTTTTATAAATCGATTGGTTTTTCCTTAAAAAAGAAAATAAAAGCAACTAACATATAATACAAATTGTATGAATCAGTACGTTGACATACTAAAAAAATATTTACTGTATATATAAAGTGTAATATAATTTAACCAGTCAATCTAAATAAGAATTTATATTTTAATATTATATAAATAAAAAATTGAATGAGTATAAAGAATGAACATATAACGAGCATAGTCAACATGCAACACGTTATAAAGAAGACTAGTATTATATATAAAAGTGAAAATGGAAGGGAATAATAGAATTTCCTATATCACCATTAATGAAATTAAAAATGTTCTAAAATACCTTTAATGATAGCAATTAAAAAATTACAGTTTATTAGTTGATTGGATATAATTTACAAAAATTATTTTCTCAGCCAATTATATGCGGCCTGATTGTCTTCTCACTTATGTGAGGAGTAATGTGAGGGTAAGACCTCTCGAATTTGATTCCTCTTTACGCATACAAGTGTTTTCACCAATTTTAATTATTGTGTAGTTCAGCAATATTATTTCGATCCATCAAAACCATCGCCTAATGAAATAAAAAATTATTTTTTAATAAATACATATAAATAATTAAACATTTTAAAATTTTAAGTTTTATCTTTTATTAAATTTTAATTTTTAATGAATATATATGATAATGAGATTATTTGGAAAATTTTATATAGTTTTTATTTATTAAATATTTAATTATTTTAGGAAATATATATAAAAAAAGAAAGAAAATATTATTTTCTTTATATTTGTATGATATGATTGGATATTTAAAAATAAAATAAAATTTCAAATAGAATATATATAATATTTTATTTAGGAGAGAGATAAAAAAATGTATATTATTTTTTTGATTAATGTTTTTATTTTTTTAATATTTGTAAGATTTGATTGGATAAATTTTCAAAAAGTAAATTTTTAAATAGAGTTTACATAATTCAAGCTCGATGGTATACAGTTGAAATTTTTAATTTTAAAAATTTAATATTTTATTGGTATATTGATATATCTATACATCTTGAAAAGTTTTTTTTAGGTGAGTTACAAATTTAATTGTTGTGTAGTCCGCAGTATTATTTTAGCCATCAGGTCTCCTAATAAATCGAAAAAATAATTTTTTAAATCAATACACATATATAATTAAGCATTTTAAAATTTTAATTTTTATATTTACTAAATTTATTTTTAAAAGAATATATATGATAATGAGAAATTTGTAATTTTTTATTTAATTTTATTAACATTTTAATTCTTTTAAAGATAATAAATACAAAATATATCTTTTTAATAATAATTTCTTTTTTTCTTTTATTCTTTAAGTTTGTACATATGATTGGATAATATTTTTAAAAATAAAATTTCCAAATAGAATATTATATAATATATTTATATTTAGGAGAGAGGATCAAAAAGAAAAAAGTATATTATTTTTATTATATTTTTATTCTTTATGTTTGTCATATTTGATTGGATATATTTTAAAAAAGTAAATTTTCAAAATAAAATTTACATAATTTAACATGTGAATGTAAACAATTGAAATTTTAATTTTAATTATATATATAATATTAATTGATATTTTATATATCTATATATATTGAAAACTTTTTTTTTTTTTTTGTTAAGTGAGTTTTTTAAGTGAGTTTTGAAAGAGTTTTATTCTTAATAATAATTTTTGATTTTCTTTTTCATTACTGAATAATTTGTAACTACTATCATTTTAATTTAGTAAGAAATTCATATCTCCATTGTAATAAATAGATGATCTATTGATAGTTAAACATTTTTAATCTTCTTGATATTTTTTTCTTCATTTTAATTTAGTAAGAGATTTATATCTCTCTCGCGATAAATATATGATCTATTGATGGTTAAGTATTTTTAATTTTCTTGATATTTTTTTCTCTTATATCCTAATCTGTTTGACTTAAAAGTATGTACATATATTCCTTTGTCTAATACACTGGGTAAATAATATTGTCACCGTGGTCAAAATGATTTTCATTATCAATTCAGATCATCTTCTCATTTATTTTATTGACTTAGCAGTAAAAATAATTTATTATTATTTTTTATTATAGTTGTATATAGATATTGATTTGGGATTGAAAGTAGGGAGTTGGAGATTGAGTGATGACTTGATTTTCTTTTTGAACACCTATTAGGATTTTAAAAATCTACATTTATAAATTATAGACTAAAGGATTATGTCTAAGGATTAAGTTGAACTTTAATACCATTTTATTATATAAAAATAGAATTAAGTACATAATAAGTAACACTGCAAGTAATTTGCATGGAAAAGTATAATATAAATGAACTACTTATATTTATTATAATCTAAATAAAACTTATCACTATGATTATATATATATATATATAATATATATATATATATATATAATATATATATATATAGTATTTATATAGAGAGAGAGAGAGAGAGAGAGAGAGAGAGGAGAGAGAGAGAACGAAAGGAGAGAGAGAGAGAGAGAGGAGAGAGAGAGAGAGAGAGAGAAGAGAGAGAGAGAGAGAGAGAGAGAGAGAGATAAAATGAGTATATAACGAGAATAGTCAACGTGCAACACCCGTCATATAAAAGACTAGTACTATGTATGAATGTGGGAATAGGGGGAATAATAGAATTTTCGATATTGCTCTCAATGAAATTTAGAATATCTTTAAATAGTTTTAGTCATAGCCAATTCAAAAATTACATTTTTATATCAACGAGTGTTTGGATGAGTGGTTAGACACTCTTCTCCCTTAAGTGAGGTCGAGGGTTTGATATTCATGAATGTAACAAATACTCGCTATGAGTACTTTATTCCTTCTTAGGTTAGGCCGACCTGGTGCGAGCAAGATTTAGTTCTATCCCAGTGAACTCGGGATATCCGTGGTTAAGACGAAAAAAGAAAAATTACATTTTATTATTTGATTGCATATAATTTCTAAAATTATTTTTTAATAACCTGGCTTTTTTTTTAGTCCATCAGAATCAAATTTAATTAAATTATAGCATTTCCAGAGTTATTTTTAAAATTCAAATTGGTAATTTTTTTAATATAATTTATTTCTTGTTATAGGTTGAATTCTTAAAAGAGTTTATTCTTAATAAAATTTGTTATTTTTTATTTTCTTTTTCGTTATTGTATTAATTTATAACCGCTATCACTTTAATTTAGTAAAAGATTTATATCTTCCTTGTAATAAATAGATAGCATCATGATTAATTATTTTTAATTTTCTTGATATTTTTTCTTTATTTTTTCTTTTATATCCTAAATATGCTTGACCGAAACAAAAATAGTGTTTATGAAATTGAAAAAAACTACAACTATATATTTATGTTTTGGGTCATTTTTTGGGGTTTTAAGAGTTTGTGAGTATGTTCATATATTAATTTCTTTAATGCATTAGGTAAGTAATAATATCACTGTAGTTAAAATGATTACCATTTTAATTCAGATAATCTTTTCATTTATTTTCTTTTACCTAAGGGTGTCAAAACGGGTTGGCAGGTCGGGTTCGACACGAATTTGCCTAACATGCTACACGATTAGAGTCAACACGAATACGATTCATTTAATAATCGTGTTAAATTTGTCAACATGAACACGACACGAAAATTAGACAAGTGACACTAACATGATAAGTATAACTCGCCTAATATTATAAACAGGTTAAGTATGTCATGTTGATATGTGTACGACCTATATAACCTGCTTATGATATTTTTAAATTTTAACCCATTTAACTTAAATTATATTTAAAAATAAATTTTTATATATAAAATGCATAGATTTTTCAAGATTTACAATTAAAATAAAAAATTAATACAACAATAGAGTTTAAATAAGAATTTAGTTGGAATATTTAATTTTGATATAAAATTACCTTTTTACTCTTAAATAAATAGGTCATTCGCCTAAGCCACGTGTCAACCCGTGACACGACACATTTATATTCGTATCATAAATGGGTGACTCGTTTACGATACAAACCCATTTAACCTCAATTTTAACCAATTTATTTTGCGTGTTAGGCGAATTATGTTCGCGTGTTGTGATCCATTTTGACACCTCTACTTTTATCTACCAGTAAAAAAAAAGTTATTATTGTTATTTTTTATTATAGCTGTATATAGATATTAATTTGGGATTGAGGACAATGGTTCGAGATTGAATGATAACTTAGATTTTCTTTTTGAGCACCTATCAGAGTTTTAAGAATTTATATTTATAAATTATGGACTGAACGATTAGATATAAATATTGGATTAAATTTTATTTTGAGACCAATTCATTATATTAAAAATAAAATCAAGTATATAAGAAATAACATTATAAGTAGCTTATACGGTAAAATCTAATACAAATTAACTAATTGCATTTATTTTAATCTAAACAAAAATTTATATTTTAATATTATATAGATAAAAAAAATTAATATAATAGATAAAAAAATTAAAAGAGTAAAAAAAAATGAAATTTATTTTAATCTAAACAAAAATTTATATTTTAATATTATATAGATAAAAAAAATTAAAAGAGTAAAAAAAATGAAAATATAATGAGCATCGTCAACGTGCGATGCACGTAATAAAAAGCATTAGTTTATATTATAAGAAGAGTAGTATGATAGTGGTAAAATACAACTTTTATTCAAATTCAATTAATGAGAATACCAAACACATACATGGAATAATAAATAAAGAAGATACGAAATTGGCAAATTCTGAATCTGATGGTAAGGTAAATGGTCCATGCAAAGATGCCATCTGCCCTTCATTTGTAAGCAAAGTAAAATAAATTGAGTTGACGTATTGCCTGGTCCAAAAGACTGGATCTCAGCCTTCATTTTGGTCACAAGGAGAATGTAATTAAGTCCAGTTATGGAAGAAATGGACGACTCAAAGTGCAGACAAAGGACAAGATTAGAAATGTGAAAGTGAAATCAAGGCCTCGAAGCAAGACTACATCATCTTAACACCTTACGAATAGAATGTGGCGGTGATTTAGGTTTCTCAATATCTTCTATCATGTGATAGCCACAAATACAAAACAGTATTTCTGGCCTTTGTCATTGTCCTCTTGTATTACAGCATCATTAAACAACAGCCATGGCCGACACAGAGAAACAAAGCGAGCTATTGACAAAGTGTTAATTTAATCATATGATGACTTTTAAGCAGATTTTGAATTTTTAATAGCAGCACTTTAATACTGTTTTTAGTGCTGGCCAGTTGGGATTTAAAAATCTTGGAAATATAAAAAGAATGGAAAGGAAAGAGAGCCGTGTAGCTAATTGCAAGCTCCAAAATATTTGACAATTTTGAATCTTGATAATGGATATTGCTTCTCTAATCATTAGAGAAGATATTGTATTATTTTAAAGTCGCAGTAAACAATTTTTTTCAAAAGAAAAAGTTGCAGTAAATAACAAGTGTGCAAGTAACTCGAGAAAGACACAGAATGAGAGAGCAAGAGCATTACAACATATTATATATTCCCCTTGTATTGATTATTCATATATGAATCAGAAACACATCAATAATAGCCTGTTAATTGTGTACAACACACTCCGGAAATCAACACCTCCCTATATAATACATCCAAGTAGTCACAAACTCACAGAAAACCTCCACTTCATAAATAAAGGAGAGAGGCAAAAAAATAAACAAAAAGCTCGCAAGAATGAATGAAATCAGGACATAATGGAAACCAGAAATTCAGAACACATGCAGCATTCTAAAACCGACGCAATCAACACACCAGAAATCTACAGTTTCTACAATGAGAATGCTTCTGATCCTGTCATGGTTGGAAAAATTGCCATGGATATCAAGTAGTCTTTCTTTAGAAGCAAGAAGTACTTGCAGACTAGGCTTCTGATTCATGCCCATCAAATGCGAGTCCTTCATTTGGCTCTCACGGTTTTACAATGTGGGAACTGTTTGATATGTGCATGATCTCAATGGCAAAGTTAGAAAAAGTCTCTGTCAAGTCATGTCCAGGACGCTTCTACCTAGATGCAACTACTCTTACTGCATAAGCAGCCACTAGCTTACTTTCCTTTCCATCCAGAAACAACGGTGGTCAATTATTTCGTATGAACAAACAAAAGTCAAATATCATTTACAAGTCAATGCAGCTCTCATCCTTCAACTCAGCTGGAAATGAAGGAATTCCAGTTTCTGAAATCTCATTTACACAGCTTACCATAGTTTCTTCCATCAAATCTTTGACAATGGCTTCACTAATCTCAATAATCATTGTTTCACTATCATTCCGAAAGTCCATCCAAGTTCCAGTTTTAGCCATGTCTTTCCTGACTATCTGCTCTAATGTATGAGGCAATGGCAAAGGGAGGAGATACCAATACACTCCTTCCCATACCTCATGAATAGCATTTCTCAAATCCGGTGCAGGTCGGATGTGAGGTTTTTCAAATGATAACCCAAGGGGGCAACCAAAATAGCGCCCATATACCTCCATCAGAGCTTCATTAATACAATCAAAGAGAAGTTTCTTGTCACAACAAAGTTGGTTGGGAAAGAGCCCTACCTCGTCAAATATTGATGGGTCAAGAAGTGGATCAGAAGAATTTGACATGATATAGAACTCATCCCAGTTCAGTTCAGAGGCGTGCAACACTGCTTTTACATACTCGAATAGAGATTCCTTCTCCTGTATGCCTTTCAAATGGGTGACTATATCTTCTGCTAGTGGATCATTCTCTTCAAACTGAATTCTCTGGGGTAGCATCGGTAGTTCAGCTGAAAATATACGAATCAACTGGTTTTAGCACAAATATCAATTGATATACAAGTTCAAAACAAATATTGGACTTCAATCAATTTTCATATGATTGCCTACCAGGTTGGGATCTAGTGCTTGCTGGGCTAACATCCTCCTCTGTGAAAAGTGGTTCAAGAACAGATATAGGACTTGGTCGCTCTAATACCTCTACGACTACAACACTCTCTAGATACCGATCCTTCTTGGTTATTGAATTGCTGGATGGAGACGTTATTGGAGAATATGGGAGTTGATTTTCTTCATCTAAGTCCTGGAAAAAGAGGTAAATCATTACACTAAAATGTTGCAAACACGTGAGAGAGAACTAGCAAGGACAGAAAGACAAGCAAGTAAAATTACATGTGTCGAGCATTCAGAGTGTCTTTTTGCATCACAGACTTCAGAGATGTCAACATTCTTGTCTTCTCTGATCGTAGAAGAGGAACTTGACTCAGAGAGAGTATCCAACATATTGCTGTCTTCTTGAAGTACAATATTAGCTTCTTTTACAATATCCAAGTCACCTGCTGAATAAATTATGGAAGGCCAAATATTAAGGAAAAATGCAGGAAAAGTAATTTATCCAATTAATTCTTGAAATAAGTAGACAATTGAGAAAAATAATACCTTCAGAAGTCCTCACTCCAGTAGAACACAAGAATTTCTCCACATCATTTTTCACAAGCTCATTTGAGGGATTTGAATTTGGTTTTGGAGAAGCTTCTTTTTTATTATCAGCGGTGTCTTCAGAAACACACAACTCAGCCTCTGCATTTAGTGCCATTCGACCAAGATGGCTGACATTGTTTTCTTGTTTCTCAAATTTGTTATCGGTAGATAATCTCATCTGTGAAGAAACAAAGTTTTGTCCCCAATCCCTTCCAGGACTGCCAATAGGAGAAAAATTGTATTCAGGAAGAGAGAGAATCCTTCCAAGGGTTTTTGGAACCTGTCGGCTTGAAAAATCTGCATCCCCAGTCCCACCAGTAAGCATCTCAGACAGATGTTTCTTGGCCTCAATATAAATGTTAGATAGTCTGTGCCTGGGATAGTTACCAGTTTTATGTTCCATACTTATTTCACATTCTTTCAACTTGTCCCCCTTTTTGACACCAACTGGAGGCCGGGCAATTTTTTCAATAAAGAAATGTTCTTTGCTCGGAGAACTTCTTCCAACATTCTCCTTGTACTTTTTGTCACTATCTCTCCTAGCCTTCCGCTCATTTGGAAATCTCTTTGAAATACCTTCTGGTGAGATCTCTTGTTGCTCTTTTCCCATAGCCTGTTTTAACTTTCTCTTAATTTCAGTGAGAAAAAAGTAGGGACTAACTCTTTCATTTGGTCCCGTGTTTCTGACAATAGTTTGAGAGTCTGGGGATGACCTAAGACTTCTTTCAGTTTCAGGCTTTTCCAAGGTGATAGGCCCAGGCTTTAAAATAACAATCCTATTTGAACCTTCAGCAGCCTTAGGTTCCATTAATGGATTCTTTTCTACTGATTTGGTCTTCCTCCTGAAAAACTTGCGCTGTTTACTATGGACAACCTCATCAGATTGTTTCACATCATGAGTCTCATGTTCGGAAAAATTTGATTGCTTGGAGATTTTTTCTTTCTCTATATGAGCATTCCACAAATTCTCAACATATTTCACCATTACAGACTTTTGACGTTGTAAGAGATTTCGAAATAATTCCTCATCAGAACTTAGAAGCTTAAGTGCATCATTGAACTCTTTGGGAGGGTGGATATCCCCGTCTCCGTTAACATGTTTCCCATTGATAAGCCTCTGACTTATAAAAAGTTTGATTGCCTCACCCAATTTCTCTTCAACGTCAGGATTCTTCTGGTTTGGCTGGTTGTGAACTTCATCACTCTGTTCATGCCTTATGCAACTAAGGCGATGAATCTGGTGGCAGAATTCTTCCAGCATATCATCCATATCAATATCATTAGTAGATTGCTTTTCTGAATTCTGAATGCATGAATTTTCAGGTTCCAATTTCTCAGCAGCATCCAGATCTTCTATGTATATCTCACAACTTTTTGTGCGATTTCTACTTGTTTTTTTGCGGTTTTTCCTTTTGTGGCCTCCACATTCGGAATTGGACTCTTTTGGATCCACTTCAGCACTGATTACCTCCTTATTTATGTCCTTCTCGCAGAACATCTCTTCTTCCATGAGTTTCTTCACACTTGGCTTACTGGCATCGGATGCAATTGTGATCTCTTCACCACCCTGATATATTTTTAAATGCATAAACATCAATTAACATTCAAAGAAGGCAGTCCATCAATTTCATGGTCCAACCATCAACTTCACAACAACTATAATCCTAAGTAATAATATCAAAAATAAATTCTGGAAGAAACATTCAATTTTGGATGCACAAGTCAAAACACTTACAGGAGTGCCTTGACAATTTTCAGCAAGATTGACCAACATGTCAGCTTTATCTCCTGAATTTCCGGAAGCTGCAGAAAAAAAAGACAGCTTAACAATCACGCAGAACATTAAAAATTTTATGAACTTAAAAGGAACAATTGCTTCTCTGCCAAAAGGATTCCCCCGCTCTGTATAAGTGCGCCTATGTGCTAGTGTGTATGGTTAAATTTTCAATTCATCTGGGTCTAGAAGAGAGTTCTTACCAACAACATGCCTAGTCCCGCGCCTCCTATCTGATAGTAGCCTCTGAGTTGATCTACCTTGACGGAAATCAAACATACTAATTAATCCCCACATGCATCCAGATTGGTCTCTTTCATGTCGCACAGGGCGCCTTTGAGATTTCTTTGCCATGACGAATGTCTGGTTCTTTAACTATATTATGCTTTGTTCATCCAAATTCCCTCACTAGTATACCCGCTTGAAATCTGGTACACAGAAGAAACATCACTTGAAGGATAGATATTAGATGCTTTTAATTCAAAACTTCTCACATGGACTATTAGATACAAATGGTTTTCTCATCACTAAAGGTTGGAAAGTAAATTAATAAAAGTAAAGTGAGACATGGCATGATCATACGCAGCAAATAGGAATTAATTTACACATCTACAAAGACCAAGACCATCCAGGAATACTGTATACTAATGACGAAGTTCACTCAATCTGCCCACTTCCAAGCACTTAGTGATACAAAGTAGACATTTGATAGTCTCAAAGATATCAAACAGATGACAAACTAAGAGAAAAAAAGTGGAATAAACCATGGCATAGAAGAGGGTAGAAGAGCCGGTCAAAATGTTTTTAAACACTAAACTATCTAGCTTCCCCTGCTCTCCATCAAAGATCCCAAAAACAAGAGAATTAAATAAAAACGAGTTTAACTAGCCAGAAACATCTACAAAGAACAATTCTATGACCTTGTGTGTGTGTTTTTTTTTTTTTTTTTTTTTTTTTTTCTACAAAGAAATTCCTATGAACCTTGTGTGTGGTGTTTTTTTTTTTTTTTTTTTTTTTTTTTTTGTTGGGGAGTGCCAGGTATCAAGAGATTCTGCACTTTTCGGAACAACTTCAAACATTCAGCTAAATTCCCATTCTATCAAACAATAATCTAAAATGTAACTTGCCCGTTGATAGCAATAATGAAATGAGTCAGACACAATTCTAATATAATCAAAGCCTCTGCCAAATGCTCACAAACAGACGCTTTTTTTTTTTTTTTTTTTTTTTTTTGTTGGGGAGGCAGGTATCAAGAGATTCTCATTTCGGACACTTCAACATTCAGCTAAATTCTCATTCTACAAACAATAATCTAAAAAGTAACTTGCCCGTGAATAGCAAAAATGAAATAGAGTCAGACACATTCTAATCAATAATCAAGCCTCTGCATGCTCACAAACAGAATGCGTTCACTCGATTGATAAACCCAAATTACTAGTGCCTCTCAAAGGAAGATCTGATACAACTGACTCAAGAGCCCCAACAGTAATTTGCCATTAGCTAGAATAAAGTAAAATATCTGTCCAGTGACATCACCCATTCTTTTACTTTCATAATCATCTAAAACATTCAGATAGAAGAACACGAGAACCATAAAATAATCCAAGTAAAAAGAAAAAGAAAATACTATGTGCTTAAACCGAAAAAAAAAAAGAACCTTTAAGTTATAGACTGGCATATAGATTTTGATGATGAAAGAAATGGAATGAACGAATAAATACCTTAAAATCGATGAGGACAAGAAGGACAACAATGTGGCTGGGTATACAGGACCAAGAGAACATGGACAAAAACTCCAATATTAACAACTGAAGCTTCCTCAGAAGCGTCAAGCTCAAGGTACCCAAAAAAGAAAAAAGCCTTCTTTGGATGGCAAGGTATTGAAAGGCTTCTTTTTGTCTCCACAAGCCTTTACCAGCGCCTGAATTTCCTCACTGGTGCCTTACACTTTGGATATATGGATCTTCCCTTTAAAGAAAAGAACTGTAATGGTACAAACTCACGGATGGATGATGAAATTCACCTTAAAATTTCACCGATCAACAAAATTAACCAGTAAGCTAACAAATTCGGTGGAGATATTTGAGTGAAAGCTTGAAAGGACTAATTGACAATCCCAGGAACAGACGTATTTGCCTTCTTCTGGCATTATCAACTAAATTACAACCTTAATTTCCTCAAATTGGCAATCAACAACTCTGGGTCAACCTTTTCTTCAACGCCCAAATCAATATTTACAAATTCTGAGAGAAATAGAAGAAATTTCGCAGAATTGTAAGAAGACAGAAAACAAGTGTCAAATATGCCAGCAACAGTAGAGATCACGAGACAGAGACCAAAATGGTCTCCTTTTCATCAAAATCCCAAAAAATGCATTTAAATAAAGCTAGCAGAGTACGCACAAAAGACCAGATCAATTTTCAATGAAGTTTAATATATGAGATGTTAAAAACTGGACTTTTTAGGGTGAGGTGAGGTATATAGTAAGTGGGCATCTTTTGACAACGAAAAAGAGAGAGAGAGAGGGAGGTGGGAGAAGACTAAAATGCCTATCTTGCACCGACCCATTATTTTTTAGGGAAATTCTTCTCGTATGGGCAGGCATTAAAGACTGGAAAAAGTGGAGGAAGGGAGGTGGTGACAAGTGTGATAGTGAAAGTAGATAGCTTTACAAAGTTTCTGTTGGCAACTGGCAAGAGGAGGAGAAAGAGAGAGTAGTGGAAGAAGAATACGCGACAATTGATGGGCCCACATTCAGACAGAAAGAGAGAGCTTTGTATTGAAGAAATGCTTTTCCTGTCTCCATTTTCTCCTCTGCAATTCCACGTTCAATAATCATCAAACTCACTATCTCTCTCTCCCTCTCCCTCGCCCTCTCTCTCAAACTCTCTTTTTGTGCCTTTCTCTCTCCTGGCGCTGTGCGGGTAGCAGAGAAAGAGAAAGAGCCAGGGGATTGGATGGGTTTACTTTTTCCTTTTTCTAGAGAGGGAAAGGATGAGAGAGAAACGTGTGGGCTCTTGGAAAATATAAGAATGGAGACTTATACGCAAACAGAGATCAGTGGTAGGGATAAATCTGTAAGTCTAAGTAACTTTTGTGGATGAAATTGTAATTTACAAGGAATGAACAACTTTAACGGTTTTGTTCATTAACCGTAAAATTACAAAACGGTAAGCTACCGGTAATATGACATACTATCGTTTTACCAAAAAAAAAAAATAATAATAATAATATTATCTAATAAGCACGATCGAAAACAGCAAATAATAGCATCGAGTGTCGAGTAAAAAACAAATTACAGCATCAAGAAATCTATCGATCTGAAAAAATTTTTTAAAACTTTTTTTTTATAGAATAAAATCTTTTTTTTATTCATAAAAATTATTATTATTATTATCACCACCTTTAACAAAATGCGAAAATAATATGGCTAACAACATTTAAATTTGAGATTTCCTACTTTATGCGGTCTAAAAAATGAGAGAAAAATAATCAAAATATACCTTATTAACTAAAAAAATCATTAAAATAATCATTTAACAAGAAAACTTATTTATATGATAATCGAATTTTTCGTTTGACCTACTCATGTTTTTAAAATCTCAATATAATTTAGAATGCTGCTAGAAACTAGCTTTAGAAGAGAGTAAGAAAACGAAATATATATATATATATATATATATAAAGACCAGTTTTTATATTCAAAAATATATATTTATTAAAATTTAAAAAGTCAAAAACAAAAGCAAGATAGGCCCAATGTTTGTCCTCCTCCTCCACAAGTAATATCCTTAAATATAAATTAGATAATGAGAGTTTTTTTCTTTAATTTTTTTTTACTTTCTTTTTTAATTTTGAAAGTGAATTTTCTGTGCTGCTTATATTAATTTTATTATTGGAAAAAAAAGAAAAAGCAACCCCGTCGTGGAAGCTAATTATTTTGTTAATTTTTATTTAGCTTGAATTAATTAATAGTATAATTGTACGGATAAAGATGATGAAATTAATTAGAGATAGATAGTGTGGCTTGTTTTTGACTCAAACCACTTTGTCAAACGCTATTATGGAAGTAATGATGGTTTGGTTTCATTTTGAATTCAAATATGGAATTTTTTTGCCTTAAAAAAAAATTACTGTTATGCAAAACTATTAGGGTTAGGAACAAGTTTGCACTGAGAAAATAGTGCCATAGAGAAAGAAAGACATGCAAATGCCTAGTTGTGAATGTTTGTAGAATAGTTGGAAGGTCCCACTAAGAGGTGGCGAACCGATGGTCAGATCATTCAAGACCAGAAATTAGGACCGATTCAGACTAAGTTAATTCAATTTTAATATGAAATTAATCAATTTTGATTTTAAAAATCAATTTCGATTTGATTCTGATATAATTTCGATTTAAATCGGCTCAACGGCCAAACCTAAACACCAAATAATATCAACTGGGTTCACTTATTTACCAACTCCTATCGTGAGGCAGGCCCATATGAGACAATTGCTACCCTCTTCGCTGTCCTTAGCTTCCTGCTGCTAATAATAAGCTTTTTAGCTGGTACTTTTAAATGGTGGGGAAAACAAATGACAAAGGAATAGGAGAAATTTGTAATTAGAACATCCACTTTTTTTTTTTTTCTTTTCTTTTTTTATGATTTCAGTTGTAACGTCTCTACACATGACTTTGTTTTTATTAAACCACTCTCTAATCATAACAATTAGGGTAATAATAGGACAATCAAGTGTGATTCTATAATTAAAATGAGTTTTGCAAATTGTGTTTATATCCAATATATGGAATCTATTGATTTTCTTTTCTTTTCTTTTCTTTTCTTTTTTTTTTTTTTTCTAAGGGAACAATAGTTCTTGCCTTCTTGGAGCTGCCAAATAATGGGGGACCACTAATTGGAAAATATAGTATTGAGTTTTGTATAAACTGCACTTTTTTTTTTCCTGCCGCCTGCAAGGATAGCGACCCATACAACAATTTGTCTCACCTTTATATTTCCATTTATTTTGATTAATTAACTTGACAAAACATAGTTTTAGGTTTATCATAACAAAAATATCTCATTCATGACAAATCATTTTCCTAAAGTATTGAAAGAAATAATTAAAAAGCTCTTAAAAACGAAAGAAATAATTAAAATTTTAGTAATTATAACGGTCTATTTTTCTATTTTGATAATTGAATTTCTATTAGATACTATTCGTTTATTTTATTGGCGCTTTTCTCTTTATTTTATTCCACCTCATTATTGTTGATATTGAAAAAAAAGAGAATATTATAAGAAATATTTGAGATTTTTTAAAAGAAAAAATATAAAGTAATAATAAATTTTAAAATTCAGAAATTTGATATAAAATAAATAGATGTTTATTTCACATGCTATTTATTGAATAAGATTGCTATCTTAATTTTTCAATAAAAAATTTTGAAAAAACAATTATGTGTCCAAAGTTCAAATACTTAATTAATATAAAATTAAAATTAACATGCTAAAATAAAAAATGATAGAAATTCAAATACCAAATAACCGATTGTATAATTATCGGTTAAAATTATTAGGAGGAGCTCCGTGTTATGATATTTTATTGAGAAAGAGAGAGAGAGAAGGGAAGGGGAGCCTTTATAAAGCTTTTGCATGCTAACATTGAGGCAGGCAGCTTTTTTTTCTCCTTGCTTTCCCTTAAAGATATTGAAGATTATTAAAGGCAGGGAGGGGAGGGGGTCACAAAGAAATGGAGAAGAGAAGATGGACAGACTTATTATTCTAATTCAATCATTTTCCTACAACTTTCCATCTACATGCAGAAGGAGACAATGGGCCTCTGTATGTGTCAATACCAATTACCAAATTTCTGAATCCAGATTGAAAGAAGAAAAAATTTAGTGGCAATTATTTCAATTAACCACTTTTTTAGGTTCAATTTGGGGACCAAACTCAATAGATGTATACAATTTTAGTGCAATGTAAGTTACATATTTTACTGTTAAATCAGATCTAATCCTTTTTTGTTTTTGGTTTGGCACATAGTTAGTTGAGTTTGTATTATCAAATTAGGTCACTAAATAACAAAATGAATTAACCTTGTGCCAACATCTATTTGTAGTGATTGGTGGTTCTCATGTAGATGTCATCCAATTTCTTAATAAGGACAGAAGGGCAAAACCATAGCTAATAGTAATTAAATGAATCTACAATTTATTAAATTCCCCAATGATCTAAAATTTGGTTAATTAGGGAGAGTTACGTGATGGTCATTGCATTTTTTAATTTTTACTTAACGGTTGAGACTAGTTTGTTTGTTTGTTTATCAAGTTAGCGGCAATAAACATAAAGAAGCTAGTTAGCAAACTAAAACTCATTGGTACAACTTTCTTAACTTCTTCAACTAATGTAAGGTGGGGTTGGTTGATTTTTATCCAATACGAGAGTTGGCCTTTTAACAACTCCAACCACTATTTTCAAGCATTGGATGCTCCATCTTTGAACATTCTGAGGGTTCAATAGGGAATCCTAACCCATAACCCAATCTCCAAGAAAGAAAGCGAAATCCATGTAAGTTGTTGTATTACTATTACACTTGAGAAAGCAATTGAAATTATAAAAGAGAAACCTACTTTAATACCATTTAACAAATGATTACGCGTTGGCCAACCTAAAGGAATTAGTGGAATCATGAAAATTTAAATGGTAGAATGATTACTACCTTATCATATATTGACCAATAAAATAATTTGAGTATCAAACATTCATTCTCTGCAAAAAAATTGACTTGCTTAAACTTGAATTAACCCATTCAATTTTGACGTATCTTTCTATCTAATTATATAATTAAATGAGTTCTTAAAAAATGAATTTATGTTTTATTTTGTTGTAATACAAGAGCACTTTTCTTATAGACTTATCCGGCGTGCATAAAATTAGATTTAGTTCAACGGCCAAGGATTTTTGTGATTTAAAAAAAAAAGCTAAAGTTATATTAAATATAGTAAATAAAATAAAAATAAATAACACTGACAAATTGACCAGTTTTGCTTGAGATAACTTTCTTGTCTCATCCCATAAAAGTCACAGGTCTCGCCGCAATACTACTTACCAGCAAGCAAATGTGCTAAAGACGCCTTGCCCATGGCACAATATCATTGAAAAATAACAGTTCAAAATAAATAAATAAATAGTCATTGAAAATGAGTTTTTTAAATCATTTAAATTATAGACATTTCTTAAATCTTGATTCCGTAATAAGACAAGATAGCTTTCATCTTGGAGAAATAAACAAAGGCATGATACCAATAACCAACATTCTACCTTCTAATCATCTGTTTAATGTTGAGAAAATATATAAACAAGTTTTGTTACATTATCTTAACAGGAACTTACTTCTCAACCGGAAAATCATATATATTAAAATAGAATTTAAATTGCAGTTTAGTTGCCTCCCCAATTAAAAGAAAAAAAAAAATCACCAAAAGAATTGTCGCTTTAGGAACTTGAACAGGGCCCAAGTATTTTCATTATTCTTCTTTTCAGAGATAAATAACAATGATGCTTTGTTTTATTATTAAATATTAATAATTAATAGAACGAGAAAAGGACTAGCATTAAATTGTTATTGGGCCGCACGTGCAAGGTTTTTAATGGTCCAGAGCTTGGAGCCATGGCCCATGGACTAAATTGGAAATCTGAGTGTCTAAACATGCTGCCGACACTGACTTAATATCACCGAATTATAAATCCAGCTATATAAGAGCGGAAGCGTAAAAGAATAAGCACAGCAAGTATTCTTATTTGTATGACAGGGGCAATAATAGTAAAATAACACCTCCCAAAACCTGGCTCTCAATATAAGATCGAGAATATGACCCTTTATTTACCTGTCCAACTCTATGAAAATAAGGTTCTAGATTTTTAATCAGAAGAATCCTGGACTTCCGTTACATTGGTGACCTATAGTCTATACGATTTGGTATCGACTTAGAGATGGCTTGCCCATTGTCCATGAAAGATGCCATTGGGCTTTGAATTGCCATATGATAGGCCCAGCTCTTAGATTTTCGAAGAAAAGTCCCTATATTCGAGGAAAACACCATCATGGGCCTAGGGTTTTCGACTCTTTTGTCCTTGTATCAGGAAAATGGTGGTGGGCTGGGGGTTGCGGCTTTTGCATTTTAAACATTGGGAGTACAATTAAACTAGGCAAGATTTGTAAGAAACACGAGCGGAGCAGCACAAAATAAAGGGGCTATAAGAGTCGAGAGGCGCAGTTACCTTCAATTAATAATTATAGTATTACAGTGTTTTCTCTTTCTTCTTCTTGCTTTTCTCAGAATTCGCTCAGACTCTTCCGTTGCTTCGTCAATCACGTAGTTTCCTACGTTGGCCCAAGGAAGCAGGTGATATTTAGAGCAATTGGAGCAAAGAAATATAGCACTCATGTTTTTAATGTGCACTTCTGTTGTTGAATTAATCGTCTCATTTAAATACTAGCTAATATTATCAAGTGCTAATTCCAAAATTACGCTTGCAGCTATAAATTTACTTCCACAGATCTTATTTAATTTACTTTTTGATGTAGGGAAAAAGTAATTATCAACAATAAATAGTAAATCCTGCAAATTTGCCTTTAATTAATTACCTGTTTCCTTCACATCGATCAAGCAGGAAAAACCTCCATCTATCTCCTCATCTGATGTTTCAATGATAACGCTACATCGTCTTTCCTGCATGATGCACTTCCATTTCAATTAGGCAATGAAAAAATTTTACATTTTTCTGCGAATGTGTAAGCAGAAAAATTTCGACATGCAAATCATTTTAAGGAATGTACTCGGTTCAATTCTATGAGATGAAATATAACTTAACAACAAGGTATGATGTTTGATCAAGCAACAAAAGGAAACCCAGAAAGGATACAAACCTGAGTAAGAACTACCTTTTGAACAGAAGAAGCTTCTTTACACTTTTGCTCCTTGCAGGATGCCTTTTGTGTGAATTTAGTTTTTTCTGGCCTTACAGTGTTCCAAGCACCCATTTCTATCTTTGGACACACCGTTGTTTGACCAGAGGTCTTTGGAGGTATGGCTGGACTGAAATAAGGAAAAATTATATTCAGCGGTCAATAGGTTTGATGCAGTGACATTCATAGCAAAGGTTAAGAAAGACAGGACTAACACAAGAAATAGGAGATATGAAATTTAGGCAGTTAATCAATTTCAAAGAAAATATTCAAGTAACATGCAAGTTACGCTAAAAATATCAGTAATCCTTTTAACTGCTGTTACAAGAAAATCCATTGATGCAGATACTAATCCTCTGTGCTCAACCATGTTTTCGATGAACCAAATCAATTTCCCTCTTAATGTCTTTCTTTGGACCACATCTGAAACATTTCTCAGTTATTAGGACTGATGAGGGAAAACAATTCCATTAGACAAGCCTCATGGACCAACAACTGGAGCTTTGCAGACTTATCTCTTCGGAGAGTATAGGGTCATTACAACGAATATAAGTTACGACCAAGCAATTGAGATGAACTATACCAAACAAAAATTAGAAAAATAATATCTGCATACTTTCTAAGTAAATGTGGCTTTCTTTGTGAAGTGCCATAACAGCCAGTGACCTGCAAATTTGCATGCGTAAAAGGATTTCTGAGAATTTATCCTCATAACTGCCTGAAAATGGCATTCCATCATTTGCTTAGAAGAACAAACTTACCTTTGGTGAAAGCACAGTAATAGATGGACTATTTTGGTTGGGGGTTTTAAGCTTACAAGCTGATGCCTGCATGAATGGAAAGCAATAATAAAAAGGCTCTTAACAGGCTTAGTCCAGCAATACTTAAATAGTAACTTCAAAGTTATTCTAAGAATCAGGTAAGAAGGAAAATTTCAAAATATTTTATATTTCCCTAGAAAGCAAGGAAACTTAATGCTACAGTCTTCACATATTTCCAAGGTTTACCGATTGTTCACACAGTATACATGCCTGCATTTCTTTAGTAAAGGTCATGCAGATTTCTTGTTGCAATTTCAGTAAAGAGGCTTCCATCTGGTTTGGTAGGACAGAAAGGACCAAGAAAATCTGCTTTAGTTTATCTTGACATATATCCTTCCTCAGTCGTTCAGATATAGATTTCAAGTTCCCATCAAGGCTAGATTTGATATCTTCTTGTCCTGTGATCTGGTTTAACACCTCAGCCATGTTAAAAAAAGGTCCATTGTTATCAACATATTGAAAAGAAGGCAGATAGACATTGAAAGTCAAAAGGGACATAGGTAAGGTGCTGTTACCATTAGCTGCAGTGAGGCATCAAGCGCAACCAACTTCTGCCGAATACCCTCCACTACAGTGTAATTTGCACAAAAATTCATTAATATAAACAATTTATGTTTTAAGAAAAAGAATTTGGAGAATATGTTTCCATTTTAAGCCAGATCATATCTCATGAGATAAAGCTGAAAGGTAACAGAAACATGGTTCATTGGTTTGACATTCTATCTGTTCAATCAGATCACAATTTTTTTTTTTTTTTTTTTTTTTTTTTTTTACCCTCCACTACAGTGTAATTTTGCAACAAAAATTCATTAATATAAACAATTTATGTTTTTAAGAAAAAGAATTTGGGGAATATGGTTTTCCATTTTATAGCAGATCATATTCATGCAGATAAAGCTGAAAATGGAGGTAACAGAAAAATGGTTCATTGGTTGACATTCTATCTGTTCAATCAATCAAACTTTTTTTTTTTTTTTTTTTTTTTTTTTTTTTTGAAAGAGAGAAATTTTTTTTTTTTTTTTTTTTTTTTTTTTGAAAAGAGAGAAAGATTTGATTCAGTAGATTGAGCTGCATTCTAGTTCAGAATTTTGGAAAGAGTACACTTAAATTCCTTAATTAGTATTTTGTCCCTATATCCACCAAAATATTGTCATACGATTTAACTTCTTCCTCCTGAACTCCTACCACCCAACGCATGAAAGACTCAGATTGCTTACTCTCCAGTGATATTTCTTTTGTGCCTTTGTTAACTTGCATGACATCACTCTGAACAGAATCTAAGATCATTCCAAACTTGTTCAATGAAGTTTCAATCATCCCAATCCGGTGCTCCAGTTCTTCATTTATCTGACCTGCTCAGATAAATAGAAAGTTAGTGTGCCATGGAAAGAAACCACAAAATATTTTTCAATTTAACTTAATTTATTCATATCAGCATAAAAGCTTACACTTATGGTCTGGAACAGATGCAGTATTCCATCTACGCATTACATTGGTAGAAGATCTTGAGATTGGCATTTGGCTCTCTTCACGCGCATAGCTAACTGGAGGCAAACAAGATGTCTTCTTCACGGAGCTCTCTCGTTCCAGATAACTAAATCTCTGTAAATGGAAAATGAACACCGACTATTGTAGAAGGGGATAACAACGAACAAAATTCATTTTATTTGGTCTATGTTAGATAAGTCAGTAATAACATAGAGAAGAAAATTTATTTCGGTTTTACATCATTAATGCTATTGGAGACCGAAGCTATTATGAGAAATACAGTTCCATTTTGAAGGTTTGGGAAAAATATAAAATAAGATATCATGAAGTATTCAGGTTCGGAAACTGTCCCAGAAAAGGAATACAACAGAAGTTCCAAGGAACCCAGGGATTTTTCCTCCTCCAAATTCTAAAAATAACTCTAAATGTATCTGCTATTAAAAGAAAGGCAGAAACCAAAAGAAAGAACTGGTAAATTAAGAACCATTTTGCATGATTAATTGTCAATGTCAAGTTAACAAAATGGCCATATCTAACTGAAACAAAGATCTCTTTCATGAACGTAATTAACCTTCTTGTTAATGGTGATAAATTTTATTAATTAATATTCTGAAAAATAGGAATGAAAGAGAAAGATTCAGAAAGGGAGACCAAAAATATTTTTAGTTTTCATTGAGGGGGCAGTACATACAACGCTTGCACACTGCATTTAAGACTCATGTTTCTTGCTGTAATCGCACCAATCAGATTAGAAACAAAAATGACCAAGTAATTATAACTTGAGTTTCGTCATCAGGTGCCTGAACACAACTGATCTTAGTACTGATAAAACCAGTGAACTTAGTTGAACTAAGTGCTTCAATTTCTAGAAAACAACTCCAAAAACAAAAGAAAAGGAGATCCTAATGCTGCAATACAATTTAATTTTTCCAAGCTCCATTCTCTCTGCAAACATTAGATGATCAAAAGCAGAAAGGAGACTCAACCTGTTCATTTGACAGAGGTTCACCAAAAGAGGTCTGTGAGAGCTGTGAAAACAAGCCATGCTGAGATGAAATTCCTTGTGAAAATGATTGCTGTGATTGTTGAGATCGAAGCTGTGATGTTTGTAGTCCAGTCGGTATAGCACTCAGTCTCCTTTATATCATTAACAAAGCAAGCATAAATGACAAAGAAGAACAATATATTCAAACAATAAAAGCTATTTTATGTGCACAGATCCAACATCGAACAGAGTTCCATATATTATAGGGTTCTAGAAACCAAGGTTTTGAAGTTCAAAATGTATATCTCCGTCTGTTTCTCAATCGCTGTAACCCTACATCATGAAAGGCACTAAAGTAGAGCCATATCGTGTAAACTTATGTATTTGAAATCGACAAAAACACAGGAGAAGAAACAGAAAAATAATCCGAAATAAACGAGATGACAATTCTAAATGCTTTTTTAATCAGTTACGGAGAATACTAATAGAGAGGGAAGCATTTGAAAACGAAAAATCTAAGGTATACATTTACAAAGCAATGAAACAAAGATTTTACACTTTCAGCATAACTAAACAGTTAAATTAATAATATTGCGACACTAAATGCTCTGCATTTTCTCAGTCGTATATAGAAATTAAGTATTCAGGAAACATCCGTAAAGCCAAACACAGTGGTGAGAAGATTGACCATGGAAATAAGTTCTGTGTCTCGGAATTTTCAAATATTAACTTCTTCCTCAGATTTTTGTTTTTTTGTTTTTTTTAAATGAAACTAAGCAAAGCAGGTGTTATAAGCTACACTAGAGTGTATTTTGCAGCAAAAAAAAAAAAAAAAAAAAAAAAAAAAAAAAAAAAAAAAAAAAAAAAAAAATTGCAGCAAAAAACCAAAAAGAAAAAAAAAAAAAAAAAAAAAAAAAAAAAAAAAAAAAAAAAAAAAAAAAAAAAAAAAAAAAAAAAAAAAGAGGATCTCGTTGAGAAATTAATGTAAATTTCGCTCTTATGGCCAATGTTTGGCTGCTAGGAAAATTGAGAAACGATAGAAGAGAGCAATTAAATTTCTGGTTTTCGATTTTCCGAAATCTGGAAACAGACCTCAACTAAAAATAGAACAATCCACTTTAGACTCCGTAGACTGAAATTATGCGGGTTTGAAATTTGATCTTCTCGAGTTCCATACATTTTCTCGCAAATTAAACACACACACAGAGAAGAGAGAGAGAGGCGAGTGAATTTGAACCTTGACTGAGGAGGAAGGACAGAAATAGAGTTGAGGTCACAGGCTTTGTTGATCTTCAACTTCATTTAATAGAATCAGTTATTGTAAGATCTTGTAGCGGAAAAGTGAAACCCTAACTGTGATTGAAATTTGAAAATTGAATTGTTAAAGAACAAGTTGATTTTTTGAATTGAACGATATAATTGTTTGAAAATCTTAGAATGAAAGAAAGAGGGAGGGAGGGAGGGAAAGGTAGGAGATCTGTAAGCGTAACAAATGGCAAACCGTCCGGGTGTGGCGGGAAAAGGAATTTTGCACGCGGGCTGTGAATTGAGAAAAGTAAGTAAGGCCCAAATGTCTTGGATATTAAAATTAAATCGTCCTGCTTTGAGTTCTTTTGATTCCACTGGACCACTCTATCTTTCCAAGCCCAGGCCCAATATAAGCACATAGCAACTGAGTGATCTATTCTTCGTGACTAGGCTTCTAATTTTTAAAACTAGACATTTATATGTTTGTCGCTAAATTTCTCTAACTTAATTAAAAATATTTTATTTTGAGATAATTTCTATAATTAATTTGCTTAACTTCTTTGATTTTTTTATCTTAGAAAGAAAGAATTTTCGTTTTTTTAAATCCATCGCGTATCCGTTTTGTATGATTTAACGTTAATTATTTAATATTGAAATTGAAAGTCATGAATAATGACCAAGAACAACCAACATGACACGTGTTTTTTCAGTTTCAGGATTAGTTAGTGCATTAGTGGAAAATTAGTTGATAATCATTTATTAACAGATTAATTAATTGGTGGGTTCAACTTTTTTTTTTTTTTTTTTAAGTTTTTTTTTTTTTTTTTAGTGATGTATGAAGATTCAATCGTGAACATTTAGGCATTTTTTTTTTTTTTTTTTTAAGTGATGATGAGATCATCGTGAACATTTAGGCATTACTTTAACAAATGATAAAATTTTTTAGTAGATCAATCACTTCCAATAAAATTTATTTGATCATCACATCATATTGAGCTATTATAATAGTATCTTAATCTAATAGAAACCGCGTTAATTAATTAATTAATTAAAATTAATAGGCTTTTGATAATTTTTTTTAGTATTATTATTGTCAGGATCGTATATGTATTTATTATTAAACCTTGTAATTAATTACATATTTATTGATTTTGTTATTTGGATAAATTGTTGCATGTAGGCTGTATGTTGTAACTTGTAGGCTCCGCCTGCATATGAGACTGTCGAATCGAAAATTAAAAAGCGAACTTACAGAAACCATAGGTTACATCCAAATGCAGTGACATTATCAATTTTTTTTAAATGGGGAAGAAAGTATGCACTTTGCACTTTCATTTATTTTTCCAATAAACAAATGAAGAAAAAGATATATGAAGCGACATAATAGTAATATCTTTTTTAATCCGATATATGTCTTAATTCTAAATAATAAATCCTGATCCAATTGGCAAACAAGGCAAAAAGAGCTTGGAAAGAAATAACTAAGAATTGATTGCTTCTGGATTTGCCTGTACTTCCAGGAACAAGGAATTAATTATAGATGTGATTACATAATTTGTCTTTGCTCAATTGGAAATTTTTGTCTGACTTCTACAAGTTTTGATCAAAACCGCGTATGAATAATATTCAACGCAGCCTGTAATAATTTAAACTAAACATCAAAACAGCTCTCCATACACAACGATATATATAGAAAGAGTAAAATCATAAAAAATTCGGGATATTTAATATATTATGCATATATTTGAAATAATAAACACGCATGACGTGAAAAAGATCAAAGAACATAAATGCTAAGCTGGGCATCCCAGCTTCACAGCCAACCGTAGAAGATCAGGAGAGATATTATAGAATTTCATTACTCATTAGCTGCAGTCTTTTTAATTAATTTCCTTGCACTTTCATTCCAGTTCTAGAGGGAAACTCATTAACTATAGTCTCTTTTCCTTGTATTTTCATTTCATTTCTCGAGGAAAAGAAACACGTGGGAACTTGCTGTTATGGTCATTCTTCGTTTTTCTAATAAGGTTCCGTGAATTTTGACTAATTTCTAAATAAGTAAATATGAATTTACCAAAAAATAAACATGACTCGGAAATTTCAATCATTAATAATTTTAAGTTTATTTAACACGTGTCGTATGAACATACACAGCTGGTTTACTTGCTCAATTATTATTAAAAATCTCATATATAATAATAAAATGCTAGCTAGTTAATTTATTAATATTGATTTTTAATTTTGATTGGTCCAAATCTAAATAAATTAATATTAATTTAAAAGAATTAATTATTTTTAAAATTTTTTTATAAAAATTTTAAATAATTTATATTTTAAGGTAGATGGAATATATTCTATAAATAAATAATTTTAAAAGTTTACATATTGTTCCAGATTTTAAGATAAAAATTACTATTCTTCTTTACTTGGTCGAATGCTAGATTCTCTGCAAGCAAAAATTCCGAGGATGTTCGAAACTCATCTTGGTGTGCTGTGCGCGATGGTTTCAACCGTCGATTAATCGTCAGTTAAAACAATGCCACATGGATAGTTGTAGGCTTGTAGCAGTGCAAAATCTGTTCGGGTTGGACAAAAACTAACCCGTGGCGGTCATGCAGAGAGAGAATAAAAATTGGATAAAGAATATTCCTCTGTTAGTTGGCCCACCGGAGATCCGTACATGCTGACAACTGTTTAATATTGGGAAGGATTGTAAGTGGACTGCTCTTTGCGTCCTTATCATGAACTCTCACATTGAGGGTAACATTACGTTACACTCCGTTTATATGTAATCATAATTTTGTAAATTTAACAAGATTATACTCCATATGTTTTTACGTATGACGGTGTGAAAATTATTCATTGATTTAAAAAAAAATTGAGAATTGTGTTGAAATGATAATTTTTATATACATATAGTTGTTAGAATAATTATAAAATAAACATTAACCGTTTTAATATCCTAAATTAATTTTTAAATAAATATTATATTTTATCAATAAAAATAAAATTAAAGAGACATATACATATTCTATCTAGAGTATTGTTATTCTCATGATAATAAAATTTATTGATAATAAGATTATAAATAAGATGAGTTACCTGTAAATTATTTAGAGCTTGATATAACTTTTATTGCTCAAATTTTATATTAAGTCAAATAAATCAATTTTAAGCATGTACATATTTTTTTTTCAAACAAAGATGTTCTCATAATACAAACTATAATAATCATGAATTTTATCATTTATTAAATACAAATATCATTAACAATTATTAAATTTGCAATCTCACTACCTTATTTTATCAATATTTATTTATAGAGTTACAGACTCCATAGATAAAGGAATAAAAAATGGCGAGGGTTTTAGGATGATTTATATATATTTCTTTTCATATTATGCAAGACAAGTGGATAATAATTTTGAAATCGAAGGAAAGGGCCCATGACAAAAGCGTGGGTGCGCCCTCATTGCAGTGTAGCTCGCAGGTTACCAGGACTTCGTGGAGCCCACCTTTCAATCGTCGAGGAACCTTCCTCTCGAAGCAAGCAAAGCCACCTGGCCAAGCAAACAACGAGGAGCTCAACTTGAAGAGAATATATAATATAATCCATTAAAAAAGAAAAAAGAACTGAAAGGAAACTACACTTACAGGAAGTAGAAGATTTAACCCCCCCAAAAAAAAAAAAAAAAAAAAAAAAGGAAACTACACTTACAGGAAGTAGCACCAGATTAACCCCCTGGCTCCAAAAAAAAAAAAAAAAGAATAAATGGAGAGAAAAAAAAAAAAAAAAAAAAAGAATAAATGGAGAAGAGAATATAGTAGTAGCAAGCTATCAGCTATGGAGCCCGCCTGGGAATTGTTTAGCTTTTCTTACAGTCCTTAATTGTTTTTGTAGTATAGTGACAACATAGCTTAAGACAATCAATCCCTTTTCAAGCCTAATCATATCTACCTAGACTTACATTTTCACCACTTCTAAGCTTTTATCTCTCCTCTGACATTGACAGCCTTTCCTCCCTCTGTGTCTCTATTCTTCTCGAAAATTTAGGGTTTTGATTTAAGAAGATTCAGATTCTGTTAGATTTCAGGGGAAGAAAGGAAAGGACCATAAGTCAGACATGAAAATCCGAGTTTCTTTTATTTATTTATTTTGGTGTCTATAACTGCATAATGTTGCAATTGAGATTTTGATGATTGAGTTGTTTGATTACTGTTGTAATGGCTGTGGTGAGTCTTGTTCCTGCAATAACGCCACCGCTCAGTCCGGTTAACTTTGCTGAATATCGAGTTCCGGCAAGTATGGCAACTACTAGGGAGATAGTACAGCACTCAGTGGCGAGAGTAATTGAAGAGAAGGTGTACGTTGCGGTGGGGAAAAATGTTAAGGAATACAAATCCCTTCTTTTGTGGGCATTACAGAACTCAGGAGGCAAGAAAATTTGCATAATTCATGTCCACCAACCCGCTCAGATGATTCCTCTGAGTAAGTTCAAATTTATTGCATAAATAATCTGAAAAAGGCCCTGTTATTTCAAATCATTTCACGATTTTGAATTGGTTATTAATCTGTCGGAAATAACATAAAACTCGCTAAATTTGTTCAGTTGATTGTGTAATTCCTTTGTAGAATTTCGGACCGAAATCCATTCTTTAAAATTTGCACAATAGTTGAATACAGCACTGAATTGTTAATAGAACAAAAAAACTGAGTGGAGTCAATTGGTTTTGAGTTTTGACTTTGTTTTATCTTTGCTTGACTTTGTATATTCATTTCGATTTTCTTCAACTTTTCGTTCTTGATTGATTTGTTTTTGTTCTCTTTTCTGCAGTGGGCACAAAATTTCACGCAACCTCACTTAAAGAACAGGAAGTCAGGGCTTACAGGGAAATTGAAAGGCAAGCGATGCATGAAATTCTGGATGAATATATTCTTCTTTGTTGGCAAATGGGGGTATGAGTTTTTCTTTTTGTTTCATCCTCCACATATGCTGTCTAGATTCTTCTTGAAATTTGGTGTTATTTGTGGAAATCAAAAGTTCTAGTCAAGAATAAGTTTTGAAGAACTACTAAAATAAAGTGTTTTAATATGAACTTTATTTACTGTAGTTGTTTGAAATGCATATGTGATGGCCTAGGATTATTTGAGTTCATGTCCTCACTTGGTGAATAATTTGAGAGTTTACTGGTGTATGGATTTGAATTCTATGTTCCTTTTGGAATTTTGAATTGGCATGAGTACTTCTTGATTGGTTTTGGCGTTTGTCAATTATCATATTGCAGGTGCGGGCTGAGAAACTGCATATTGAAATGGAGAGTATTGAGAAGGGAATTTTAGAACTTATCTCTTCGCATTGCATCAGGAAGCTTGTTATGGGAGCAGCGGCAGACAAGCGCTATTCAAGGTAGAACTTGCACAGGTTACCTATCATCATTTCCATATCTAGTTATGTGAGATTTTAATTGGATCACCAAAGAGAATAATCCCTTTTACCTGCATTTCAAATAGAGTATTTGTTTATCCAGCTGCTTAAAATTGCAGAAATATGATGGACATCAAGTCTAAGAAGGCCATCTTTGTGCGCTTGCAAGCACCTGCTTCTTGTCAGATAAAGTTCATCTGCAAGCAGCATGTTATATACACAAAGTATGCTCGAAAATTTTGTTGCTGCTGCTTTCATCTCCTCCCTCTTTTTTTTTTTTATTTTTTTTATTATTTTTTTTTAATATTCTGGTTTAAAAGTTTGTGCACATTTTAGTTGCTTGTTAGAGAGATTTTTCTCTTTTTACTGCTGATGAACAACTATCAACCATTACCATTCTATTCTACAATGTTGAAGTGATGATCATGGTTATAATGGATGTTCATGCCCTAGCAGGGAAGGTGCTTCAGATGCAAATGATATAGAGATACTACCATCTTTACAGCGAAACATCCTAAACACAGAAAATGGACAATCAATTCATTTGAGGTCACAATCTATTACTGTAATGCAGAATAATCATCCAAAACTCACCAATCCAGCTCAAGATTTATTCTGCAGGGCACAATCCATTACCTTTGGCCGACTGGGAGGCAAATCAATACCTTCTACTTCCCCAGATAATGTAGGAGGGCCATCAACTTCACAGAACAGGCCAGATGCAGAAGGAGCTTCATCTGCTTCACCTGTATCATCTGATGAAAGTGATGCATTGTCAAGGACTACTTCTCATGGTTCACTTCTCTCAACATGCTCATCCACTGGGTTAGTCAGTGTTGGTTTAGGTCCACTTATTAGAAGTGAAGGAGGATTAGAAATAAGCACGCTACATCAGCCTAAATTGGATCTTCATCATTCATCTACTTCCAGTGTACTGGTATAAATCTTCATTTGATGAACATAGACATTGAAATATGCAAAATTTGCCTGTTCCATTTTTCCAGTTTGACTTTGGGATATATAATATTTGTTAAACCTTCATATTTATCAGTTAACACCTAAGTTGGTGTAGTAATCTGACTATTACATATATTTTTTGGGAGTATCAATTGATATATTGATGGATTCTAGCAGGAAGGAAGTATAGAGGATCCTCTTTATGATCAGCTCGAACAAGTAATGACAGAAGCTGCAAATTTAAGGAGAGAAGCGTTTGAAGAGGCAGTCAGGCGTGCAAAAGCCGAAAGAGATGCCATTGAGGCCATACGCAGGGTATTTTCAGGACAAACAACTTTCTTCTTCCTCTTCTTTGTTTTTGCTCTCTCTCTCTCTCTTTTTTTTTTTCTTTTTTTTTTCAACTTTGTTCCCATGGACTCAAGGGAAGGTGATTGTTTTGAAAAACATGAAATAGCAAATGAACATAGATAGAATTCAAAAAATTAAAGTTAAAGCTATGGGGTAGGGTGATAAACAGTAGATATAAAACTTTCCACATCATTTATTGGTATTTGGGTGGTAAGATGTAACAGGATTTAATTGGATCATGTGTGGACCTTGTTCTCTGATCAGTTTCTGGTATTTCGGACACCCTCCAAAATCTAAAGTATGCAAATTGCCAATTTATAGGCCAAAGCATCTGAGGGCTTGTATGCTGAGGAGGTGAGACGAAGGAAAGAAATTGAAGAAACACTAGCAAAAGAAAAAGAAAAACTTGAAAAAATGAAGAGCGAGAGGGATGAAGTCATGGAAGAACTTCATATTGCCCTGGATCAGAAAAAAATTCTGGAGAGCCAAATTGCAGATGCTGAACAAATGGTAAGGGAGTTGGAGCAAAAAATAATCTCCGCTGTGGAACTGTTGCAAAATTACAAGAAAGAACGGGATGAATTGCAGATGGAGCGTGACAATGCACTTAAAGAAGCAGAGGAGCTGAGGAAAAGCCAAGCAGAAGCCTCAAGCTCTCACATGCCACAGTTCTTCTCTGACTTCTCTTTCTCAGAGGTTGAAGAAGCAACTGACAACTTTAATCCCTCTCTCAAGATTGGGGAAGGGGGATATGGTAGCATTTACAAAGGTCTCCTGCATTACACCCAAGTGGCTATAAAGGTGCTGCACTCTCATAGTTTGCAAGGCCCTGCAGAATTTCAACAGGAGGTATATGTAGTTCTATCTAATGAATTCTTTTTAAATTCTCATTCCTTTTATCTCTTACATGTTCACCATGTTCTGACATTGATTTTTGACTTAAGAGTGAATTGAAAAGCAAAAAGTAGCAAGAATATGGTTGTTAGAGTTTGTTCCATTTAGCTGCCTAATTTCATATTTTATAAGCTGCTTCACAATTTATTTAATGTTTCGAATTAGAACAAATCAATCAGCTATTTATATGTACCCAGCCAATCCAATAGTGCTTCTTACTGAGAAGTGTAAGGCTTGGCCCGGTCTGAAGGAAGAAGAATTCTATTTGAGTTTGTGTTGTTGATTTCCTGCTGTTTTAAAGCATGATAGTACCTCTAGTATGCGTTCAATAAACTTTTATTGAACGATTCGGCATTGTTTCTTCATTCGGTTTGTAATATAGTTCACTATGGTCTGTGGGATTCGATACTGGGTAAGAAGAATTTGAACATTAAGAAATTAGTAACGCACTAGCATTCTTCGAGAATGATCTGTTCATCTTTATTTGCACTTCAGAAGATTGAATCTGAATTCGATATGAATAGCTTGTGCTTAATGATATCTTGTATATCAGGTTGACGTTTTGAGCAAGATGAGGCATCCAAATCTTGTCACTCTCATTGGAGCCTGTCCAGAAGCTTGGACTCTTATCTATGAGTATCTTCCCAATGGAAGTCTCGAGGACAGGCTTTGCTGCAGGGATAATTCTCCTCCTTTGTCTTGGCAGACTCGGATACGCATTGCTACTGAGTTATGCTCTGTCCTTATCTTTCTTCACTCTAGCAAACCACACAGCATTGTGCATGGCGATCTAAAACCTGCTAACATCCTCCTTGATGCCAATTTTGTGAGTAAGCTAAGTGACTTTGGAATTTGTCGACTACTGTCTCAAAATGAAGGTTCAAGCAACAATACAACAATGTGCTGCAGAACTGACCCCAAAGGCACTTTTGTATACATGGATCCCGAGTTTCTTGCCTCGGGAGAGCTTACTCCAAAGTCAGATGTTTACTCATTTGGAATCATATTGTTAAGGTTGTTAACTGGAAGACCAGCCTTGGGGATAACGAAGGAAGTGCAGTTTGCATTAGATAAAGGAAACTTGAAAAACCTCTTGGATCCTTTGGCCGGGGACTGGCCATTTGTTCAGGCCGAACAGTTAGCCCACTTGGCACTGAGGTGTTGTGAGATGAACCGAAAGAGTCGGCCAGATCTTGCAGCAGAAGTATGGAGGGTACTTGAACCGATGAAAGCTTCATGCGGAGGCTCATCATGTTTCCGGCTTGGATCAGAAGTGCATTTCCAACCTCCTCCGTATTTTATATGCCCAATTTTCCAGGCAAGATCCCTTGCATTTATATATAGTGGCTGAAATCTTTCGATGTTCCAAATTAATTTATGTGGGTCTTTCCGTCTTTATTAAGCACAAGATGCCACTTCCATTCTATCTCCTATAATTTTAATAATTACATATTAAATTCTCAATATAGGTAGGTTATTCAAATGTTGGATGTATTTTTTTTTTTTTTTTTTTTGTTTTATTCAAATGTTGGAATGTATTTTTTTTTTTTTTTTTTTTTTTGGGTTTCTACAATTATTTTATCAATTTCCTCTTTTGCGCAACACCTGCAAACTAGAGAGAGAGGGAAAGAGAGAGAGAGAGAGAGAGAAGAAAGAACTGAACTTTCTTGATTACTTTAATAGTGAACTCAAGCAACCTCATTTTCCCTGTGTTGTAGTATGTTCAATTAACATTTATAAATTGCATGGTGGCAAGATGGGAGGTCTTAAATACACTCATTTTAGGCACTTTAAACATGCCCAGGAACTCATGCAAGATCCTGTATCATGGCAGCTTGATAGGTTATACTGTATCGAAAGCAGAGGTTTTTTTTTTTTTTTTTTTTTGGGTTTCTACAATTATTTTATCAATTTCCTCTTTTGCGCCAAACCTGCAAACTAGAGAGAGAGGGAAAGAGAGAGAGAGAGAGAGAGAGAAGAACTGAATTTCTTGATTCTACTGTGAACTCAGCAACCTCATTTTCCTGTTTGTAGTATTTCAATTAACATTTATAAATTGCATGTGTGGCAAGTGGAGGTCTTAAATCAAACTCATTTTGGCACTTAAACATGCAGGAAATCATGCAAGATCCACATGTTGCAGCTGATGGTTATACTTATGAAGCAGAGGCTTTACGAGGATGGCTGGACAGCGGACATGATACTTCGCCAATGAACAACCTTAAGCTTGCACACAACAATCTCATCCCCAACCATGCACTTCGATCAGCAATCCAGGAATGGCTACACGAGCTTTAGAGATTAGTACCAATTTCTCTTTTAGTTCAACACACTGTTTATAGTTGTATATTTCTTGCATTGCTATGGCCATCAGAACCACTATTACCCAGTTTCCTTCTTCCCTTTGTTAGGACAATGGTCTACATACTATTGCCCTTTTCTCGCTTCCACCCTAGTTCTGTCATTGTATAGTGTATAAACTACAGAGGGCAGCTGGTTTGAAACTTTATATATAGGCGGAATATAATAATTTATATAATTCATGAAATGACAGATTTACATTACAGGGTTTTGTACGAATTTATAACTTATAATTTTTCATGGGATTGCTTCATTATCGTAATATTTAAATTGGAAAAGAAAAAGCTAAAAACGTTAATGAGTTATCATAAAACGGGACCAAATGATTATTTAGACCTTATTTAATAAACACGACACGCAGTCAAATGTGCTAGCTGTCCTCTCTATAAGCAGCGGTCGATCCTTAAAAAACAATATCTACCAGGTCCCAACGCAAAAACGTTCATACACTGTAAGAAAAAAAGAAATTTAAATCATATTTTAATTAATACTTTTGTCGCTCTATTCACAAAAATCATTATGACCTTTTCAATATTTACTTAAATTTGTCATCGGGTCTTTTATTTTAGAAAACAATTTTTATTTAATATTAACTTTTTGACTGAAGCTTTCAACAATGAATTTAGGTAAAAATTAAAGATATATAATAATTATTTAAAAATATCAGGGTGAAAATATTAATTAAAATATAATTGAGGGACCTAATTGTATATAAGAATAATTTTCAAAAAAAGCTTTTCCATGGACAAGAAAAATTTTCCCTAAAGTTTGCATAGGAAACAGTATCATTAATTTGTTCAGATATTGTTTAGGTACTTCATTTTTTTTAGTTGTTCTACAGTTTATTGACGTAATGAACTCATCTTCCGTTTAGTTTGTCGGTTTAATTTCACCTTCAGCGATCAGTGGTTTCACGCAAATCCCCACTTTCACCTCTTTCCCTCAGAATCCCCAAATTTAAAATCATGCTGCCTCATTTGAAAAGATTAAATTGCATTGCTATGGGGTTAAGCGTTCTGATAAGGACACCTCGACTGTGGTCGACTGAGGTTGAGAAGAGGGGAGGAAGAGGACTTCGTCTAAAGCGGTTAAATTTTGGTGTTAACTGAGCTAGTCGTTTCACTTCCCTTTGGGTCTTTTAATATCTGAGCCAACCTCGCTCTTTCACTGTCGAAGAATTCCATTTTTTATGTCGTCGCTGATCGAGTTGTTGCAGAGAAGGTAAACCATTCTTTATTTTTTCGTTAAGGTTTTAATTTTGTATTATTGAAGAGTTAATTAAGTCTCTTACGATTTTTGTTGGACAAGAGATGAGTCCTTTTTGGTCGAAAAGCCTCTTGGTGTGTACTGTGTATGAAGCTATTGCACAAAAATTGGACAAAAGATGAACAGTCGAATTGAGATGGCCCACGTCGTGCATTTCACTCATCTTATTTTTTGACGATTTTCAAGCACTCTTTATTTGCATTTTACTGTCAAAAATTTTCAACTTGGATGACAAAGTTACGTTTCAGCATACAGTCTTGAAATTTTTTATTCGCCAATTACGTAGCAAGTAAGTTCTTTAGATAAAGTCAGAGATATTTATAAATAGGGAAAGGTACATCTATTAATGTATAAATCGTCCAATAATTTTTTTTTTAAAGAGTAAAAATATTCATTCACTTAAGGAAAAAATTCCGAAGACAATTAGGGACTCAATCCTAAATCTATGTACGAGCAAAGTGATAAGACGCTCTATGTAATCAAATGATTTTAGTATCAAGTCTTACAATCCAACATAATAATATTGAAATAAGATAAATTTAATACTTTAGACTTTAAAGCATGACCTTTGCAAATAAATGACCTTCGCAAATAGATTACTCGGGAAAGGTACAATCTTGATTCTTCAATTCAATTATTTGGAAAATGAAATATCTCCCCAAGGAAATGGTTATTTCTGTGTCTTCTCTGGACTCTTGAGATACCCTGTCCCGTGGCCTTTCCAAATGAAAAGCCAAGAGAAGGGTCCACTTCCTCAGGTCCAGGTGGCTTTGTTGACAACTTCGTGGAGAAGTTGAAACCCCTTGAGTTGGATAAAAATAGCGCAGATTAACTGTGAGACACTGAAATTAGGACTGGTTTGAATTTTTAACTAGGTTACTAATAAACTTGGCTGTTACTGCAATTTAATTCCGTGAGACTTCTATATGGCAAGATTTGATGCTGAGTCCTCAACCTCAAGGACTCCAAGGTCCCGTGTTGCAGATGATGATACTGTATACGTTGCAGTGGGTAAGGACGTTGAAGAAAACAAGTTGAATTTGTTATGGGCATTAGAGAATTTTCCCGGGAAAAACTTTTGCATTCTTCATGTCCATCAGCCTACTAGAACGATCCCCGTTGGTAAGTTCATATCCATTCCTTAAATTCCTATTTACTTTCTGTGGATCCCGTTGTACATGCTGGCAAGGGCTGTTCTTTTATAAGTATCTTCTATGAAGAATACACCTTGAATCTCTAATGTGTTGCCAACATTTTCCCAAAAAAGGTGATCTTTATTTTTTCTTTTCCTTTTTAGTAAGTGTTCTTTACTGGCAAAATTTTGACTGTCTGTAGTGACATTTCATTTTTGTTGGGTCTTAAGACTTTGAACTTTACTTAATAAGCTTCAGTAGAGAGAATCCGTAATGTTTGATTGGATCCTTTTATACTAAATTTCAAGTCATGGGTCTCTGTATCCTTGGAATGCAGGAGGTGTAATTTAGGTATAGGAGCTATAGGGCATAATGCATGGTGTTAAAGTTTTAGAGTTTTGTAGTAGTCTTGTTTTATTAAATGTGATTGTTGCAGGAGAAATGGCATGATTATTTGTAATTCGATTATTCCCCATGCTTTAGTTATGCGATTATCCACTTAATTTCTTTTGCTTCTTTCTTTTTTTTGGCGTATTTGCATTTGGTGGAAAATTTCCAGCTAGCAGACTTAAGCAAGAACTTGAAAGAAAGACCATGCACGAGGTCCTGGATGATTATGTTCTTTTATGTCACCAAGTGGAAGTACGTTTCTTGTTCTCTTCCTTCTTCATGTATGATTTTAGTTTCAACAAAGCGCCTCTTTATCTTTTTTGCCAGCATATTTTGCAGATGATGTTACTTCTAACATTGTTTTCTGTGGTTAATTGACCTTAATTATTGAAACATGCAGAACTACATTTTGGCATATATTGAAACAGCTCGAGTTAATGCCGTTCTGAGCATATCTTCGAAAAATTTCTATAATGTTTTTAGATGTATGTACAGTACAAAAGGATTATTAATCCTGATCCTTATTGGCATTTATGGATTTTATTTTGAAGGTCCATGCAGAAAAGCTTTTCACAGAGATGGATGATATTGGAAAGGGGATTGTGGAACTCATTTACCAGTTTGATATTAAGAAGCTTGTTATGGGAGCAGCAGCAAGCAAGCACTATTCAGAGTACAGACTTCAGCATTAATTTAATTAATTTTTATCATCTTTTTGCTGGTTTTTAGTAAATTTCCTATCCCTATTTCACTCTCTGTGTGTGTGCGCGCGCACACGTGTGTCTTCCAAATGGTGTTTATTAGCCTGAGGTTGCCCATATGGCTGACTTAATATTTCAGGGAAATGATGGATCTCAAGTCGAAGAAGGCTAAATATATTCGGCAGTGTGTACCTCTTTCCTGTCAGATTTGGTATATTTGCAAGGGATACTACATTTGCACTCGGTATGCTTGATTTTGCATTTTCATATGTATGTATATGATGTGTAAGTAAAATGTTTTAGGGACATTTATTATATATTGAAAATGGTATTACTTCCTCAAATGAATACTTGCAAGTTCTAGCTTCTTATGCTCTCTTGTCATGGATTCATGGACTTTATTGTCCCAAATGCTGGTTAATGCTGACTACTGACTCACAACAATTACTATAGTTACTGTCTCAAGTAGTTGTTCATTCCGACTACTGACTAATTACAATTCTATATTTATAGGGAAGGTGATTGCCACTCTTCTACAAATGGGTTTGGGGACTCAGCTTCTGTTATGCAGCAGAGAACTGAGGGGAGTGGACTTGAGTTAGAAGTATCTCAATTAGAGGAAGATAGAGATAGTCTTGATTCTTTGGTACTTTAAGAACTGTTATAAATTAGACATCAAAAGTCCTATCGCACTAGATTTAAATTCGTGTCTTTCATTTATTGGTGATAAAGATGTGCCACCAAATCATGAGTTAATCAAGTCAATCAACTGATTTGATATGGTCTAAAATGGTTTATTTGGCAGGAAGGAAGTGGCATTGATCAACTTTGTGGTCAACTGGAACAAGCAATGTTGGAAGCTGAAAAGTTTAAACGAGAAGCATTTGAGGAGTCACTTAGGCGTGGGGAAGCTGAAAAGACTGCCATTAAGGCCACTTGCAGGGTAAGCACTTTGGCATGAGGGCAGTTTTTGCTTTCAATAAAGAAGATTGCCTCCCATTTTATTATTCATTGACCCATTAAAACTTTGTGATCAATGATTATAATTCTTGTTGATAGCATTATCACATAATAAAGGGTTTGAGATGTCCATTGCTTATCATGTCTAATATTACTTTCTCAGATGCATCTCTAACAATATCATGTCTAATATTAGTTAACCAGCTTTGGATGGTAATAAGCTAAATAGTTGATAAGCTAATGTGGATAAAATCTAACAAGTGCACAATGCTTAGCACTTGAAGGACTTCTTTCCATTTTGTATTGGGAATTGTGGAAAAGTCCATTCTGTCGAGTTCCCTGAAGCTTGTGTGCTGTCCATCTTGAAGGTGGGACATTCTTTGCACGCTATAGATTAGCGGTTTATTTAGAGTTATGAAGTTGATAGGTATCAACCTCATGTGGGTTTTTATGAATTTAAATTAGATTTTTGAATAACTTACTGGTCTTATAAAAACATTAAACTTTTTGACTGCCACCAATTCTACAGGCTAAAGCTTTAGAAAGCTTGTATGCTAGGGAGTTGAAGTACAGGAAAAAAATTGAGGAAGCACTAGCAATAGAAAGAGAATACCATCAGAGGACAAGGAAACAACGGGATGAGGAGCGTTTGATTACCATGGATCAGAGATTATTGCAGCAGGTCCAAGCTTCAGACTTCCATAATAAGATTAAAGAGTTGAATGATGAGGTACTTTCTGCTGTGGAACAGTGTAAAGAATATAAGAAAGAAAGAGATGAGTTGCAAGTAGAACAAGACAACCTTCTCAAATTAACCGAGGAGCTTTCAAAAAAGCAAGCAGAAGATGAGTCTTGCTCTCAAATGCATCAGTTTCTTCCTGTCTTCTCTTTGTCAGAAATTGAGGTGGCAACTTTCAGCTTTGACCCATTATTAAGGATTGGGGAAGGACGGTTTGGAAACATTTACAAAGGTACCCTACATCACACCCAAGTAGCTATAGAAATGCTGAACCAAGATAGTACACAAGGGCCTTTGGAGTTTCAGCAGCAGGTGAGAATTGAATTTGATATGCTAATATGACCTGTATTTTGTTTACTTTAGTAGTGATTTTACTTTTCTTGCTATATCTCTAATTTTTTGGCTACACACATGTCACTTTTCTTGAATAAAATTTGTTCAAATTTCTAGGTTTGTGGAAACTTTTTTATGAAGGAACTTTTATTTGGTTATTTCTATTTGTTATTTCGTTATGTTCAATAAAATCTTTTCTTTTCGACACTTTGTTTTAGTTGGAGTTATTTCCCATCTATTTACCCTTGCCTTTTCTTGTTGACGTTCTCTGCATTTGTCTTGGCATTTGTGGAATCCATTGCACATGTATAACTCATTATGTAGATGAATTCTCTTAAGCTTGATGTTTTTGGTAGGGCTGAGCATCTAACTAAACTATGGCCACTTAATATGTTGGTCTGTGTTGTTATTCCACTGACTCATGTTTTACTGCCCATAAGATTCAACATCATATAGCATTGGTTAAGAATTGGTACAAACAGTTTCATTTGTCTAGTATCTTTGTACAAATTGTACATTGGGACTAATTTTTTGGTGCATACTTGTAGTGTTGAAACCAGTAAAACCTGAACAAGTTGTGTCTATCTTCCAAACATTCGCTCACTCTTTACCCACCCAATGGTATTTAACATCTAGAAAACCGCCAAATAAAATGCGTCCCAAGCCGAAATATCACAAATATCACTGTCTTGGAACCTCGCAAGGAAAACTATAACCAAAATCCTTTGTCCCAATAATTCATTCTTCCTGAATCTATCAGGCATATGCATATTCAGTTGTTCTTTGTTGCTTGCAATTCAAAACACGTATCAGAATCATACACTGTCTCTCTATAATTGTGAAGTAAAATATGTTATTGTCTGGGTCTCATATGTTCCAGTTTAATTTCAGGTTGAGTTATTGAGTAAACTGAGGCATCCAAACCTGCCCATTCTCATTGGAGCCTGTTCAGAAGCTTGTGCTCTAATTTATGAATATTTACCAAATGGAAGCCTTGAAGATCGACTCGATTGCAAGGACAACACTCCCCCCTTGCCTTGGCAAGTTAGGATACGCATAGCTACGGAGTTGTGCTCTGTCCTTGTATTTCTTCACTCCAGTAGTCCTCACAGCATCGTGCATGGTGATATAAAGGCAGGAAATATTCTTCTTGATGCTAACCTTACATGTAAACTTAGTGGCTTTGGATTCTGTCCAGTACTCTCTCTTCAGGAGCATTCAAGGGGCACGACAACCTCTCATGAAAATGACCCAATGGGCTCTTTCTCCTACCGAGATCCTCATTTCCTTGCAACAGGAGAACTATCTCCAAAGTCCGACACTTACTCATTCGGAATTATCTTGTTACAATTATTGGCAGGAAGATCAGCCTTTAGCACAGTAAGAGAAATCAGAGGTGTAATAGATGAGGGAAATCTGAGTTCCCTTTTGGATCCACTGGCAGGAGACTGGCCGTTTGTACAAGCCAAACAGTTGGCTTGCCTGGCTTTGAATTGCTGTGAGATGGACCAAAACAGACGACCAGACCTTGCGTCAGAGGTGTGGAGGGTGCTTGAACCAATGAGAGCATCTTGCTCAACATCGATCCAGTTTGGTGAAGAAAGTGAACAACCTCCTTCATATTTCCTCTGTCCTATTCTACAGGTAATTCTGTTTCCTATTCAGTTTACCCATTTATTGATGTTGGCAGTCGATCATATGTTGGAACTTGATTCTCTTAATTTTTAAAAGTTCTAACAAAGTTATTCTTTCTTTTAAGTTGATGCTGCTCACTTTTTATTCATGGCTCACCCACTCATTTTTTCCTACTTAAATTTCTTATACTTGACGCAATCAGATTTTTTGTGGATCTGTATTACTTCACTGGAGGAAAATTTCATTGCTCAACTTCCAGAAATTGAACTTCCATTAAGTTGCATTTCCATTTGATACCTTATCTGATCGTGTTTGCAGGAAGTCATGCAAGATCCTATTGTAGCAGCAGATGGATTTACTTACGAAGCGGAGGCTTTAACCGGCTGGTTAGAGAGTGGCCACAATACTTCGCCAATGACAAACTTAGAGCTTGAACATTTGAATCTCATTCCCAACCGAACTCTTCGATCTGCAATTCAGGACTGGATGCAGCTGCAGTAAAACGACGCCTCCTATTCACAACTAACCTTAAGCTAGCACTTGGTAGTCATTAATTTTTGTAATGAAAGAAGACTAAAGCAACATGGGAATGTAGTTTGTCTTGGGGTGTGCGTGTGTTTGTGTGTGTCTATTATATATGGAGGCTTTTAACCGCTGGTTTGTTGAGAGTGGCCACAAGGTTGGACTCGTCGCCAACTGAACAAGACTTAGAGCTTGAACATTTTTGAAATCTCATTCCAAGCCGAACTCTTCGATCTGCACCTTCAAGGACTGGGATGCAGCTGCAGTAACGAACGAACGCCTCCTACTTCACAACTACACGCTTCAGCTACGCACTTGGTAAAGTCATGTAATTTTTTGTAATGAAGTAAAGACTAAAGCAACATGGGAATGTAAGTTTTGTCTTGGGGTGAGGTGCGTGTGTTTGTGGTGTGTTATTATAATATTATAATACTTTACTATACGTATTATAGATATGATATTATGGTATAAAATGATTACTTATATTTACTATGAATAGGCGATATAAATATATGTATGTATTCGAGCCAATTGTTATTGTCACATGAAAAAAGCACTTTGGGACGCGAATTGCTACGGAGTTTAACTTTAATCAAGAATGCAGAAATTTACTAATGGCAGGGGATCTTCCTGTGATTAATCTAGGCAGACTATGATAAGTCACCGCTCACCAGGCAAAACCAGTGTCGTAAGAAGGTATACCACCACGGTTTAATATAATATATATATCTGTATGTATCAGCTTGTTTTGTCCATAAAAGCACTTGGGAGGATTGCTACTGCAGAATTCAGGGCAGGGGATCTTCTTGATTATCTACAGATGTGATAAGTCACCCGCTCACAGCACCAGTGTGTAAGAGTATCCCACGGTTTAAATATAATATATGATTTTATGGTCTCAACTCAATCTTCCATTTTTTGGGTGACCATTTCTACTTTCTAGTTGACCTGAACAAGTTGACTTTAATCTTCTTTGTGCGTTCGTATAATTATATGATAATACCTTTTTAAGCTCCATGGGCTGGAACGCATCTGATAAAAGTTTCAATGGACCACACCTGTGATTCTACCAGTACAGATGGAGCATGTGTAACGAGCTGACCAGACATTTTATCCATGTGCGGGTCCTCATTTTCTAACTCTAGTGCCGTACGATCAACGAGAGTATAGTACTCAAATAAGACCGCCTGCATTGTACCAATCCACGTTTAACGCTACTATTGGTCTGGATATCATAAAAAAAATTGTAGACATTTGACTTTGACATTGAATATTTGGTGATTAGCCAATGGAATCCTTATTTGCAATAGCGTTTGTTTGATCTTGACCGCAATTAATCATAGTTAAAATAATTATTTATTCCGCCGTCCTATCCGTACGGTATATACGGAATTATTTAACCTATTTAGGCTGTAGCCGGTAATCTTTCAAGTAGATAAAATACTCCAACACGCGCTTGGCCTTTCTCAACTATTTTGGGCAAGTTGGTAAAAAGCAAAGAAAAAAAAAACACGGAGGCATTGTTTTTATTTATTTATTGTTTTCTTTTTTTAAGAGAAAATCTCGTTACAGATTAATCAAACGTTGATTTTCCTTTTTCCCATTTGACAAAAGCATTAAAAATTAAACGTTACTATACGTATTTAAGCTAGCTAAATTTAATATTGGAGAATTTTTTTAATATTTACCGCAAAAAAATCGATTCTGTCTGATATTTATGGTAGATTTATTTTGTTTTTGTTTTTCATCCTAATTAACATGTTCTTCAAACCATAATGAGAAAGAAAAATAACTTTCTCCCTAGATTATCTGGACAAATTTCATAACATGAACTTAAAAGTATTTATGGATTCGAATTAGAGTGAAATTTAAACAAATCTAAATACTAAAACCTGTGGTTAAGTAATTTCTATTAAAAAAAGTAATTTTTGAATTTTTAAAAATATTAAATTTAGTAGTTGAAATTCTAAATTTTAGTTTAAATTCATGAATTCAAAAATAGCAATTTTAAATTAACTTTATAATAATATTAACTTTTATAGGTATAAGGTGATTTCAATTATTTTATTAATTACTAACAATTAGATATTAATCAATAATTTAAATGTGCGCTAAAAATAATTATTTAATTAATGGTCAAATATAAATGATTTGCAAAAAAATTCAATTAATTTTATTAGACAAACATTAGCATATTCATTATATTATTCCTTTAAAAAAATGACTTTTAGGTACAAGTTAAAAACTATTATTAAACAGATAAACTAACGACCATATATCATTTCTCAACGAATAAATCTCTAATGATATTTCAACGATACACGCCCCCATTCTAACAGGGGCAATATTTTACATCATAAAATAGAAACGAATTTTTGATTAAGCTGCCGCGAATTGTTTGGAACTAATTTTTTTGTAATTAACAAAAAGAAATTTACAAAGATGAAACAACAGACACAGATTTCTCTTATCGGACGAAAATTTAACTGCCGCCTGCCGGGATGTGGAAAGTGGAAACATTTCCTTTCTTATCCTATAAAAATCTAACGGTAACGGAAAAACTCTACGCTCATCTGTGAGGACACGCACTTAAAACGCGCGTTTTTTAGTGTACAATCAAACACTTTGAAAACACGAAAAGGACCAGTTCAGTGACGGTTACCAGACGGCATTTTTATCATGTACCATGCTAAAACGACAAAGACTCCACGGTATTTTTCTCTTCCTTCCTCTCCATTTCACATCTCCTCTCTCCCTACTCTTCAATTTCTCCTCTTTCTCTCTCCCTCTAAAACCCTAATAAGCTTTATTTTCTTGAAATGGGAATATATGGAGCTCTAAATATATTTCTAGCTGTATTAGCTATAAGTCCATGTTTTAGCTCAGCTGGAGACATAGTACATCAGGACGATGTAGCTCCCAAGAGGCCTGGCTGTGATAATAACTTCGTGCTCGTACATACTAACTTCACCTTTGCTTTTTTTTTTTTAATCTTATTTTGAGTTTCTGTTCAAGAACAACTTGATTTTTTTGTGGTTACTGTTCATTTCTGTTTGGTTGCCGAGAAAATTTCAGTAGAGAAATGAAAAAAAAAAATGTTTCGTGGTTGGTTCTTTGCTTTGGCAGTATAGAATGATTAATAAGTTTATTTGCTTAATTGGATTGGAAGCTCAGTTGTTTTAACAGGTTGAGTTAAGTGAATTTTTAATTTTGATTTTATTTTGTATTTTTGTTTATATGTTTTTGCTATTACTTCTCTATTTGTTTGCTTAAAAATAGGAAAATTGGTATAGCAAGGGGAAGATGAGGATTTTTTTTCTTTTCTTCTTGTGCTGGTGTAGGATCGGTAAATGAAGAGCTCGATAGAATTTCAAATTAGTTGTGATGGGTTAAATTTATACTCTCTCTATATCTGTCTTTTTGCGTATTGATTGTTGTGGGAAAATGTGGCCGAAATGAAAAATTCTTGTTTACATTGTTTTTAAGTGTTGGGAAATAATTGTTTTGAGAGAAAAATAAGTACTGGGGAAAAAGTGTTAACCTTGACTTAGGTGAATATTTTGCAGTAGTTCATGCTTCTTCATCCTATTCGTTATCCACAAACACATGGCTTTTATCTATTTTGTTTAAGTTGATCCTGTTTTATTTAACAGGTAAAAGTCCCTACTTCGGTCGATGGTGTTGAAAACATCGAGTATGTTGGTGTTGGTGCTCGCTTTGGTCGTTCTTTGGAATCAAAGGAAAAAAACGCCAATAAAACGAGACTGGTTTTAGCAGATCCTCCTGATCTTTGCAGGCCACCCAAAAAAAAGGTTTTCAAATCCTGTTCTGTTTGCGATACAGTCATCCATTTAAACTCTCATAACGTCTTCTTCACAGGTTTTGATTACTTGCTTCAAAACTTTTCATTTTGTTTGATGTCCTTGTAATTTGGACAACCTTACCCCTTGGCAGCTTCAAAGGGATGTCATTCTGGTGCACCGAGGTAACTGCAGCTTCACGACCAAGTCAAATATTGCCGAAGAGGCTAATGCTTCAGCTATTCTTATAATAAATTATAGAACGGGTATATTTGTAATTTTTATTACTCATTCTTTATTTACTTATTTTTTTACATATTCACAATGTCCTGCGAGTCAAATGAAGCTCAATTTGCGTAATTTCATATATATAGCCAAATGCTACCATGCACAGGATTTCTTCGGGATTTAGTTTGAAAAATCACTCCTTTTTTTTTTTTTTTTTTTTTTTTTTTTTTTTTTTTTTTGAAAGTTGATATATACCTTGTATTGATTAGCTCTCAAATTCCCTTGCGTCTTATATTTCTACCTAGTTAAAACATCTGTCATTGATATTCATTCATTAGCGATTTACTTATGACAGAGTTTTCTACTCTTTAATATAATTCTGTACTGGATTTCATCTCTATTTTCTCCCTGTAGAATGTACGTATTTTGTAAAAGGTTAGGCTGTGCTCCATATAACTACTTGAATATCAGTTAGTTATGTAATGTATTTAAACAATAAATATTTCATAAACAAATTGCTTGAGTACCAATTACAGCAGTGAACAAATTATTGTTATGATTATTTTATTATCTACCATTTGGCTTATCAATATTAAATTTTTTATTTTTCGGTATATGAAATACGACCCTGCTGACAGAACTTTTTTAAAATGGTTTGTGAAGCCAGATGAATGAGTAAGTAGGAACATGCTGTCATGTTTCCAGAGCTGGTGCAGTTTGAGGAATAGTTATATTGAAGATTTAGCTCATGCGGATATGCTATTTTGGGAACATGTGGCAAACTTTAGTTCAGCAAACAGTGTCTAATGCCTTTTCATTTCTTTTGATGCAGTAAATGCGAGAGAATTTTTTGTTATTTGTGTCTTATGCAGATCTTTGTTTTTGTTAATGGGTGATTAATCACTTTTTTATTTACCCTATCGAATCAGTTTATTGTGCAGCCATATTCTCCACCAGCGTCATCCATTGTTGTGTTGCAAGAAGTATTTTTGTGTTCATGGTGTTAGGTACATCTTAGGTGTTCTTATTGGTCTGCATGGGTGCAGAGAAAGAGTTTGCCTTAGAGGGCAGGATAAGCTTTTACAGGTCACGTTACGGGATTTTGTTTCAGAGCTAAATTTTGTTAATGCTTTCTTGCGTTCCTCTCAACTGATTTATTGGTGATATTCTTTAGGTGGTTCAGAAGATTTTACACACCACAGGGTGTTCCATCTAGATTGGTGTTGTTACATCAACAGAAAAATCTGACCATTCTCTTTGTCTGTGATTGCGTCATGCTTTTTCTGTGATGCTTTACAATTAATGTCATTGTGGTTTGGATATTTGGTGGTTTTCGTTTCTGCAATTTGTCGGGATAGAGGATACGTTTGTCTTATTCAGGCTAAATTACTTGCATTTGACATTCAACGAGAAATCTTTTTGGAGTTGTCACTATTTAATTACTTTTGGCTGTTTACACCAGATATTCCTCAAGTTTTTGATTTTACCTTTTTTTTTTTTTTTTTTTTGTGATGTTTTTCCTGACTATTTCTAATTATCTTTGGTAATCTATGTTTCCACTATATGAAGTTGCAGTCTCAATTATATAGATCTCGACGGCTTCTCTAACCAGAGTTTCATGACTTCAGTTTTGAACTTTACATTACTTTTTTGATTAATTTCACTTTGCATTTGTGTGAGTTTCTATGGCTTAGGTCTATTTTTGCTAGGGCAATTTTTCCACTATATACATTGTGATGACTATTCAATCGGTTAACCGTTTCACAAATTCAGTCATTTGAGAGTTGCTCATGTGAGATGATTTATTTTGAGCTGTTTTGGATGTACTCTTCTTTCGTAGATGGTACAATTCGATAACAGTTGAGAGTCTCCAATTTGTAACTTTCAATTCTCGAATAAAGTAGTGCTCCTTAAACTAGAAAATCATATTGTGAAAGCTGTACATTTATTTCTGAGGACTTTACACAAATTTTAGCTTGAATCATTGGGAACTAAATCATATTTTCATTTCCGGCCGCGCTTAGAATATCTAATGGACTGAATACTTATTTTTGGGTATTATTTTCTTTTTTTATCATTAGATATTTGATTTTATTAGTGAACCACTAAGATGAATCAGAAGCCTTAAGCTTTATTATACATCTTTCAATATTGCATCGAGTATTTTAATCCGGTCTGATTCATTTTTTAAAGATTTTTTATTGAATGCATGTGAATTTCTTTCATGTTTTCCGGGTTGACCAACTTCTTGGTTTGCTTTTTGCTATCATGGTATGTACCTTCACCCTTTTTTTTTTTGGCTTGCAATTTGTATTACAGCTCTGAGTTTTCTTCTTTATTTTGATGAGAGAGTACAGATGGCATAAGAAGCATGGTTTTCATTTTTTACATTAATTACTATAAGATTATGTGGCACTCCATGGAATATACATAATTTCTTTTGCAGAGAAGGATGAGTGTTTGACCATTTGCACTATCAGGCGGGGATATATTGGAAAATGGATGTGTTGTTGAACCACAAAAAACATATTGTTTCTTTGTTTTGTAAACAACTTGTAGAAAATAACTTGCTGAAAATTTTTTATGGAAATATTTTCCTTGAAAATGTTTTTTTGAAATGACTCTATTTTCCATGTTTGGTCTATAATTTGAGAATTGTTTAAAATATTAAGTTTTATATCACTAAGGACCTTAAAATATTTATATATAAGATTTTAAATTTACATTTTATTTGTTATATGAGAAGTATGCAAAAAAAAATATTATAAATTAATTTGAAAGTCGCCGATTGGCTTGAGTGGTGGTAGTAGTGGGTGGATGGGACCGGTGTTAGTAACAATATGATGATTAATAAAATTAAAAATAGATTTCTAAGGTTGTTCAATTTCGGGAAATATTTTAACTCTCGAATATAAGAATATTTTTCTTTAAAAGGATTTCAATTTTTCATTTAACCAGCAAGAATATTTTCCATTTGACTTATTTCCCTGAACCCCCAAAAACACGAAATTTGTTTGGCAATTTTTCTTTCAAATTATTTTGTCGGAACAATGCCTAAGTATATTTATATAGTGATAGCGCACTTCATATTGTCAAAAACAGTGGCATGGGTGTTTTCCACCCATTAATTAGCTGATATAGTGAGAACCTAGGATCCTCACCTTTTTATGGAAAAAGATCCTTCTTTTGTGTCTAATTAATATTGCTTACTTCATTTTTTAATTCTTCGGAGTTTTCACAATGGAATTGGAACTGACAACAACATTCTATGTTTTCAGATGCTTTTCAACATGCTGACGAAATCTGTTGTTTTAAATTCGCTTTTTTGAGCTGTCGTTGATTTGACAAATGGTGTTTCCTTTCTTGCATAGATTGTGTTGTTTGGGAAGGTTTACGGCGTGTTCTCTTTCTTGGTAGGTCAAGATATCCGTTGTAAGACAATTATTTTTTTATTCATTTCCAATTCATGAACGCAGTACAAAGACAAATGATTCCAATACATCAGATTCCATTATTATTGAGGATGAATTAAGGTACTTGATATTGGAGCTACATTCCATATACGGCTCCAAATAATGAAATTGTGAATAACTTCGATATTTTTTATATTGCTTCCATATTATATTGGTGTATTTAACTAAATTTTCAAGCTTTGCATTTTGTTTTTATTCTCTATATTTGCACACGCAATGGACATTTTCAGAATTTTACTTTTTTTATACCAGGATTTATTGCCTCATAAGATAGTCTTCTACTTTCTCTTCTGCTTTGCTTTTTTGCTTTATTTCAAGGCATCATGTATTACATTATACATTAGAGATTATAATTTGTTCAAAGAGCGCATACTGATTTGTTTTCTCTATATCATATCAGGGATTGCGCTAAATTATCACGGTTTTCATTGTTCAATGTAACCAAATCTCAAGGTTCAGTATGCATTCATTCTGATTGCTAGTTTTTTAAAATTTCGTTTGCTTGGCATATGATTTTTGGTTAATTCTCTCTTCGTTTTCCTTCTTCGTTGATGACTTTGGGAAATTTGCTTGTCTTGTTTGGTGAATATTGATTCCAGTTGAGCTATCAATTACTATTGTGTAGGTTTTTGATTGAGAATATTTTGCCTCAAAATATCATGTCTCAGTATTAAGATAACTAGCTTTTGCTCTTTTGTGGCTTTTGAGTTACTTGTTTTTTTTAGGATTAAGCGATTTATTGGGGGAAGCATCATGGCCTAATCCAAAAAGGTTGTGTACTAAAATTTTTTCACTGGTAATGACATGTTCTTTTTCTTAATTTGTTTTGGTCCATAATGGATCAGGTTGGACAGATTTTTCAGTGTGCATTTTTGTATGAAATCTTCTGGGTATTCTCTCCAAGTTGTGGGTTCAGGAGAAGTGTGATATAGTGGTAAGCAGTGGGCTCTGTGTTTTGTCATTTACATGAGAAATTTCAAATGCTTTCTTACCTATTCCTAAAGGTAGCTGTTTGATAGAGTGCAGGCAGGAGTATACAATTGCTATTGAACTTCCGCGGATGTTTGATTCCTTGGGGTGGGCTTGTATTATTGGTGAATATAATTTTACCGATTATTTTGTTTCGATTAAGGTTTGAATTCTAGCCATATTAATTTCCTGTTAAATGATGTCTTTTTCTTTTCTCTCTGTTCTCTCTTTCTTCTCTCATGTTGAAAACAACAATGATTGTTGTCTATCTTTTTCGTTTTTTCTCTTGTAGATCTAGGGTTAAGCATGTAGTTTGAAAGGTCCGATGAAGAATACCCGTAATGTGCAATGGCTAATTACCCTTAATGGGATATTAGTCTCTTTTATTTTTATTTTTTTTTTTCAGTAGTATAATTTTGTAAGGTCATGGATTTCATGAGTGGCAAAAAGTACAATTCTTTAGACCCAAATGCCACGGTAATGCTAAAATGTTAGGCCCATTCCATATTGGAATGATTTCTTGTTGTCATACACTGGGCACTTTATGCTCTTGATTTGTTTCATGCAGCTGGAATGAAGTTATGGGTTGCTTGGGACTGTGCTTATCACTGGGAACCTTATTCAGGGTATGTTGGTGACAAAGAGAATCTTCGAGCAGATACTTTTTGTGGCACATGCTGTTACGGTTAGGTAGAGACAATTACATTCGGTCGATCTGGTTTATATGTCTATTGTACTTACAGTACCATATATATGTTTTGCAGGTCTCCTAATCACTTACGTGGTTTG